CCCCCGAGGGTGGACTCAGGGCAGCTTACAACAGCAGCAATTCTATGCCGACAACATACAATATAGGGAATGCATTACAACAACATTATTCAAGAAATAAAACATTAGATTAAAATATATTAAAACATTATTATTATTATTATTATTATTATTAATAATCATCAAGTAGCCAGATGAAAGGACCAAGGCAATGATATCTCTGGCCCGTCCTCTGTCCAAACATCAACCAGCACGCCAATACCTTAAAGCAAGAAATAGCTTTCTAAGGGTGGTTTTAGACAACGGTAAAGTCCAGGTTGGGGCGAACTGTAGTCTGCACCTCAAAATCCGATACTTTCTGTGGGCGCTGTCTACATGTCCTCCCAGTACCTACCAGGAGAAGAGGGAGACAGCTCCCATTCCCTCCCCAAACCCCTTAAAAATGGGGGAAACAGTAAAAAAAAATAACTTACCCGGCTCCATTAGGCCTCACAGCACAATCCCAGGGATATGCCATTACAACCAAAAAACCAAGGTGTGGGGAAATGCTTCTGCCTCCTCCTTGGTTTTTCATGTGGATATTTCGATCCTCAGCAGTTGCTTTTATAAACCACATATGTGTTACATTTTGATACAATTCATTGGCATTTACCAGATACAAAGTATGAATGCTTGAAACATCTGCATTATTTGACTCAAGGTCTGTACTGTGAGGCCTAATGGAGGCTGGTAAGTTATTTTTACTTTTCCTCCCCATTTTAAGGGGTTTTTTTGGGGGGATAGGGGGCAATCTCACACCTTCTGGGGTTCAGGAGCCCAGAAGGTGTGGGATGGGAGTTTGGACAGGCTTCAGGGAAGTCTCAGGACTCCCCATGGGTCGGTCCACAAAGGGCCATAGCCCATTAGACCAGGCCTTGCCAGATGTGGGCCCTGTGTGGATTGGGCCCGGTGACCACCTCACGCAATCCTTAGGTCCAATCTATGAGCCCGAAAAACCAAGAGGGCACTCACCCACTCATCCTAAATCCCAAAGTAAGTTTGTAAAAGTTTTAAAAACTTACCGGGCATTATGGTGGTTCTTCAGTCCTGGCATACTGAAAAGATGTTCCAAGAGAGGATGGCGACATTAAGGCTTGTTTTGGGAGACTTTGGGGTGGCTGGATGCCATCCTGGCATTTACCAGGATGTCATCTAGATATACAGCCAAAGCCTGGGGGGTTTGGGGGGGGGGGAATCAGCACCAAGGTGAGTCTCTTAATTCACTTCAGCACAGATTTTGGTGCTGTCTGGGAGCGCCCTTAGTGAATTCCTTCCTAGATCCAAGCAGGATACTTCCGGTGATTTTCCAATACTGCCTGTCCTAATTTCAACCAAGAAGACTGTGTAGCTATTTCAGATGCTTAGCTCTGCTATTCAGAGGATGGGGCACTGACAGCCTATGGCTTTCTGGACTTACATTAGGAGTCAAGATGGTGAGCAGCTGACATGCTTCTTGAGATCTTTGAATAATGTATGTAGAATTTGACACAGCCTCATGTCGAGCAAAATGGAATCTACTCAGGCTGGGCTGGGATTTTGGTATGTCACATCTGGACAGGATCAGTTTGTAGGGTTGCTGAGGTAGGCGGCATGGCACACAACTTCCATGGATCAATGCAGCACCTGCTCAAAGTCATTGTCCTCCATTTGGATGAGAACGATGTACTTGTAGTTAAAAAAAACAAAAACAAGATTCAGTTCATTGGCATGGTGGCAGGCACAATATCCCGTGCCTATTCTAGGGTGTACACATATTATGGACAAAGGTGTTACCAAAACAGGTGTGAATGGGCACTCATACAATATGGTTAGATGAGACAGGTTGCCAGCTGGGCTGGTTTCTCATGTGCTGGCTGCTAGAGGACAAATATACTGGACTATGTACCCAGCATTGCCTGGATATGCATTTTCCAGTGCTAAAGTAGGTGATGAACTTTACCTCTGCTGGGCACATCCCCAAAGTGCAAACCTACTTTGATCTCACTCTTCAGTGGCAGATCCAACCCCTCTGCAGTTCTCCTTTCATGTCCCAGGCAGGAAGCAAGGTAGCCGTGCAGAATGGGACACACTCCCTGCTAAGTCACAGCCTCAGTCCTGCCAAGAGCAGAGTCCACTGATAAAGAAAGTGTGGCCCAAAGGAGCAGCAACCAAAGGCAGCTTTTTCCTCCCTGCAGCTTCATTTTATTTTGCCTACACATGTACCTTATATTACTCCCTGTTGAAATCAATTGTGTTCATTTTTGCTCAGCTCTCCAATCTGTTCAGATGTTTTTGAAAAATAAAGACTGTGTTGTACACTACTTTGAGCTGTTCAAAGAGGTAGGTAACAAATAAATGTATGTATTATTTTGGATTTTGATCTTATCTTTTGGAGTCTTATCAATCCATCACATGAGAGAATAAATCCACTTAAAATCCGGTTTCTGCCTTCTGCAGAATTCTGGGGTTTGTAGTTTAGTGAGATTGTTAAAGGCTGCTCCTCTGATTTTGCTATTTTCTCCAAATTTGATAAGCATGCCTTATTTGGCCATTCAAGGCACTGAGAAAAATGCTGGACCCAGGAGAAAACCCTGTGGTATGGCTATCAGACCACGGTAATAATTCCCCACCCCATTTATTGTATTATTATAGAACGATATATCCCGCTTTATCCCTCCTACAGGAGACTCAAATCGTCTTAACATAAAAACATCAGCATGCAACTTCAAATATGCAAATATTAAAACAGCAGTAAACATCATTAGTATTGAAAACAATTCAGATTAAATCCAAAAGACATATCAACAACAATTCTTTATTGATTAGTCAATTTTGACCATATCAAAACATGCCAAACATACAAAACATACACATACAGTAAAACCATATATGAATACAAGGCATCATGGCCTACTGGCCTGTCGACCCACTCCTAAATAATTGAGCAACTACAAGATAAAGAGGTTAAAATATTAAAAATTGATTAATTCCTTAAAATGGGGTTAGGGTGGGGGGCATGGGTAGGTAAAACTAGTGGCGTGTCCATATTAAGTTTTTAAGTTTGAGTTTTGTTGATGGCAGCAAGGTCGCCTCTCTCTGCTTCCATCCTCTCACGGATGGCCAGTGCTTTTTGGGTAAAAAGGGTCAATTTTAAAATAGAGTTTTTATCTGAACCCTGAAGTAGGATGTGCAATTTCTCCTTATTCTCTGAATAAGTATGGTTCTCCAGCAGAGGCTCTAGGTAGTAAGACTGGATCCTGTTGTAGTAGGGACATTTTAAGAAAAAATGTTCTGAGTCATCCACTTCTGCATCTACCTCACGGCACCCACAGGTTCTCCTCGTGTGGGAATATTCTGATGTCGTCCCAACTTGGACTTAATGTCGAGCTGCTCAAATCTAGCCCGGGTAAAACATTTTCTAATATAGAGTGGAAGTATAAAAGAGAGGTAAGTTTCCATGCCCACATTACATTTAAATTTGGCCAGGTATGGATAAAGACATATATGCATAAAGACATATAAACCCACAGCAGCCCCTGACATGATCTTAAAACCCTTCGTCTTCAAAAGCCTGTCTGAATAAGGTTTAGCCTGCATGGCAGGAGGTGGAAAATTTGAAGCACAATCAGAACGATATATCTCGTATTTCTCGATATGTTTATGCTTGTACAATTTGAAGCAAATTGCTGTGCATGCATCCCTTTAGACCAAATTGAATTAACCTTTGTGACTTGTCTTCAGCTTGATGAATTGGTGTCTCTGTCGTGACCTATCTGGATTTTAGCATATGGCTCACCAGGCATGGATTCTCTTTAGCTGCCATCCTAGCTCTAAATTCGACAATAATACCCCACTAGACAGGCTGAAGAGGAGCCATTGGTGAACACCATGTGTTTTGACCAGTCAAGCAATTATAAATCCACCTAACTGTAGCATTGTTTAGCCCAGGGGTCCTCAAACTATGGCCCGGGGGCCGGATACGGCCCTCCAAGGTCATTTACCCGGCCCTTGCTCAGGGTCAAGCTACGTCTCAAACGACTTGAAAGCACACAACAACAACAACAACAACAACAATCCTATCTCATCAGCCAAAAGCAGGCCCACACTTTCCAATGAAATACTAATAAGTTTATATTTATTAAAATTGTTCTTCATTTTAATTACTGTATTGTTCTAAAGTGCTTTTTGCACTACAAAAAAGATATGTGCAGTGTGCATAGGAATTCATTCATATTTTTTTTCCAATTATAATCCGGCCCCTCCAAAAGTTTGAGTGACTATGACCTGGCCCTCTGTTTAAAAAGTTTGTGGACCCCGGTCTAGCTCAAAGACCCTCCTACACTGCCATATGAAATCTGACTGTGTTATATGGGAGTGTAGACTCAGATAATCTAGTTCAAAGCAGATGATGTGGAATATTTCCTTTATAATCTGGATTATATGGCAGTGTAGAAGGGGCCCAAATCTTACTTGATAAGGTTCATTGTGCATGGTTTGTTTTGGAAGATGGGAACAACATCTGACCTCCTCCAGGCTGTTTGGATTTCTGCTGTTTTCCAGGACTCATGAAAGAAATTGCTAGTAGTTCCAATGCACCTTCTACACTGCTCTATATCCCAGGATCTGATCTCAGATGATCTGTTTATCCCAGATTATCTGGCAGTGGAGACTCATATAATCCAGTTCAAAGTGGATAACCTGGTATCAGATCCTGGAATATAAGGACAGTGTAGAAGAAGCCTGAGATGATTTCTGCTCATTCCCAGGACAATGGTTATAAGATCTTGAACTCATTTGCACAAGTTTTATTTTGCGTAACTATTACATAAAGTAAAGAGTAACCCAACAGTAATATTCAATAGCTGGAGAGGAAAAACAACATTTGGGGGTAGGGAAGTGGGACATAGTTTGTTCAACCTGACAAACAAAGCAAGTAAATGATTTGCCAGAGACAACCTATCACCTGGTCTAGTGCATTTGTACAAAATATAAGGATATCCTATTTCAGTTGTTGTTGCTGAAATCTTACTGCAACCTTCATTGCAGGTGCTGCAGAAAGCTTCCTGGAGAAATGGATTGGATACATCCGATTACAATATTTTTCCTAATTACCCTTATAATTTTACTGGTTTTAAAAATGGGCTATTTCTGGAATAACAGTTCCCAAAATCTTCCACCGGGTCCAAAGCCTTTACCAATCATTGGAAATCTTCACATAATAGATCAGGAGAGGCCTCACAGAACAATGCTGAAGGTAATATTTTCTCTTCTTTCTGTTGAAGGACAAAGTCCACCAAGTTATAGCATTTTTGAGCCACATTAGAACAAATCCTAAAATTTTTGCACCTGACAATGCTGAAAGCTTGTGTCCCACGTTATTCTCGCAGTGTTTAGATAATGCTATGCAATTGTTATTCTTTGTAGACTAAGTGTGGCCTCAGATAATCCAGTTCAAAGCAGATCTTGTGGATTATCTGCCTTGATATTCTGGGTTATATGGCTGTGTGGGAGGGTCCGTAGTCTTACTACTCCAGCTCTTTCCATGTCCTTTTTAAATCATGTCTTAAAGTTCTCTGGAAATTTTTTAGATGTATAACTCTAATGAACAGTGATATTCCAGGACTAAGTATATGGAATAAGGATTGCTGCTGTTTTTTACAAAAGATAAAAATGTCTTAAAGAAATAAAAAAAATCCATAGAACCACAATACAGATCTGAATGTCAACTTTGAACATATATTTCATTCCAGTTGTCAAAAATTTATGGTCCCATCTTCAGGATCCAGATGGGATTCCAGAAAATGGTAGTGTTGACTGGGTATGAAATGGTGAAAGAGGCTCTGGTGAACCAGGCTGACGCATTTGCTGAGAGGCCCGTCATCCCATTGTTTGAAGAATTTGCAAAGGGCTTTGGTGAAGTATTTTGTTTTATATAGTTCTTGTGACTTTGAGGGGGGGGGGGTTGTGATTGCGTACATTGTAGTGATAGTTTTGGCATAGCAGAACAAATTTTCCACCAGAAAGAACTCCTCATTTCCTGTATTATCTGAAGGAGAGACCAAAAGGTGAATTGTTTTCTGTGTAGTTATTTGCCCATTGGCTTGTGTCCCTTAGGGTTTTGCTTTGCCCTGGTTAAAACAGGAATTCTCCCTCCGCATCTTCTGAGTCCATTAGTCACTTCTCTCCAAGGTGATGAGCGACCATACCTGAGAACTCTTTGAATTTGATGGATCAGCCAGTTACAGATCCATATAACAGCCTAGTCCACAATTCACCAGCAAGACTATAATGGGAGAGTCCAGCCAAAAAGTTTTACTGAGATCAAGTTGTACAGCATTCGGGAAATTCTCCGAATTTATCAAACTTGTATTTCTATCATTAAAAGAGAGATGTTTGACATTATGTTTTTGATAAAACCACACTGATGCTAACGACCTCATCAAATAGGCAGATTTGCCCATCATATGCTGCTTCACCTCCCTTTTCAGCATGGAGCCCTTCACACAACATAATGGGACTTCCAGCCAAGCTTCGTGGTGAAAACGGAGGTGAAGCAGCCCTCGCTGCTGCAGCAACACGGGAACCTTCCCATGTTGCCTTCCCTTCAAGGGGGGAAGCGGGCAGTGATGCCTCCCTCCAGAGAATGAGGGCGAAGGTAAGGCAGGTGATGTGGGCCACGGAGCAGTGGTTTCTCCATGCCTTGCCGGGAGCCAATGGATAGACCTTGATGCTGGACAAATCCATGGGCCTTTATGATAACATCCTTAGACACCACAACAATCCTGCACAGACTGACAGTTCAATGAGATGATTCGGAATCTTTTCTGCTATCAACTCAAGCACATTAGCTTAGATCCTCTTATTTGCCTTTTCTGGAAATGAAGGTAATATTTGCCCTCCTGCAATCTGGAACCTTTCCCATTCTCAAGAATTTTAGAGATTATTGACAGTGGCTTTGAGATTATGTTTGTAAGGTCCTTCAATGCCTTCCAATGCAATTCATCCATCCCTGGAGACTTGGATTCATGAAAGAGGCAAGGCATTCCTTTTCTCAGGGTCATAGGTCCTCCCATGTTTGCCATTCTTTTTCATATGCTTTGTAATGCAGGATAATGGGTTATTCTACACAGATAGTGATGCTGCAAAGAGGAATTTATTTTCATTCACAGTTTGTGGTAATGAACATATTTACTGGGAGGAAGAATGTTCCCTGAGATGCTAAGGTTTGGGTTTTTTTTAGAAAACCTTGACAGAAGAAAGGCTTGGAAAGAAAGAATTTTTGGGTTGTTTGCAAATGTTTTGGGTTGCCTGCAATATGCTAGCCATGCCTTGTGTTTTAAATGTCCTATGCAACTGAAAGGTTTTCTCAACAATGATGTGCTCAACCCTTACAAAATTGTAATGTTTAAAAAGTTTGAGCAGGGGTCCTCAAACTTTTTAAACAGAGGGTCAGGTCACAGTTCCTCAAACTATTGGAGGATCGGATTATAATTGGAAAAAAATATGAATGAATTCCTATGCACACTGCATATATCTTATTTGTAGTGCAAAAACACTTAACAACAATACAATAATTAAAATGAAAAATAATGTTAACAAATATAAACTTGTTAGTATTTCAATGGGAAGTGTGGACCTGCTTTTGGCTGATGAGATAGGATTGTTGTTGTTGTTGTTGTGTACCTTCAAATCATTTCAGACTTGCATAGACCCTGAGCAAGGGCCGGGTAAATGACCTTGGAGGGCCGTATCCGCCCCCTGGGCCTTATTTTGGGGACCCCTGGTCAACAGCAATACAGGCAGTCCCCTGAGTTACAAACATGCGACTTACAAACAATTCACAATTAAAAATGGGGATAAAACAACAGGAAGTGAGGCCCTTTCTACACTGCCATGTAAAATCCAAAATATCTGCTTTGAACTGAATTATATGGCAGTGTAGACTCATATAATCTAGTTCAAACCAGATTTATTTATTTATTCTGACATTTCTACCCCACCTTTTCCCAATGGACTCTATAAAATCATTAAAACCACATCCTAAAATCAATATAAATATGACATAAAGTAACATCAACCATGTATAAATAAGACATAAAAGTAGAAAACCCTTAAAATAGTAGAACTATCGCAATGGTAAAATTGGATTCGATATGGTAAAACTGGATTCTTAATGATCACTACAGTTGTCCTCCTTGCTCATGTTAAGGCATAACTATAGTTTTCAGGTCTACAAAGCTACACTTTCCCTTCTCCAACTCCATACAAACACAAAAAAAAAATTCTTATCACATGTCAGTTTGGAAATCCCCTATTGATTTTGATTGATTTTGATTTTAAAGTTAATGAATATAAACAACCAAATTGTGTTGCTCATCCCTTCTTTCCATTGAGACAAGTACATTAAAAGGTAAGAGTAAAAACAAGCTTTGCAGATCTTCGCAACAATTTATAAATGGGAAAGCAATTTTGAAAATCAATAAGTCACATATTCAGCTCATTATAATACTGAATAAATGCAAGCAGACCAATAATTGAACTTTGATTCCCCCCCCCCCCCCAGGTATTATTTTTGCTCATGGTGAGAACTGGAAAGTGATGCGGAGGTTCACCTTATCCACACTTCGGGATTACGGAATGGGCAAGAGAACCATAGAGGACAAAATTATTGAAGAGTGCAGAGTCCTGACAAAGAAACTGGAATCTTATGAAGGTTAGTTGGTTTTTTCTTTTGATGCTGTAGAGCAGGGGTGCTCAAACGTTTTAAGCTGAGGTCCAGTTCACCGTCCCTCAGACTTTTTGGAGGCCAGGCTATAGTTTAAACAAAAATGAATAAATTTATACGAGCACTGTACATGTCTTATTTGTAGTGTAAAAAACATGAAAGAACATTGCTGCTGTGTACCTTCAAGTAATTTCAGACTTAGGGTGACCCTAGGGAATCTTATCATACAGGCTGTCGAAATCAACACCGGTCATGGCGAATCCAGTGATGCCTATTGGGGGGTGCGGGGAACTGATTACCCCATGCCCCACATTGCCCAGCTTACCAGCATGGTGATCTACTGAGGGAAGCATCAACCATGCAGCTTTCCCTCATTGCTTCCTGTGTTGCGGTGGTGGTGGCATACACCCATTCCTCTATAGTTTGCCAATGGAGCCCCGCCAGAATTTCCTCTGTGTCATGGGATGGGAGCCAAATGCTCAATGGGTAAACTATGGCTGAAATGGAATATGCCATCAAAGCAAGCCCCGTCTGATGAGGTCATATATTTAAAGTTTAGGGCAGCGTCCAGATAAATGACCTTGGCATGTTGCATCCTGCCCGCAGGCCTTCATTTGGGAACCCTTGTGCTGGAGTATATCTACCCAAAGGGATCTTAAAAGTGGCAAAAATGTGGTATTGCATTTCCTAAGCCCCTGGGGCTGGATTTACACTCAGGGGCGGCTCAACCCATTACGCAAAGTAAGCATTCGCAGTATAGTTGATTTTGCCCAGGGGCGCTCTTGAGGTGCTCTTGGGGGAAAATAGACCTTGACATATGCGAGTTGTCATTACTGGGATGTATAGTTCACCTAAAATCAATGAGCATTTTGAACTCCACCAATGATGGAATTGAACCAAATATGGCACACAGAACTCCCACGACAAACAGAAAATATAGATCAATGATTGGTTGTGGGGGGGGGGGCGGGAGGCACTGTTTGCTTACCGTTGAAATTACCTAGGGCCACCTCTGTTTACACTGCTCTATATCACAGGATCTGATCCCAGATTATCTGCTTATCCCAGATTATGTGTCAGTGCAGACTCAGATAATCCAGTTCAAAGCAAATAATCTGGGATCAGATCCTGGCATTTAGGACAGTGTCGATCCAGCCTGGAACAACATTCCAAAGACTGTCCTGGAAAAGTTGAGTCTAGACTGTGTCTGCGCAGCCAGAATAAAATGGACTCTACACTCAGGCTGGATCTACACTGCCATATAATCCAGGTTCAAAATGCAGATAACTGCATTGAAGTGGGAGTATAGACTCAGGTATTTTAAATCCATAAACTGGATTTTATGGCAGTGTAGATCCAGCCTCAGTTTTGGACCTGTGGGTCAGATACTCAGCATATCTGTTACATCCAGCTGTTAACCTGCATCAAGAGAGCTGCAGAGCTTCCAGACGTGTTGGAGATTTGGACAGATTAATCTGGCCCAATCCACTGTAATAGTTCCTTGCTAAAATAATCCTAAATACTGTATATCAATACCTAGACACCATTTCTAAAATAAACACAGCATATACAGGGAAAGCTTACTCAGGAATTTTAAATCTATGAAAAGGAAATTTAAGGTTGATATTCTTGTATAATCTATTTTTCTTTAAATATTTTGTTCAAAATTTATATTTGCTGTCTAGGGAAACCATTTGAGACAACTACAATCATGAATGCAGCTGTTGCCAACATTATAGTATCCATACTACTTGGCAGGAGATATGAATATGAAGATCCTACATTTCAAAGATTACTAAAGCTAGTTAATGAAAATGTCCGGCTTTTTGGAAGCCCTTCAGTCCTGGTAATAGCTTTTTTTCACTCCCAAACGTATTGCCAATCTAGATAGCATGGGCTGGAAGTGAGAATTTCATGTGGCTTTGTAATTCTGAAAAATCCAGAATCTGAAAAGTTGAGGAACTAAATATTTTTCCCCATGTGTCACAGGATCAAATATTCACATATGCCAGAGGGCCAAATGGCCTGTCATGTCATAATATGTAGCTGAACTGTCTGGATGCTTGGTTCTTTGCATTGGATTTGATATTTTCTGAGCTTGTATCCAGAATGCTATGCTTGGGTGTCACTGCTCAATGCCTCTGCTTCTTTGGCATATTGTGACTCTCATTGTTGTGTTCCTCATCTTGCTCAACACTTATATGAAGGTCCTGAGAAAGCTTACTGGAAAATTTAGATGACAATTCAGTAGCATTGAATAGTGTCCCAGTTCAAAAATGGATTCAACCAATTCTGGCAGGGATTCTTCTTATCCTGAAAACTTTGGGTCTAAGAGTACTGCTTGATCTGACACTTTCTGGACTCTGGCAGCGGTTAGTTTAGTTTGGCATAATGTCCATTGAAGACAATCTGGGACATTCACTTGGTAGAATGTCCAGGAACTGATGACCGGAGTCATGATCATATTACTCAGATTATTGATGCATCTGTCACAACACTGGGTTGTAGGTTTTTTCGGGTTATATGGCCATGTTCTAGAGGCATTCTCTCCTGACGTTTCACCTGCATCTATGGCAAGCATCCTCAGAGATAGTGACCTCACTACCCCTGAGGATGCTTGCCATAGATGCAGGTGAAATGTCAGGAGAGAATGCCTCTAGAACATGGCCATATAGCCTAAAAAAAACCTACAACAAACCAGTGATTCCGGCCATGAAAGCCTTTGACAATACATTGTCACAACACCCTTTGCAGTAGGAAGATTCAGACAGAGTCGGATTGCCAGGAATCCACATCTTTTGATGAAAGAGGCTGGGTTTCATGCAAAGTGCATCCCTACTCCCCAGCAGGAGGTGGAAGATGCTGAGGTCACATTGCCATCATTTGCAGAGTGATGGAGACTAGAAACAATAATACGTGACTATTACATAGGAGATGCTGACTGATGGTTTGAGATAGCTGTCTATAAAACTCCCAGCAGCTCCCTGATGGCTTTGTTGCTTACAAGAATTTTATTATGATGACTGACAGTATTCAGGTTCAATGTATTGTTGAAGGCTTTCACGGTCGAAATCACTGGGTTGTTGTAGGTTTTTTTGGGCTATATGGCCATGTTCTAGAGACATTCTCTCCTGACGTTTCGCCTGCATCTATGGCAAGCATCCTCAGAGGTAGTGAGTATTCATGTTTCCTTGGCCCTGCACTGGCTAGGATTTGTTAATCTATTTTTCTCCTTGTTGGCTTTATTATTTAGACTACTGACTTACTATAAGAATTCTGAATTACCCTCTTGCCTCTCCCCTTATCCATCTGGATAACTTGACTGACCTAGACTGCATCAAACACTCAATAGCTCTTGCATTTGCTGATGGGAGCATAGGACAGATTGTAAGCAACCAAGCTGCCAGGGATCTCATAGAATCAAAGAGTTGGAAGAAACCTCATGGGCCATCCAGTCCAACCCCCCGCCAAGAAGCAGGAATATTGCATTCAAAGCACCCCCAAAAGATGGCCATCCAACCTCTGTTTAAAAGCTTCCAAAGAAGGAGCCTCCATCATGCTCCGGGGCAGAGAGTTCCACTGCTAAACGGCTCTCACAGTCAGGAAGTTCTTCCTCATGTTCAGATGGAATCTCCTCTCTTGTAGTTTGAAGACATTGTTCCTGAGAGATTTATAGGAAGCTTGCTCAAGGCACCAGGTAGTAGTGTCTCCTATTTAATAGCTGCTGGGATCACCATAATCTCTCTATTGCTCTGCAATTCCAACTTCTCAGACTCAGGCCCCTACTACGCTGCCATATAATTCAGATTATCATAACAGATAGTCCACATATTCTATTTTGAACTGTTGCTTATCAGATGCTTGAGAATTTGAGTTCCTCAAGATTCTACTATGTATTGGAAGTATTTAAAATATTTGTCTGAAAGAATATCTCTTTTAGGAAATTTTCTTTGTCTTTGTCATGTTTCAGTTCTACAATATGTTTCCTGCTATTGGTTTCCTTTCTGGCGGTCGGAAAACTTGCCTTGATAACAGAAATGAGCTTTTTGCATTCATAAATACTACATTCATAAAACACCTCAAAGAACTGGATGAAAATGACCAGCGGAGCTTAATTGATACCTTTCTTATCCGGCAGCAAGAGGTAAGGAAGTCTTTTCAAAGGGAGGGATGCTGACAATTTCATATAAACAATCTCAGCATTTTCTAAATATTATTATATCTGTTAACAGTAAGGATTTTCAGCAAATTTATCTTGATCACAAAAGTATAGAATATTAAAGATTGTACCCTGTTAATAGGATATGCATGTGTGCATGTACGTTTTGAAACACAGCAAGGATTGGTATTCACCCCCTTCCTCCTCAGTGCTCAACCTCACCCCACTTATTATCACCAAGGCCCATGGATTCACCCCACATCAGGTTGAATCCATAGGCTCCTGGCGGGGGGTATGGAAGCCGCCATTCCATGCCCCACACTGCCCATTTGACCTCTTTCTTCATCCCATGTGAGGAAGCTTTATTGCTCAGCTGGCTCCCAAACTAAAAGCAAGGCAACATGAGAAGGCAGCGGGAGCTGCTTCACCTCCCTTTTTGTCACGGAGCCCAACCAGAAGTTGCTTTATGCCCTTTATGTGAAAGATCCTATAATTGGTCTGCACTGCAGCGGAGAGTTCTGCAGTTCCTGGAGGCAAAGATTGGGATCAACTGATGAAATGTGCCCCAACAAACAGCTCAAAACTAGGACTGCTTTCAGCTTTCATCACTTTCCCCTAAGCCCTGACTTTGTATCTAATCCCTAATAAAAGTACTTGAAAATTGCAACTTTTTAACTTTTCCGCTTGATACTTTGTGCCCTTCACTGCCTAAGCTAACCAATGCATGAAATAAATCTTTTCCTAGGCTCCGGGGAACCGCGAGCCGGCCTGGGATGCCTCCCTGGTGTCCCAGGGATGCTGAATCTGCTACAATCAAAACCTTCGAATCTCGGTATCCACAAAACCTTTAAATGGCGGATTGGCTCCATTTTAGTGCCATATTTTTCTGTGCTAGATTCCAAACTAAACTGCTATCTTGCTTTTCTCATTTCGGATCCCTACGCCCGGGAAATAATCTTTTTGTTTTAAAGAATATAATTTGACAGAAAACAGCTGATTGTCAAATTTCGCCGGCTCCGGGCAAACCAGCCTATTTCTCCTCGCTGATACTCATTCCTGCCTAGCTCCATAACTGGGAACTTGCTGCGGCTGCCCCCAGGAGACCTCGGAGAGGGGGCCGGGCAGGAGGCCCAGTCCTTGGGAAGGAGTTATAGTTCCCCAAAGACCAAGCCATGGACTTACCGATCAACTCAGCGCCCATCTGCTAACCCTAAGCAAGGAAAAATGACTTTCTGGTGCCTGTTTTGGACTACAATCCGCACACATTTCCACAAGCTCTTTCAAAGAAGCTCGGAGTTTTCAAATAAAGAAATGATTTTATTATTAAGTATCTGGGATGGGGACGGGATCTTCTCTGTATGAAATATATTGTTTAAATGTGTATGAAATATTGCTTGCCCTCCTGTCTTGCCCCCTGACTTTTGCCCTAGAAAAATGTGACCAAGGACTGTTGAAATGCCTGAGGGAGAGCCAAGCTTTCCCGAAACCAACCAAATCATCAAACATCTTGCATGGACAATAGCAAGTTGAAACATCCTCTTGTTTGCTTTCTGAGTTTTGTCTGGCAGGCAAGGAAGTTTCTCTGGACACTTTGATTAAATTACAAAGGGACAAGGACGACCCCCGGGGTCCCCTGTCCTGGCCCTGTTTACTTCATTCACCAAGCCCATCAAGAGGCACACCTTATCAGATCTGAAGCAGGAAAACCTTTCTTAAAATAATTAAGCTTTTCCGGCCAAAACAATGCCTCAAATTCCAGCTGGCCGGCTAGCGATAATCCCATCATTTCCCCCATTTTCCGCTGTCGTCCCGCCTTCTCTCTTCTGATTCGTCCATCCTTGGAGGTGAGAGAAGTGCGCCGATTGGCTCCTCAGAGGCGGAGAAGCTTGCTGATTGGCCCAGAACGAGGCGGGCCGCCAAGCCTCCTCCCAGCTGTTCGGACTGTCAACCAATCAGCGTGAAGCCGGGCGGAGAGGGGCGGGCGGGAAATTCAAAATGTTTTCCTGTATTTTCTCTATAAAAATGCCTGTAAACTCTGTATTGGTATGCTTGTAGTGGAACTATCCCTGCAATGCATCCGATCTCAGCTGAATCGCTAATAAAGACACCTCGGTCGCCAGCTTCTTCCGCTTTGGTGGGGATTTATTATTTTAATATTTTCTGCTGGAATTGGCTTCGCTGCCCTCACCAAGGTTCAGGGACCCTCTTTGGTGCGGTCCTCGGGATCTCTTCAGCTGGGGAGATCCTCCTAAAAGCGGCTCGATATCACCAACATCACTTTTCTCAGGCCTCACTGGCACCAACAGGCTTAGGAGGGCCCTGGCATCACTCTCTGCAGGCCTCACTAGCACCAACAGGCCTAGGAGTTGCCAATATCGCTCTCCTCGGGCCTCACTGGCACCAATGGGCCAGGAGGGCCCCGGCATCATGGGTGATGTTGGCACCCTTCTAGGCACCAACGGGCCTAGAAGGGTGCCAACATCACTCTCCTCAGGCATCACTGGCACCAACGGGCCTAGGAGGCCCAACATCAATCTCCTCAGGCCACAGCAGTTCCAGTTAACTTCTTGTTGTTGTTCGTTTGTTTTGGCAATGAATGTATGCAGCTTTGTTACTTTTGTTTGTAAACTACCCTGAGTCCCTTCGGGGAGATAGGGCAGGATATAAATAAATTAATAATTATTATTATTGTTATTATTATTATTTCCAATATATATTGTCTATAATGCTATTGTGGGGGCCACAGTGACGCAACGGGTTCAACCACAGAGCTGCAGAAATTGCTGACTGAAACATCAACCATTTGAATCCATGGAGCAGTGTGAGATCTGGCATTAGCTCCAGCTTCTGCCAACCTAGCAGTTCAAAAGCATGCAAATGTGAATAGATCAGTAGGTACCACTCTGGCAGGAAAGTAATGGTGCTCCATGTAGTCATGCTGGCCATGTGACCTAGAAGATATCTACTGACAACGTCAGCTCTTTGGCTTAGAAATAGAGATGAGCACCATGCCCCAGAGTCGGACTCAACTAGACTTAATGTCTAGATAAAGGAGTTATTAAATATTGAAACCCCTTTGACACTTTTGGCCCATGCTGTATAATAAATTAATATAAAACAACAAATACATAATGCAATCTATCCAAGGTCTCCATTTTTTCTATCTCCATGAATGTCATGCTTCCTACTGTTTCTCATTATTTCTTTTGACATATGCACATGGAAGATTGTTACTCCTTTTGTTTTAAGCCATTGTTTCTTTTTTCAACATAGGAGAAAAGCAACAATGTTAATGGATATTTCCATAACGAAAATCTAAGAAGTCTTGTGGGCAATTTATTTGCTGCTGGCATGGAGACCACTTCCACCACCCTGCGCTGGGCCCTTTTGCTCATGATGAAGCACCCAGAAGTTCAGCGTGAGTACCCTTCATTGACATTATTCCAGTACATCTTTATTTCCATTCTGCATAGGAATTAGGACAACTAAAGTTAATTTGAGGAAATGTAGATAGAGTTGGCAATTACTGCAATACAAGAGGAGACAGGGAAAAGGAGAGTGCAGTTTCTGCTCATGCTTTGGATGGAGCCAGATTTATGAATGTCGTTGTATATGCCATTTTTGTTGGACCAGTGGGCTTCATAACAAAGGTCCCTCCCCATAAATGTACAGCAGAGCAACTGGGATTGTGGTGTAGCTGGCTGAGTGTCAGCTGCATTAAGATCACTCTGACCAAAAGGTCATGAGTTCGAAGCCAGCCCGGGTTGGAGTGGGTTTCCAACCAATTGTGTAGCCTGTTGTCAACCTTTGCAACCTGAAAGACAGTTGCATCTGTCAAGTAGGAAAATTAGGTACCACCTTAAAGTATGGGAAGGCTAAATTAACTGATTTATGAGGCCATAAAAAAAGACTCCAGCAAGCACCCCAGCAAAAAGCATGCAGGGAATGCGGAGGTACTTCATCAGTGTCGCAGATGGACGATGAAAGTGACAGCTCCCCTGGCGGCCAGACAAAGTTAAATAGCCTCTGTCTATGTCTGTATATATTGTATGTCAAAAATTGGCATTGAATGTTTGCTATATATGTGTACACTGTAATCCTCCCTGAGTCCCCTGCGGGGTGAGAAGGGCGGAATATAAATGCTGTAAATAAATAAATAATAAATAAATGTTGATGCAATGTAAAACTTTATGATCTTATTAGAAAAAAATTGTTCTGTTTCCTAGGTAAGGTCCAAGAAGAAATTGCGGTCACTGTTGGGTCTGCTCAGCCACGGGCCGAACACCGAAAAAAGATGCCATACACAGATGCAGTAATTCATGAAGTTCAAAGATTTACTAATATTATCCCAACCAATGTGCCACGTGCAACTACTCAGGATATTACTCTTAAAGGTTACTTCATTCCAAAGGTGATTGGATTACTGTACTTAGACTAATTCATTTGCATTTTTAGCCAGTGGTTTGTTTCTAACAATATGTTATATGTTCAAGCAGCATATCATGTTTCGTTGCATAGTAGTCATATTTTCACCCCTTTTTTTCAATCAAGAAGGGACTGACTATTACACGAGGAAAAATCTCCCTCTGTTTGTGTTTGTTTGTTTGCTTATTTTACTGCAGAGCAAATTGGACTGATTTCCCTCCCTTCCTCTTTTTTTTAAGGCAAGGGAGTTTAAAAACCACAAAATGGAGTTCTCTTATCTCATTTCTCCTTCCTCTGTGGGTGCTTCCAGACAGCATGAAAATCTGGTTTTAAAATGAGATTAAAAATCCCAGGGACTGACTGAAGGTCCCCACACAGGCCTGTCAGTCCCAGGATTGGGTCCCCTGCCATCCTCACAGGCATCTTCTGTATCAGGTCAAGATAGAGGACAGATAGGGACATCCGGCAGAAGACTGTCTTTTTTAAAAATCACTCCATTTCTCTCTTTCCCCAATTGTTTATTCAAGCTCTGTTTAATATCATAAAGTTTAAAATAAAGAGTTTCAGAGTTCTATTTGCGCTCCATTCATGCTTCCTTTAAATCAGCTATGTGTCCGTTTCACAGCCCAATTTGATTAGCTGTTTTGGGCTTTTAAAAAATGGACATGTGCTGGAGCAGTCTCCACAACAGTGAGGGAAGGAAATAATATGTTTTTCCTGTGTGCAGGGATATACAGTGATATGAATATGTGCATTTTCTGGCAGGAATTAGGATAAAAGGATTCCTTCTTTACCCCATGTTTTTAATCTGTTGCAGCAAATTAGTGCAGATTTTCTGCCCCTACCCCAGAAAATCCCCTGTTTTAGGTACTGTGTAGATAGGCCCTGGGGCCTTAAGGCGGTTTTTAAAATCTGAAATGGAGATCTCTGGCACTCCAATCATCCCTTCTTCCTCTGATCTCTAAAAAAAACTCCATTCCGGATTTTGTAAATTGCCATAAAACCCCTGATGGAGAAAGGAGGGGGAAAGAGAGAAGAGTGGAGCTTCAGAGACCTAAATTTTACAGTTTTAAAACTACCTTGTCTTCTGAGAGTGACGGAAGAGAGAAAAATCAGCCCCAAATGAGGATGCAAGTATTATGAAAGGAAAACAAAAATATATATTTTAGTACCCGAAACATGGTGGTGCAACTATTATTCGGTGGCAACTATTATACTATGAAAAAGGGTAAATGAGTAGACTTGTGCATTTTGGCTGAACCTCGATCTGTTTCTGCTGGCTGAATTCTGGGAGACCCATGGATCTGTTTTCGTGTGCCTTCCAAAAGCGGGTGAGTAGCCTAATTGCCGTTTTCGGTCTGCAGCCAAAAAATGCAGCTAGATCCGGCTCATTGGCAACAATGGGGGGCTTCCCGGGCTTTCTGTCTTGTCGTTTTTGGGCTATCGGAATTAAAATGACCACACTTGGAGAACACATCAACCACTGTTAGCCCACCAAGTTCCATAACGTTTGGGCCATCCCCTAATTTTTAGGAATTTTAGGAATTTCTTTTCCATTTAGAAATAAGATCTCCTTTTTAAAAAATTCCCTAAAAGGTATCTCTTGCTGGCCCTGCCCTGTAACTTCTCCAGAAGCAGCATTCATTCCTGCCAAATGTCAAAGATGCACTCCCACATTACACAGCCCAGTGCCCAACTATTACACTTCCTTCTTTACTAATAAAAAACAACAGAAAGCAACTTCTTCCAGAGCTTTTGCATTTTTTGTTCTAACAACAACAACAACAACAACAACAACAACAACAACGGAGTCTGGCAAAGTTTCTCCACAGATTGAAGTCCAAAACTAAGTTTTGTAGTTCTTCTTACAAAGGATATTTACTAATACTTATTCGTATTCTTATTCATATTTGAAATTCAGAAGGCAGAGCACAGAGTGAAATATAAACATAGAGAACTTGTTTGTAAAGGAATAAAATTATAGGTAGTAGTTTTCTGAGAATGAGGCTTTTCTGTTTGTTTGCTGAGATTATTAATTATTATTATTATTAATTATTATCATTTAAAAGTATTTTCCGAAGTATATGAGGGGAGGAGGAAAAGAAGCTCAAGGTTGACTCAAGGCTCTCAGAGCCACTCAAATATTTCTTTTTAAAAGCACACCCAAGAGCAAAGAGAGATGCTCTTTCTTTCACCCAAATCCCCAAACACGCACACACACTCACTTGTTTCCCATGTTCCCAACATCCAGTCAGTCCCATTAAATAAAAAGAATCAAGAAAATAAAGGAAAATTGAAAAGATTCAATGTTAGCGAGAGGCCAACCAAGCCAAGCCAAAAAATAAAGCTGAGAGCAAGCAGCATGGCAATTGGACTGAAGAACCTCTCTAGGGCCAGGACGCAACTGAGAGCAATGGAGGCACCACCCAAGTTTACATACGATAGATTATGGCATTATTCTATTCTGATTGGCTGAACAGGCAGAGTTCACAGGGAAAACCTGTGTGAGCAGCATGCAGCAGCCTCTCAGCACACCGTGTGGTGCTGAAAAGGGGACAAGGAGCTGTGACCTGCTGCCATGAGACCCATTCCGGACAGAAAAAAAGTGATGTCTCAGCCCTTGCCATTATGGCCAACTGAACAAGCCAAAGAAGCCGGATTGGCTTAACCAAAACAAATCCGTCCACAAGAATGATAAGAAGCACCAGATTCTGCCAATAAAAAATAACTCAATCTAATTTGTTTTGTATTGTCTTGAAGATTTTCTCGCTGCAAGATACTCTAGCTAACTCAGATCTTATTTCTTTTGTACTAAGACATTTACCTCTGTATATGTGAAGCCAATTTTAGATTTTAAGGATTACAGCACAGCCTTGTGTGTAATTGTATTAAACTAACCAATAGCTTTGACCTTACAGGGAACCCAGATCATTCCATTACTGTCCTCTGTGCTCCACGATGATTCTCAATGGGAGAAACCACTTAAGTTCTATCCTGAGCATTTTATCGATCCTGAAGGGAACTTTGTTAAGAGAGACGCCTTCATGCCTTTCTCTGCAGGTAGTACCTTTTATGTGTCCAGAGTGGACTCAATTCATTCATGTTGATTTGGTGTACAAATGGTTTCAGAGGATCCTCTGTAGGGAATCATTCCCAAGCTACTTCGTTCACAGCAGGTGCACAAGGAAAGGTTTTTCCTCAGGGCGATGAGGTGGGTTTCATTCTAGCAGGCAACCAAACATTACCATGTTATAAAAAATATGATGGCTTTGCCAGTTAATACAGATGGCACTTGCAACTCTGGAAATATGTGGAGAGATACAAGAGAACAATGGGAAATTGTGATAAATTGTAGGAATTTCAATTACGTATGAATGATGCACCAGGAGAAAAAGGAGCCAGGAGAGATTTTCGTCCTGCCCCTCTTCTCTTGCCGTGTCATTCATATACTATCAGCCTATCCTCCTGGAAGGTTTTGGGAGAGCATTTGGACACCCGCCCCAGAAAGCCTGCACTTCTTGGGGCGGGTGTATATTAGAACCAGGGAACATTCGTGTTTTTAAAACATGATTGTTCCTGGATTAAAAGCCTGTCTAGAACCGCCCTAAGTGTGTATTTCCATAGATGCATACTGCCTCTTTTCCTCTTCCAAGAGTTCTATTTTGCTTCATACAAGATATAGTTTTTAATCCTAAAACAAATTTCCTTCATTTAATTGATTATTGGAAGTCTCAAAAGTAGATTTTTATATTGCTGCTAATTTGTGGTTGTTGCTTACAGGTCGGAGGCAGTGTGCAGGCGAGACTCTTGCCAAAATGGAGCTTTTCCTGTTCTTTACAACTCTTCTGCAGAGATTCACCTTCCAGCCAGCCCCTGGCACCTCTAGGGAAGACCTGGACCTTACCCCTTCAATTGGGTTTACGACGCCCCCAATGCCCTTTGATGTCTGTGCTCTGCCTCGTTGAGAAGGCTCAAGCCTGCTATGCGTCCAACTCTATACTTCTGCTATCTTATTCACCAAGGAAATTCACTGTACAAATTATTCTGTGCAACTAGCCCACGCTTGCTTACACACCTAAACTGTTCAACATACCATTGTGCTTTTTCGAAGGTCACATTTTCTCAAGGGAAAATGCAATTAACAAATGAGGTGTGCAGGGATGAGTGGGTTGTTTTGTGATGTCCGCTGAGGATAATAGTACAATGCCAATAAAGCTTAGCTTTTCTTTCCTTTTTTTATTCTATTCTAATAGAGCATACGCACCCTCTTGGCATCTGCCTGAGCAGCAGCAATGCCTTAACGCAGGTATTTCCTGGGAAAGTTTAGTCAGACAGACTATTGTGAAATAGTTAAACAGATCCAATTCCTTGTATGTACATTTGTAATTCATTAGGGTTGTGCAAAACTTCGAAACTGGGGATTCAGATGATTCGGAAATAGGAATTACTAATCAGAAAGGACCCCTCTGAAGCATATATGAATCAAAACACAAGCCTCCAAAACTTTCAGAGAGATTAGTAAAAGATTTGTTGTTTTGGAGCTTTTTTTTTCAATTGATATACTCCATCGCCCCATTGCCCGTGATTATCTAGGGTTGGAGGGGGGCTAGGGCTCAGGTGGGACGGGGCTAACGTGATTGAAAAGGGCAGCTGTATGCTGTTTTTTCCTTGTCAGCCAATCAGAAGAAGAAAGTCAAATCACATGGCTTTCTGGAAATTTAGTCTTATATATACTCCCCTCAGCTTCTCATCTGTGTGGTGTGGCATTTGCAGAAAAGATAGATAAGACGTGTTCATTGGAGCTCTGTTCTGTTTCTGTGCATTTCTTAAAACTATAAACTTCCTCTATTAAAGTTATTCAAACTTAGATTTTCCAAATTCCCATAGATTGCTAGCTAGTAGGTATACTTCCTCCTCAGCCTCTACCTTCCCCTCTTATGAGTTTACTATGTGTTGTTGTGTGTGTGCCTCCTCTCCCCCCCCCAAAAAAAATTATAAATAACCAAAAAAGTCATTTGTTCTGTGTCTTTTTCTGTGTGTTTAGCCTGTTATTTATTATTATTTCCCCTTGGTGCTGCTGCTTCTGAATCTGTTCCTCTTTTTGCTACTGCTGCTGCAGTTGAGGTGAGGGCACAACTTGGAGTCTCACAGTCTGTGCTGGCAGTGCCCATTAGAGCTAAGGAGGAGGAAGAGCTGGATTTGTCTCTTGAGACAACTGAGGAGTTCTGCAGGATTTGGAAGAGGGGTCGGATGGGGACTGTTAGGTGGCATCCCTGGAATGCTCTCCTTCATGTGGGTGTGCAATCACGGCTGGCAGTGGGTGGGATGAGGGACCTGCAGGTGATGAGTCTGCACCCCTGGTGCCTGGAACACCTGGGTCCACTGTTTCCATTTCCAGGTACTGCTGGAGGATCCAACACAAGCAGTGTACAACCAGGGGCGGCTCAACCATTACGCAAAGTAAGCCTTTGCAGTAGAGTTGATTTTGCCCAGGGGCACTCTTGAGGCACTCTTGGGGGAAAATAGACCTTAACATATGTGATTTGTAGTTACTGGGATGTATAGTTCACCTACAATCAAAGAGCATTCTGAACTCCACCAATGATGGAACTGAACCAAATATGGCACACAGAACTCCCACAACGAACAGAATATATATATCAGTGATTGGTGGGGGGACCAAAATACTGTTTGCTTACCGTTGAAAATTACCTAGGGCCGCCTCTGTGTACAACCACTGCAAAATGAAAATCAAAATAAACATATTCTCTGGCTGCAAGTAGAAACTTTGCCTCAGAATTTTTATTAGGGCCATCAAAAGTGCGATGACTCCAAATCCAAGGTTTCAGATTTCTTCTCCTGTAATTGCCCAAGTCCTTGGGCCAGAAGGTTAAAGCACTCAGTTTGATTATGATCTTAGTTTTCTCATTTTTTTCCTGTGAGCTTCAAGCTTCTTTACTGATCCTTCATTTTCTCTTTTTGTTTTTGACTGGATTTTCTGGATCTGTTGTTTTTCTTCTTATATCTTCTGCAACATGAGATTTCCTCATGTTCATATATTAAATGTCAGCATATTTCTTTTATCTTTTACCTTTCTTTTATCTCTTTCAATTTTCAAATCATTGTTAAGTCCCTTAGTCAGCTGATCAGCGGAATTACAAGCATCAGTTGCCTGCGCTAGTTTCATCTTGATCTCAGTGTTTTCATTTGCAATTTTCTCTGCCAACTCATTCATCTTATGGAGATGGGAATTTTCCTGACATTTTCCTTGATTACTTCTTTGAGCTGTGCTTCCAAATATTGACACCTCTTTTGTTTTTCCTCTATTTCACATTCCAGGGTTTTACACTATTTGCTTTTATCAGACAGCTTCACTTCTAATACTCGCATGTGATATTTAAGTGTGTGAAAGGATTATTCGAGACTTTTGTCTCTTTCCTCCTCCCTCTTGAGAACGCCTACCAGCTCGGCATGCTTCTTCTTTAGCTGCTTCAGTTTGTCCTGTATTTCTGGGCAACTGTACTTCACAGACCCTAGGACAGTAGCTTTTGTCCTTTTCGGAGGAATTTCCTCTCCCTCCTCCTGCTTGATCTCATTCTCCATGGTCATCTTATCTCTCAAAGTATTTCTAGGTGCCTGCTGTTGAAGAGGACTCAGGCTCTGGTTGCAGACAACAAGGATTGGCAACAAAGAACAAGGGGTCTTCAGTAGAATGGATGGGATTAAAACTGGCACAGAATCCACAGAGTCTTGGTTTTCTAATTCTTTCCTGCAAACTTCAAGCTTTTCTACTGTTTCTTCATTTTCTTTACTGTGCTGTTTTGAAGGTCACAATTTCTCTAAATGAAAACTGGATTAACAAAATAATAAAGCAGTGGTGGTGGTTGGTGGGTGGATGGATGGGTGTGTTGTTTTGTGGTGTCTGCTGAGAACGGCATTTAAATTTGTTGCACAATAGTGCAATGACAATAAAGCTATTCTAGTCTGTTCTAAAAGAACGTGCTCACCTTCCTGGCATCTGCCTGAGCAGCAGCAAAGCCTTAACGCAGGTATTTCCTGGAAAATATGTCAGACAGAAGATTGTGAACTAATTTAGCAAATCCAATTCCTTATACATATATTTGTAATTCATTAGGGCTTTAAAGCTCTGTAATTAGGAGATTTGGAAATATAAATTACTAATCAGAAAGGACCCCTCTGAAGCATTTACAAATCAAAACACAAGCATTTGTTGTTTTGGAGCTTTTTTTTCAATTAATATTCTGTATAGCTAGCTTAAACCAATGAAATGATTTGTCTTTGGGAACCAATGAGAATGTGTATGCCCAAAATGGTAAAAGCTCTGCATAACCAACAAACTCTTTAATTGCATTCCTGTATACATGTTTGTTGTTATTGCTAGGCCCGCAATAAAGCCTTTGTAGTAAGAATCCAACTTACGGCTTCCTCCTTGCATGGCTTCATTGGGCCAATGTGGGGACTCCTAAGCTTGTGCATTTGGAGTGCTGGTGAACCCATGCGCCCACATCGGTAGCCCTTTCATTGAGCGTACCAGGGCTCACAATTTCTCTCCCTTGTTCTGAACTCCTCACTTTCACTGCAGTTCTGACATATTTTGAGGATGAAACGGGAGTTGACTATCATTGTCTGATGGACTCTGTGCCATGTTGTCCAGGCAAGGTTCACTTTATCCCAAAGTGTGGATAAGAAGAGCCTCCTCATCACTTTCCAGTTCTCACCATGCAATAAAGTAAAACCTGAAAAAAGAACTCAACGTTCACTTCATAGTTATACTGACATTAATTCAACATTATAATGAGAGGAATTTGTGATGATTTCATTTATCAAACTGTCCATCATCTCATCTTCAGTCCCTTCCACTGTGCTCAACTGTGAAATAAAGCTTATTTGTACTCTTAGCTTTTAATGTACTTGACTCAATGGCTAAAAGGGGTTATCTTTTTTTTTTCAGAATGAAAGTTTTTTTTCACTACTGTATTGCAGAAATTACATTTTGATGAAGATAAAATGCAATACAATGGTTCCCCTCCCTTCCCCCTCCCCCCAAATTCATGTGCACACACACATATATTTAAAGACAGACTATAGGGTCTCTGCATGGAGAAGGTGGTGAAATGCTAACAGGGGATAGGGAAAAGGCAGAACTGTTCAACACCTTCTTTGTCTCAGTTTTCTCACAAAAGGAAATCAGTATTCAGCCTGAACAATATGGAGTGGATGAGGCATCATGGGAAATGCAACCCAAAATAGGTAATGTAGTCAATGGAAATCTGACAGCTCTAAATGAATTCAAGTCTTCAGAGCCAGATGGAGTATTCTTAAAGAGTATAGAAAGGACTGGCACAAGCAATTTTAGAACCACTGGTGATAATCTTTGATAATTCTTGGAGCAGATGATTTAGAAGGCAGTTTGTAGTGACTTAGAAAAGAAAACTGTGATTACTAAAAGTCAATATGGGTTTCTCAAGAACAGGGCATGCCAGACTAATCTTATCTCTTTTTTTCAATAGAGTTACAACGTTGGTAGGTGCAGGAATGCTGTGCATCTAGAATATCTTGATTTTGGTGATTCTTTTGACAAAATCCCCCATGACCTTCTTGCAAACAAACTAGTCAAATGTGGGCTAGACAATATTACTGTTGGTGGATTTGTAATTGGTTAAGCAACTGACCCTAAAGGTGCTCACCAGTGGTTCAATGATTGAGTCCCCTTGGGGAGATTGGGTGGACTACAAATGAAGTTTTTTTTTATGTACTCATCTTCATCCAAAAGAAGTGACTACCACAGAGTTCGATTCTAGGTCTGGTGCTGTTCCAACATCTTTATAAATGACTTGGATAAAGGTTGAGAGGTCATGCTGATCAAGTTTGCAGATGACATCAAATTGGGAGGGCTCGCTAATACTCTAGAAGGCAGGATCAGAATTCAAAACAACCTTAACAGATTGGAGAGCTGGGCCAAAACCAACAAAATGAATTTCAACAAGGAGTGTAGGATACTTCACTGGGGCAGATAAAATGAAATGCACAGGTATAGAATGGATGATCTCTGGCTCAACAACAGTCCATGTGAAAAAGAGCTTGTAGTTTTAGTGGACAACAAGTTGAACATGAGCCAACAGTGTGATGTAGCAGCTTAAAAGGCCAATGGGATTTTGAGCTGTATCAAAAGGAGTATAGTGTCTAGATCAAGGGAAGTCGTGGTGCCTCTATTCTACTTTGGTCAGACCTCACCTGGGATAACACTGTGTCCAATTCTGGGTGTTATCGAACATGACCACCTCCACCCCTCAATAAAAAGGAAAACATAATCCCACCATGAAGGGAGTCATAGTTTCCCAAGGACCCAAGGCCAGGATGAACTGCATTGGCCTTCATTCCTCTAGTCTTCCTCAACCATCCTCGGACCAGCAGCAAACCCACTGACTTCATGTGCATTGCTTGGATATTCATTTTCCAATGCAAAAGTAGATGATGAAGTTTGTCTCTGTTGGGCGCAAGGAAAGGCCCTCACCATCCCCAAAGTGCAAACCTATTTTGGTGGTAGATCCACCCCCTCTGCAGTTCTCCTTTTAAGTCCCAGGCAGGAGGTGAGGCAGCCGTGCAGAATGGGACACGCTCCCTGCTGAGTCACGGCCTCAGTCCTGCCGAGAACAGAGTCCACTGATAAAGGAAGTTTGGTCCAAAGAAGTATCAACCAAAGGCAATGTTTTCTTCCCTACAGCTTCAGTTTATTTTGCCTACATACAGTACCTTATATTACTCCCTATTGAAATCAATTACCGTATTTTCTGTCATGCAAGACAACTGAGCCTATAAGATGACTCCCAACTTTTCAAGTTAAAATATAGAGTTAGGTATATAGTTGTATAAGACTCCTCTTCCAACACAATTCTATTGATTTGGTAATGACGACTCCCAGAATGCCTCAGAGGGCACTTCTGGAGTTGTAGTCCGGAGGTGCTTCCTTGGACCTAGGTGTGCCTGGTGCCTGGTTGTACCCTGACATTAATTCCACTCATGTCTGTCTCTGGGGTGTGGTACTCATCTCCATTTATAAGCAGATGAGCCGGCATTGTCCATAGACACCTCCAAGGTCATGTGGCTACCATGACTTCATGGAGTGCCGTTACCTTCCCGCCGGAGTGGTACCTATTGATCTACTCACATTTGCATATTTTTGAATTACTAGGTTGGCAGAAGCTAGGGCTGACAGCGGAAACTCACACCGCTCCCCGGAATCGAACCTGCGACCTTTCGGTCAACAAGTCAGCAGCTCAGCGCTTTAACCCCCTGCGCCCTAACAGCTTTATCCCTAACAGCTCCTCCATTTCCTTCTTGATTATTTCATGGAACTTTTGTATTTTTTTCACATTCCCACCAGATGTGAGTGTATGTTCCGGTTTTTCCACAGTTATGCCAACATAGTTTTGGGCACGTTTTCATAATATGCGCCAACTGCACAGGAGTTCTATACCATTTTGTCAGTATTTTCTGTTGCATTTTTTTTAATCTTTAGATGTTTTATTTTATTGATTGATTTTATCCAATTATTTATTTTTCTCTCACTGCAACTGAATTCCTCCTTCCAGACTTCTATCAAGGTAGATTTTGTGTTGTATTGTATTTCCGTGATTATTTTGTATATGAATCCCATGATTCCTTCCTCCTCTACTTTCCATTGTATTATTTTGTCAAGATTTGTTTCTGAGGTTTCCTTACTCTTCCATTCTGTTAGCTTTTTAGATAGCCCTCCCCATTGGAGCTAGTTTCCATGGCCGCACTTATCTTTTATTTTCTCCCATTGTGTTACAGTTCCATCTGGTTTCAGTAAGTCCTCAATCTTTGTTATCCCTTTCTAAAGACTGTGCTGGACTCTATTTGAGCTGTTCAAATAGGTAGGTAACAAATAAAAGTATGTATTTATATATTTACTAGCTGTCCCCTGCCACGCATTGCTGTGGCCCAGTCTGTTGATCTGGAAAATAAAGTAATGAGAAAGTCTTGGTTTCTAATATATGTAATTTCTTTATGCTTGTGGGTAAACAGTATTTCTTGCTGCTTCTTTGTCAGTGTTGATATAGAGATTGTCTGGTTTGCTTACTCTGGAACATACAACATAATTGTCCTTCTTTAGGGGTCCCTTTCAAATCTATGATACTGTGTGTGTGTGTGTGTGTGTGTGTGTGTGAATTATATCTATCTCTATATCTATCTATATCTATGGCTCTTTGTCAGGAGGGCTTTGATTACATTTTTTGCCCTGGTGAGGGGAGTTGGACTGGATGGCCTTAAATATTTTCTGTTGGTCATGGGGTCCTGTGCGGGAAGTTTGTCCCAATTCTGTCGTTGGTGGGGTTCAGAATGCTCTTTGATTGTAGGTCAACTATAAATCCCAGTAACTATAACTTCCAAATGTCAAGGTCTATTTTCCCCAAACTCCACCAGTGTTCACATTTGGGCATATTGAGTATTCATGCCAAGTTTGGTCCAGATCCATCATTGTTTGAGTCCACAGTACCCCACTAGACAGGATGAAGAGGAGCCATTGATGAACACTATTTGTTTTGACCAGTCAAGCAATTATAAATCCACCTAATTGTAGCATTGTCTAGCAAGGCCCCTTCTATACTGCCATATGAAATCCGGATTATCTGCTTTGAACTGGGTTATATGGCAGTGTAGATGCAGATAATCCAGTTCAAAGCAGATAATCTGGATTATATGACAGTGTAGAAGGAGCCCAAATCTTACTTGATAAGGTTCATTGTGCATGACTTGTTTTTGGAAGATGGGAACAACAGCTGTTTAGATTTGTACTGTTTTCCAGGACTTCTCACAGATATTGCTAGTGGTTCCAATGCACCTTCTACACTGCCCTATATCCCAGGATCTAATCCCAGATGATCTGTTTATCCCAGATTATCTGGCAGTGGAGACTCATATAATCCAGTACAAAGAGGATAACCTAGCATCAGGTCCTGGAATATAAGGACAGTATACTTACTTTTCCTGCCAACCAACGTTACATTTCCCATTCTTGAGTTGGGAGTGTAGTAGATGCTTTGGGAGATGGTGATCGGGCATTCAGGCAATGTGGCCAGTCCAATGGAGTTGATGGCGTAGGAGCATCGCTTCAATGCTGGTGGTCTTTGCTTCTTCCAGCATGCTGACATTTGTCCACCTGTCTTTCCAAGAGAGTTGCAGGATTTTTCGGAGGCAGCACTGATGAAATTGTTCCAGGAGTTGCATGTGACATCCGTAGATAGTCCACATTTCACAGGCGTATAACAGGGTTGGGGGGACAATAGCTTTGTAAAAAAGCACCTTGATCTCTCTACAGATGTCCCGGTCCTCAAACATTCTCTGCTTCATTCGGAAAAATTCTGCACTCACAGAGCTCAGATGGTGGCGTATTTCGGTGTCAATATTGATTTTTGCAGAGAGGTGGCTGCCAAGGAAGCAGAAATTGTCAACATTTTCTAATGTTACACCATTGAGCTGTATTTCTGGCACTGCAAAGGGATTGCCTGGAGACTGCTGGAAGAGCACTTTGGTTTTCTCAATGTTCAATGACAGGCCAAGCTTCTCACATGCTTCTGTAAATGTGTTTAGAGTGGCTTGTAGGGCTTCTGAATGCGCACATTGTCATCAGCATATTGGAGTTCTATAACAGATGTTGTAGTGACTTTGGTTTTGGCTTTCAGTCTGCTAAGGTTAAAAAGCTTGCCATCTGTCCAATAAATTATTTCCTTTCCAGTGGGAAGCTTCCCATCAACAAGATGAAATATAGCGATTAAGATGGAGAATAAGTTTGGGCAATAACACATCCCTGTTTGACACCTGATTCCACCTTAAATGGGTCACTTTGGGAACTATTGCTGTTCAAGACTACTGCCATGATGTCATCATGGAGGAGCCACAGGATGTTCACAAATTTGTCTGGGCATCTTATTTTTTTGGAGGCTGGTCCAGAGACCACTGCAATTCATCGTGTTGAATGCATTTGCAAGGTCAAAGAATGCCATGTGCAGAGGCTGGTTTTGTTCTCTGCATTTTTCTGTCGTGCAGTGACGATCATGACCACTGTTCCTCTGGTGGGATGGAAGGCGTTCTGGGATTCTGGGAGGGTGTCTTCTGAGAGGGGTAGAAGGCAGTTTGCAAGGATTCTTGAGGATTTTCCCAGCAGAGGTTAGAAGGGAGATACCTCGATAGTTTCCGCAGCCTGTTTTACCCCTTCTTTGAAAAGGGTGATAATGGTGGCATCCTTGAAGTCTGCTGGGATTTTCTTGGTCACCCATACTTTTTCAATGAGCTGGTGGAGTTGTCATGTCAGCCCAGGTCCACCCTCTTTAAAGACTTCAGCAGGGATCCCTTCAGGTCCGCTGGCTATGGTTTTTCTTTGGGGGGGGGAGGTGTTTTGTTTTTTTGGTTGATGGCATTGCTGATTTCTTCCATACTAGGCAGTGCTGCAAGCTCATTCCTGGTTTGTTGTTGCGGGATTTGTGAGAGAACCTCTTCAGCTATGTTGGAGCTGCGATTCAGGAGGTTTTTGGTAGTGCTCTTTCCAACATAGTGCAACTGATTTTTTTTTCCCTTCAGAAGTTTGGTTCCATCTGATGAGCATAGAGGTGTGTGCCATGATTCTTGGTCCATAGATGACCTTTGTGGCTTTGTGGAGTTTTCTGGTCCTTCTTCGGACTTCAGCTTATGCAATAGCATAGATCTTTTTCTTGGCAGTATAGGAGGGGTCTGGAATGACTTCTGCTAAGTCCCAAGTCACTGGTTTTAAGAGTTTGAACCCATTTGCACAACTTTTATTTCGGGGAACTATTACATGGTGGGTAGAGAAGTGGGAAATGGTTTGTTCAACCTGATAAACAAGACAAGTAAATGATTTGTCAGAGGCAACCTATCACGTGGTCTAGTACATCTCTACAAAATATAAGGTCATCCTATTTCAGCTATCCTTGCTGAAATCATACTGTAACCTTCATTGCAGGTGCTGCAGAAAACTGCTTCCTGGAGAAATGGATTGGATACATCCAATTACAATATTTTTCCTAATTACTCTTATAATTATGCTGGTTTTTAAAATGGGCTATTTCTGGAATAACAGTTCCCAAAATCTTCCACCGGGTCCAAAGCCTTTACCAATCATTGGAAATCTCCACATAATAGATCAGGAGAGGCCTCACAGATCCATGCTGAAGGTAATATTTAGCTTTTTTTGAGCCACATTAGAGCAAATCCTAAAATTGGTACACCTGGCAACGATAAAAGCCTGTTTGCCATGTTGTTTTCTCAAGGTTTATTTAATGCTCTGCAATTGTTATTCTTTGTAGACTGAGTGTGGACTCAGTTAATCCAGTTCAAAGCAGATATTGTGAATCATCTGCCTTGATTTTGAGCCACGTGAGAACAAATCCTAAATTTTTTAAAGCCGGCAATCTAAAAGCTTGTGTCCCACGTTATTCTCGCAGTGTTTACATAATGCTATGCAATTGTTATTTTTTGTAGAATGAGTGTGGACTCAGATAATCCAGTTCAAAGCAGATATTGTGAATTATCTGCCTTGATATTCTGGATTATATGGCTGTGTGGAAGGGTCCGTAATCTTACTACTCCAGTTCTTTCCATTACCATTATAAATCATGTCTTAAAGTTCTCTGGAAATTTTCTAGATGTATAACTCTAATGAATGGTGACATTCCAGGAATAGGTACCACATATACTTGAGTATAAGCTGAGTTTTTCAGCACTTTTTAAGGCTGAAAAAGCTTCCCTCGGCTTATACTCGAGTGAGGGTCCTGATGGGAAGGTGTGGGGCTGAAAGAAAGCCCTTCTTACAGCCCCACACCTTCCTGCCAAGGACCCTCACCTCTTCACCCAGCAACACAGCTGGGAGAGATAGAGGAGAGGAAGACAAGTGCCGAGAGAAAGAAAGAGAAAGCTCCGAGAGGTGGAGAGAAAGGGGTGCATGGTTGCTGTGGGAGAGGGCGTGCGCCTGTGCTGAGCCTCTCTTAGAGCTCTCTCTCTCTCTCTCTCTCTGCACTTGCCTTCTTCTCTGTCTCTCCTAGCTGGGTTGCTGTGCAGAGAGGATATGTGCCTGTGCTGAGCCTCCCAGACCTCTCTCTTTCTGTCTTGGCACTTGCCTTCCTCTCCCACCCATCTTGTTTCCCCCTTCCCACACGTCTTTACTATCTCCAGCCACTTTTACTATCTTTTTACTATCTCCCACTTTTCCAGCTCCCTTTTCATCACAGCCTTTCCCAAGTTCCAGCCTGTTTTTCCCATTTTCCTGTCTTGCCCCAGTTCCACCCCAGTCTTTCCCGCTTTCCCTGCCCCCTTTCCCACTTCTATGTTTGCTCCCTTTCCATTCCAATCTTTCCAGCTTTCCAGCCAACATTCTGCCAAGGAGAGAGGAAGGTAAGGGGTTTTGAAACCCCGGGCTCCTGGTGCGGCTGCCTGCATGCCTGCTCTCCTTCCTCTTCAGGGTCAGCAACAGAGCAGCTGCCTGGGGAAGATTGCAAAATGAACAAGACTGCGGTGCAAAAGGCAATGTAATTTTATTGATATCAATTTTTATTTTTGAAATTTGCCAGTAGCTGCTGCATTTCCCACCCTCAGCTTATACTCGTGTCAATAAGTTTTCCCAGTTTTTTGTGGTAAAATTAGGTGCCTCGGCTTATATTCGAGTAGGCTTATACTCAAGTATATGCGGTATATGGAATAAGGATTGTTGCTGGGGGGGGGGGGGTTAAACAAGAAAAAAATGTCTTAAAGAAATAAATAAAATTCTGTAGAACCACGATACAGATCTGAATGTCAACTTTGAACATATATTTCATTCCAGTTGTCAAAAGTTTATGGCCCCGTCTTCAGGATCCAGATGGGATTCCAGAAAATGGTAGTGTTGACTGGGTATGAAATGGTGAAAGAGGCTCTGGTGAACCAGGCTGATGCGTTTGCTGAGAGGCCCATCATCCCATTGTTTGAAGAATTTGCAAACGGCTTTGGTGAAGTATTTTGTTTAATATAGTTGTTGTTGAAGTCCAGAATCTGTTGTTAAGAAATGTGGCAGTTGAAGTCCAAAACATCTGGAGGGCCAAAGTTTGCCAATGCCTGGTCTACAGCAATACAGGCAGCCCCAAGTTACAAACATACGATATACAAACGGCTCACAGTTAAAAACGGGGGTTTGGTGGGGGTTTTTTGGTCGTGTCAGGAGCGACTTGAGAAACTGCAAGTCGCTTCTGATGTGAGAGAATTGGCCGTCTGCAAGGACGTTGCCCAGGGGACGCCCGGATGATTTGATGTTTTTATCATCCTTGTGGGAGGCTTTTCTCATGTCCCCGTATGAGGAGCTGTAGCTGATAGAGGGAGCTCATCTGCCCCTCCTGCCGGAACAGGGGTTTAACTCACTGCCCCACCAGGGGCTCCTAAAAACGGGGGTAAAACAACAGGAGGTGAGGCTCTTTCTACACTGCCATGTAAAATCCAAATTATTTGCTTTGAACTCAATCATGTGGCAGTGTAGACTCATATAATCCAGTTCAAAGCAGATAATGTGGATTATCTGATTTGATAACCTGGAATATATGGCAGTGTAAAAGGGGCCTGAGAAAAATCTACCTCTCATCAGGCAAATTCACTCTTGAAAGAGTTATCATGGGGAAAAGGTGTCTCCACTAAAAATTTACCACTAATCCTTGTTACCCCAACAAACCAATTTTTTCAAACTTCTATTTTCACAAGGACAGAAATTGAGGTGAAATCTTTTGAATAGGGGCACAGACAGCAAAACGAACACGGCTGGGGTGTTAACATTTCCCTATGCTATCCAAAGCTTGCACACACACACACACACACACACACACACACACATATATGTATGGCTGGAGTTACATTTCAAAATGTACCTATTCCTACTTACAAATAAATTCAACTTAAGAATAAACATACAGAAACTATCTTGCTTGTAACTTAGGGACGACCTGTATATAATAAATTTACAGCAACGGTTGTACCCATTATCTATTATCTCAGTTCTTTCAGCACAGTTTTTAAACTGTATTAACATTTATAAATATTATAAATATTATCATGCTGTTTACAACTAATTGGCATTCTGTGACTCATAGGTATGGTACAATAGTACAAGCAACCAAATAATCTTAGGGGTTCTCTTCTGGGCCACATTAAGGTAAGCCATTATTATGTGCTAGTATATTAAAGTATTTTTTTAAAAGAACCCATGATAGGTTCGCCTTAGGGTTACCATAAGTTGGAACCATCTTTAAGGCACACAGCAACAAATCAGGCAACAAAGAAAGATCACATTACTAATGCAACTGGCTCAACATTTCTTAATGATCACTACAGTTGTCCTCTTTGCTCATTTTAGCACATACCCATGGTTTTCAGGTCTACTACACTTTCCCATCTCCAATTCCATACAAAAAAATCTTATCATGAGTCAGTTTAGAGATTCCCTAAATACAAGGGTTGGAACTTTTAATAGTGGCAACACTGCTGTAAAGACGCCATGCAACGAAACCAAAGAATGCCACATATACCACACATTAGTTACATGCCTACCTTACCTCTGAGCAAAAAAAACCTCGCCCTTCCTACATCACACGCATGCGGAGTGATGCAAAGAACTGAGTCTCGTATTAGCTTGTGGGCTAAAGTAAGTGTTGTCACAATGTTTTCAAAACAAGAACAACGGACTTGGATAAAGATTGAATGTGCCAGATATCGTACAGCAGAACAGTGCCATCAAGGTCTTCAAGAGGCTTGCAAGGAATCTGCATTGTCTTACAGAACAGTGGCAAGGTGGGTAAAAGCCTTGAACGAAGGACGCCAAAATGTGGCAGACATGCACCAGTCAGGCCGTCCTAGCGTCAGCAAAGTAAATGCTGTTGCCGCACAGTCTTCGACTCCATACAATATGTGAGCTGGCCCGAAACACAGGATTTGTGCATACGACTGTGCTCCACATTCTGAAGGAACTCCTGGGCATGAGAAAAACTGCTTCATGATGGGTTCCACATCATTTGTCAGAAATGCAGAGATGGCTATAATACGATGCTGCTCTTATTCACTTGGAGCGCTATGAGTGCGAAGGAGAGGCTTTCTTACGCCGTATCATTATGCTGGATGAGACTTGGGCCAGATTGTACCAGCCTGAACTGAAACACCAATCAAATGAATTGTGTCATTACAGGACACCACGAAGTTCTAAATTTCGTTAGAACCGCAGCAATATAAAAGTGATGGTGATTCTCGCGTACGACTGTGATGGTGTCATCCTAACATATACTGTTCCCCCACATCAGACCATCAATGCATAGTATTACTGCTCATGGTTAGTCCTGAAAAGGTCCATTGGTTGTTTTGCTTGCTTGCATGCATGCGGGTCGCTTCTGTGGCGAGAGAATCAGCTGTCTACGAAGACGTTGCCCAGGCGACGCCCAGATGTCTTGCAATCCTGCGAGGAGGCTTCTCTCATGTCCCCCAAGGCAGAGACATCTCCAGCTCATCCCCTGTTTGGGTATCAGCCAGCACGACAACAACTTAAATCTAGAAATAATTTTCTAAGATCTACAGAGACACTCGCTGGAACACCTCAGCAAGTGAGAGTCCAAAAGTGGCAGGCTCAAACCCAGAACCTCAACCAGTGGCTGTTACCAAACGAGAGACTCCCCCCTGGGCACACAGAGGACTGGGCGACTTGGAAGGTGCTGAACAGACTGCGCTCTGGCACCACCAAGATGCAGAGCCAACCTTCAGAAAAAGTTCCAACCCTCTTACTTTGATTGGCTTTGGTCCTCAGTCTAATGAATACAAACAACCATATCATGTTTCTCATCCCTTCAAACATTGAGCCAAGTGCATTAAAAGGTAAGAGTAAAAACAAGCTTTGTTTCACGGATCACCACAACCGAAGTAACTGAGATAATATAGACAATGATAAAATGAACAGATTTATACATGGGAAAACAATTGATTTTGTAGATGTTTTTTGAAAATCAAAGGTCACATATCCACCTCATTATAATACTGGATAAATGGCCACAGAACTATAAATTGAACTTTGAATGTTTTTTTCAGGGATTATTTTTGCTCATGGTGAGAATTGGAAAGTAATGCGGAGGTTCACCTTATCCACACTTCGGGACTATGGAATGGGCAAAAGATCCATAGAGAACAAAATTGTTGAAGAGTGCAATGTTCTGACAAAGAAATTGAAATCTTATGAAGGTTGGTTGGTTTTTCCTTTTGATGCTGTACAGCAGGGGTGCGCAAATGTTTGAAGGCAAGTGCCAGTTCCCATATCCAGACTGTTGGGGGGGGGGGCAGACTATGGTTTGAACGAAAATGAATGGACTGCTATGAATACTGCATATATATTATATGTAGTGCAAAAAAAATGAAAGAACAATACAACATTTAAAATGAAGAACAATTTTAACCAACATCGCCTGGCTTCCCAGCACGGCGATTCCACGGGGGAATCTTTGACCACACAACTTTCCCCCATTGCCTCCCGTATTGCCATGGTGGTGGCATATACCAGTTCCTCTATTATTTACCCATGGAATCCCACCAGAAGTTCCTCTGCATCATGGGATGGGAACCAGTGGGCTCCATGGGTAAACTATGGCTGAACCACCATATGCAACTGAAGAAAGCTTCGTCTGATGAGGTCATTGGTCTTAAGTTTAGGGCAGGGCCCAGATAAATGACCTTGGCAGGCTGCATCCTGCCCGTAGGCCTTAATTTGGAAACCCCTCCTCTGGAGTATGTCTACTCTAAGGGACCTTAGAAGGGTTGAAAAGGCTGGATCTTACACTGCCCTATATCTCAGGATCTGATCCCAGATTATTTGCTTATCCCAGATAATGTGTCATTGTAGACTCATATAATCAAGTTCAAAGCAGATAACCAGTGTAGATACAGTCTGGAACATTCATTCCAAAGATTGTACTGGAAAAGTTGAGTCTAGGCTGTGTCTGCACAGCCAGAATAAAATGGACTCACCACTCAGACTACACTCTCATATAATTCAGGTTCAAAATACAGATAACTGCATTGAAGTGGATTATATGGCAGTGTAGACTCATATAATTCAGGTAAATGTAGTTAATCTGCAACTTGAAACTGATTTTATGGCAGTGTAGATCCTGCCTCAGTTTTGGATCTGTGGGTCAGATACTCAGCACATCTGCTACATCCAGCTGTTTACCTGTATCAAGAGAGCTGCAGCGCTTCTGGTGATGTGGACAGGTGGATCTTCCCAACCCACTGTCCACATCACCAAACAGGGCATATCACTTGCTGAGGTAATGAATGATGTGACCAGAAAAGTGATGTCAGCTGTAAGCCTCTGGAAGAGAGCTGCTTGCTGGTGGGGAGGAAGTCGCTCCCATGCTTCCCTAAACTGACAAACAATGTGAACAGCCAAAGGGCTCCTGTGACTGCGTCAGATCAGCCTCGGAGCCCTTTAAACTGGAGTTTCTGATGAGTATAGCCAAGGCCTATATCATCAGAAATCTGAAGTGTTCCCAAGACACTTGAAATCTTTGGAATAGTTCCTTGCTAACATAATCCTAAATATATCAATACCTAGACTCAGTTTCTAAAATGAACACAGCATATACAGGGAAAGCTGACTCAGGGATCTTAAATCTATGAAAAAGAAATTTAAGGTTGATATTCTTTTATAATCTCTTTTCTCTAAACATTTTTGTTCAAATTTTATATTTGCTGTCTAGGGAAACCATTTGAGACAACTACAGTCATGAATGCAGCTGTTGCCAACATTATAGTATCCATACTACTTGGCAGGCGATACGAATATGAAGATCCTACATTTCAAAGATTACTGAAATTATTTAATGAAAATGTCCGGCTTTTTGGAAGCCCTTCAGTCCTGGTAGTCTTGTTTGTTTGTTTTTTCACCCCCAAAAGTATTGCAAGTCTAGAGAGTGTGGGCTGGAAGTGAGAATTTCATGTAGTTTTGTAATTCAGAGTAATCCAGAATCTGAAAGTTGAGGAACTAAATAATTTTCCCATATGTCACAGGATCAATTCACATATGTCAGAGGACCAAACTGGTTACTGAACTAATTTGGTGTTTCATCCAGGACTAAGACTGTTTTGGTATCTGGATGAGAATCCTATTAGTTCCCCTGGACCTCTCAATTGCCTTTCATGTCATAATATAATAATAATAATAATAATAATAATAATAATAATAATACTTTATTTATACCCCGCTACCATTTCCCCAAGGGACTTGGTGCTGCTTACATGAGGCCGAGCCCACAATACATCAATACAAGTAATAACAATCACAATACAAAGCAAAGCAATTAAAATAAATCTCTATGTGCCATAATATGCTGCTAAATTATCTGGATGCTTGGTTTGTTGCATTGGAGTTGATATTTTCTGAGCTTGTATTCAGAACTCTATGCTTGGGAGACACTGCTGAATGCCTCTGCTTCTTTAGCATATTGTGACTCATTATTGTGCAGTGTACTTCATCTTGCCCAACATTTATATGAATGTTTTGAGAAATATTACTGGAAAACTTAAAGTGAGGTATCACCAAAATGCTGATAGCATCTAGCTCTGTTGTGACATCACCAATATGCCAGTAACACCCTACAAACTAACATTACAATGACAATTCAATATCTTTGAATAGTGTCCCAGTTTATAAATGGATGCAACCAATTCTGGCCATTTTTCCTATCCTGAAACCTTTTGGTCTAAGAGTACTAATTGATCTTACACTATTTCTGGACTCCCAAAGGTGGTAACAATGCAGTGGGTTGGTGCAACTTCCCTTCCACACAGCATTATAACCAAGAATATCAAGTCAGATAATCCACAATATCTGCTTTGAACTTGATTTTTTGACTCCACACTGCCATATTATCAGGTTCAGTGTAGATTTTATACAATTGTATGGAAGGGGGAGGGAAAGCTTCTTCTCAGTGGTTCTCAACCTGGGGTCCCCAGATGTTTTTGGCCTTCAACTCCCAGAAATCCTAACAGCTGCTCTAGTTGCTTGAGTGTTGCTATTAAAAATAGGCTTAATAATGCAAAAACCCATAAACACTGTGTTGACTTGCTATTACTATTCAAATACAATAATTAAAAGCAAATAAAGACAAAGTTAACTTAATGGTAACTAAAACTTGATTTGATTTTTTTAATTTCCAATATTGTTTCTTCAAATTTTTGTCAGTTGCTGGAGAATTTGGATTCCTTGAGATTCTACTATATACTGCAAATCTTTTTTCAGGAAACTTTCTTTTTCTTTGTCATGTTTCAGTTCTACAATATGTTTCCTGCTCTTGGTTTCCTTTCTGACGGTCGAAAAACTGTCCTTGATAACAAAAAGGAGCTTTTTGCTTTCATAGAGGCTACATTCATAAAACGCCTCAAAGAGCTGGATGAAAATGACCAACGGAGCTTAATTGATACCTTTCTTATCCGGCAGCAAGAGGTAAGGAAGTCTTTTCAAGGGGAGGGACGCTGACATTTTCATATAAAAAACCCCAACGTTTTCTAAATATTCTTGTATCTCTTAACAGTAAAGCTTTTCTGCAAATTCATCTTGATCACAAAAATATAGAATATTAAAGATGGCACCCTATTAACAAGATATGTATTCGAGCCAGTGTGTATGTACTTTTCAGGACACTGCAAGGATTGGTATCCACCTCCTTCCTCTTCAGTGCCCAACCTCACCCCACTTACTCAACAATTTCAGAGACCTCACACAACTATTCCATGCTTCATGAGGAGCATGCAAGACTGCAGAAATGGATCCTTGTAGCTAGATGTGAAATGGTGACATTGTTGGAGCTGACGAAGCATATAGAGTAATTAGAGACAGAGGAACCCTCTTGGTTCATGCTTTCTCTCTTGTTTTTACCTCTGCTTCTTAAGATTTATATAACTCAAGGCAACTGTACTCTGATACAGCCCTATAGAATTAGGACTGTGATTTGTTGGATTCCTCTTCACACGTCACCCACCAAGTCAGTCAGCTCCTATCAGATGACACCAGCACATCTCCATGGCTGAAAGAGGGTTGAGTCGGTGCATGCCGCCACCAGGGTAACACAGGTGGGCTCCCGTTTTGTTAGTGGAATCAATGGGAGGAAGATGTGTGCTCCACATGCGCTCACGCTTCTCTCCATTTGATTGGCCTCGGCTGGAATCAAGCAATGCTATGCATGGGATACCAGGTTCCCTACTTCTCTCTATCTTTACATTTTGAAACCCCTTTTTGACTTTTGGCCCACACTGTATAATAAATTGATATTAAATAATAAATTTATAATGCAATGTATCCAAGGTCTCTACTCTTTCCATCTCCATCAATGTCATGTTTCCTCCTGTTTCTCATTATTTCTTTTGACATATGCACGTGGAAGATTGTCACTCCTTTTGCTTTAAGCTATTGTTTCTTTTTTCAACATAGGAGAAGACCAACAATGTTAATGAATATTTCCATAATGAAAATCTAAAAACTCTTGTGGCTAATTTATTTGGTGCTGGCATGGAGACCTCTTCCACCACCCTGCGCTGGGCCCTTTTGCTCATGATGAAGCACCCAGAAGTTCAGCGTGAGTTCCCTTTGTTGACATTTTTCCAGTAGACCTTTATTTCCATTCTGCATAGGAATTAGGACAATTGAAGTAAATGGCTGGAAATGTAGCTATTACTGCAATACAAAAGGAGGCAGGGAAAAGAAGAGTGGCGGTTTCTGCTCATGCTCTCGATGGAGCCAGATTTATGAATGTTGTGCAGTATGCCATTTTCACATCTCTTACACACACACACAGCCTCAACATTTTATTAGTACCCATAGTGTATTAGTACCCATAGTGTTTAGGGCCCCCGGTGGCGCAGTGAGTTAAAGCACTGAGCTGCTGAGCTTGTTGATCGAAAGGTCGGAGGTTCGATTCCGGGGAGCGGCATGAGCTTCCGCTGTCAGCCCTAGCTTCTGCCAACCTAGCAGTTCGAAAACATGCAAATGTGAGTAGATCAATAGGTACCGCTCCGGCGGGAAGGTAACAGCGCTCCATGCAGTCATGCCGGCCACATGACCTTGGAGGTGTCTACGGACATAGTCCTCGACTTAGAAATGGAGATGAGCACCACACCCCAGAGTCAGACATGACTGGACTTAATGTCAGGGGACTACATAGTGTTTTAACTCATATTCTGAGCCACCTTGGGTCCTATTTGAAGGGAAAGATAGGTTATCAATTAAGCAATAAATGAAATAATATACCCTTCTCAGCATTGAAGGATATTGTAGAAACTTATTTGCCTAGAGAAGGTCATAAAGGGAGTTTACGATTTGAGATAGTTAGCACTTTCTCAGTTGTCCCATTTTCAAGTTATTGGTGCTCACCATGAATATAAAGAGTCCACCTCAATGGCTTAGAATGGCATATTCTCATCATGGTGATAATTTCCTTCTCACACTGCATAGTTTAATATTCAAAGTCGAAAATATCCTAAATCAAGAGAGATTTGTGAATTTTAGTAAAGAATGTGGTATGCAGTGATTTAAAACTCGTAGTCATTGTTTTCACAACTGTGAACGTTGATGCAATGTAAAATGTCGTGATGTACTGGAAAGAATTGCTCTATTTTCTAGGTAAGGTCCAAGAAGAAATTGCTGTCACTATTGGGTCTGCTCAGCCGCGGGCCGAACACCGAAAAAAAATGCCATACACAGATGCAGTAATTCATGAAGTTCAAAGATTTGCTAATATTATCCCAGGCAGCGTGCAACACGCAACCACTATGAATGTTAATCTTAAAGGCTACTTCATTCCAAAGGTGATTGGATTACTGTCCTAAAACTAATTACTTTGCAGTTTTAGCCAGTGGCTTGTTTCTAACAATACGTCATATGTTCAAGCAGCATATCATATTTCCTTGCATAGTAGTCACATTTTCACCCCTTTTTTTCAGTCAAAAATTACACATGAAAAAAAATCTGATTCTGTTTCTGTTTCTTTGTTTGTTTTAAACTGTGGAGCCATTTGAGGCTGATTTTCCCTTCCTTCCTCCTTTCTTTGAAGGCAAGGCAGTTTCGAAACTATAAAATAGAGGACTCTTGTCCCATTTCTCCTTCCTCTGAGACCTTAAGGCAGTTAAAAAAATCTGAATGGAGGCCTCTGGACCTCTAATCATTTTTCCTTCCTCCTATCTCTAACAAACTCCATTCCAGGTTTTGTAAAGCCTCTATGAGAGGAAGGAGGGGGGAAGAGAGAAGAGTGGAGCTTCGAAGATTTCCATTTTATAGTTTTTAAATGGAGAAAGACAGAAGGAAGGGAGAAATCAGCCACAAATAGGGTTGCAACTGTCATGCAAGGAAAACCAAAATACAATTTTTAGCACCCAAAACATAGCAATGCGACTCTTATTTGGTGGCAACTATAATGCAATTAAATACGGATAATTTTTAAAAACCTTTTGAGCACCAGATTCAGCCAGTAAAAGTTAATCTAATTTGTTTCATATCATCTTGAAGATTTTCTAGCTGCAAGTTAATCTAGTTAACTCAGATCTTATTTTTTTTCTGTTTACCTCAATATTTTTTCTTTACCTCATTATATGTGAAGGCCATGGTAGATTTTAAGGATTATAGCAGAGCCGTGTATGCAATTATATTAAAAGTAACCAATGGCTTTGACCTTACAGGGAACCCACATCATTGTATTACTGTCCTCTGTGCTCCACGATGATTCTCAGTGGGAAAAACCACTTAGATTCTATCCTGAGCATTTTCTCGATCCTGAAGGGAACTTTGTTAAGAGAGATGCCTTCATGCCTTTCTCTGCAGGTAGTACCTTTTATGTGCCCAGAGTGGGCTCCATTCATTTAATTTGATTTGGTATACAAACTGTTCCAGAGGAACCTGTGTAGGGAATTGTTTCCTTCTCTAGACCAAGCATTCAATTCTGCAATGGGATGCCCAAGCCACTTTGTTCTCAGCAGGTGCACAAGGAATGGTGCAATGAGGTAGATTTCATTCTTGTGGACAACCAAACATTACCAGCAGATCTTGTTCAAAATTTCATGTTGTAAAAACAATTAAGGCTTTGCCAGTTAGTACAGATGGCACTTGCGACTCTGGAAATATGTGGTGAAATGAAGAGCTGAAAGAGAACAATGGGAAATTGTGATAAATTGTAAGATTTTAATGGAACGGAAGAAAACTACAGTTATCACTGAACACAAGTCAGAACTATTGTTCCTTGCAAAAATATGCCATATAAATAAGATCACAATTCCATTCTTCCCTTCATTTTCTAAAGTTTTCTAACTGAATAATATCTGAAACAAATTATATAAAAGCCTCAATCATGTACTATCCAAGAAGCATAATGTGCTTCTTAAACTGTTCTCCTCCAAGTGTTTTAGACTTCAGCTTCCAGAAATACCAACCAGTTTACCAGCTGTTTTGATCCTAAAACAAATTTCCTTCATTTCAATAATTATTGGAAGTCTCAAAAGTAGATTTTTATATTGCTGCTAATTTGTGATGGTTCCTTACAGGTCGGAGGCAGTGTGCCGGCGAGACCCTTGCCAAAATGGAGCTTTTCCTGTTCTTTACAACTCTTCTGCAGAGATTCACCTTCCAGCCAGCCCCTGGCACCTCTAGAGAAGATCTGGACCTCACCCCTGCAGTTGGGTTTACGACACCCCCAATGCCCTTTGATGTCTGTGCTCTGCCCCGCTGAGAAGGCTCGAGCGTGCTATGCATCCTACACTTATTCTGCTGTCTTATTTACCAAGAAAATTTACTGTACAAACTATTCTGTGCAACTAGCCCATTATTGCTTACACACCTAAACTGTTCAAGATACCATTGCACTTTTTTGAAGGTTACACTTTCTCAAGGGAAAATTCAATTAACAAGTATATAAAGCAGTGGTGGTGATGGTTGGGATATGGAGGGATGGGTGTGTTGTTTTGTGGTGTCTGCTGTAGAAGGCATTTAATTTCCTTGCAAGGCAGTTCAATGACAATAAAGCTATTCTAGTCTATGCTGATAGAACATGCTCACCCTCTTGGCATCTTCCTGAGCAGCAGCACTGCCTTAATGCAGGTATTTTCTGGGAAATATCAGTCGAAAAGAAGATTGTGAAGTAGTTTAGCAGATCCAATTCCTTGTACTTATATTTGTAATTCAATAGGGCTGTGCAAAGCTTTGGAGCTCTGTAATAAGGAGATTTTGATGATTCTGAAATACGAATTACTAATCAGAAAGGATCATTTTGAAGCATTTACAAATCAAAACACAAGCATTCAAATTTTTCAAATTTGTAAGAGATTTGTTATTTTGAAGGGTTTTTTTTCCAATTGCTTTACTCCATCGACCCATTGCCCATGATGGTCTAGAGTTTGGGGTGGGAAGGGTCTGCCGTGATTGACAAGGGCAGATGCATGCTGTTTTTTCCTTGTCAGCCTATCAGAAGAAGAAAGCCAATTACATGGCTTACTGCAAAATTGGTCTTATATATACTCCTCATAGGTTCTCCTCTTTGTGGTGTGGCATTTGCAGGAAAGAGAGAGCTCCATTCTGTTTCTGAATCTTCTTCTGTTGAAATTATTCAACCCCCTCCAAATAAGCAATTTTAGAAGCACTGGCAATAATCTTTGAGAATTCTTGGAGCAGATGATTTAGAAGGCAGTTTGTAGTGACTTAGAAAAGAAAACTGTGATTACTAAAAGTCAATATGGGTTTCTCAAAAAAAGGTCATATCAGACGAATCTTATCTCTTTTTCTGATAGAGTTACAACCTTGGTAAGTGCAGGAATGCTGTGGATCTAGTAATTCTTTTGACAAAGTCCCTCATGACCTTATTGCAAACAAACTAGTCAAATGTGGGCTAGACAATACTACTATTGGTGGATTTGTAATTGGTTAAGCAACTGAACCCTAAAGGTGCTCACCAGTGGTTCAATGATTGAGTCCCCTTGGGGAGATTGGGTGGACTACAAATGAAGTTTTTTTTTATGTACTCATCTTCATCCAAAAGAAGTGACTACCACAGAGTTCGATTCTAGGTCTGGTGCTGTTCCAACATCTTTATAAATGACTTGGATAAAGGTTGAGAGGTCATGCCGATCAAGTTTGCAAATGACATCAAATTGGGAGGGGTAGCTAATACTCTAGAAGACAGGATCAGAATTCAAAACAACCTTAACAGATTGGAGAGCTGGGCCAAAACTAACAAAATGAATGTCAACAAGGAGGAGTGTAGAATACTTCACTTGGGCAGATAAAATGAAATGCACAGGTATAGAATGGGTGATCTCTGGCTCACAACAGTTCATGTGAAAAAGAGCTTGTAGTTTTAGTGGACAACAAGTTGAACATGAGCCAACAGTGTGATGCAGCAGCTTAAAAAGCCAATGGGATTTTGGGCTGCATCAAAAGGAGTACAGTGTCTAGATCAGTGGTTCTCAACCTGGAGTCCCCAGATGTTTTTGGCCTTCAACTCCCAGAAATCCTAACAGTTGGTAAACTAGCTGGGATTTCTGGGAGTTGTAGGCCAAAAACATCTGGGGACCTCAGGTTGAGAACCACTGGTCTAGATCAAGGGAAGTCATATTGCCTCTCTATTCTACTTTGGTCAGACCTCACCTGGGATAACACTGTGCCCAATTCTGGGCGTTATCAAACATGACCACCCTTACCCTCAATAAAAAGGAAAACATAGTCGCACCATGAAGGGAGTCATAGTTTCCCAAGGACACAAGGCCAGGATGAACTGCATTGGCCTCCATTCCTCTAGTCTTCCTCAACCATCCCCAGACCAGCAGCTAGTCTTCCTCAACCATCCCCAGACCAGCAGCAAACCCCCTGGCTCCATGTGCACATGCACATACCCAGGCTCAACTGTTCAGCCTAAGGTGATCCACATCAGTGATCATTCAGAGATCTGCTGGCCATGGCTTCACAGCCCCACTCACATCACAACACAATTAAAAGCCAACTCATAAATGGGTACAGTGTACATCCAGTAGTAGTCTCTCACTTATACAAAGTATATTTTTCTATTTTTTTCTTCCCCTTCTGCATGACAAATGAATTAAAATAAATAAAGAAAATAACATCTCCGATCCTACATGTAGTCAAGATATGTTCCCTCTTCCCTTGGTCTTATATACCCTATGAACTTATACTAAAGGATCATATGAATTCTGTTTTTATCTTATTCAATTACTTAATTTTATTGAACTATATGTAATAGAAGGTAGACAAGATTGAACCTGAATAATCTCTTGAGTAATCTCCAGGAATTTCTTCCACACCTTATTTGGAATAACAATTACAACACTATAAATGTCATCACCTGGCCTCTTTAAGTGCACTATATTAAATAGTAGAGTCAACCTGATGCTCGCGATGGAATCAAACTGAGCAACTTGGTGTGAGTAATTGTATCTTTACTTGTAATTTATAATTTACATGTTTGAAATAAGTGAATATACTTGCTATTTAAAAAAAAACCATTCCTTAGCTGCTTCTGTTCATTCCCTTTAGGTCCACTTTATTTTATAAAAATTAGAACTTTTTCCACCCGAAGAAGACTTTGTTAAGGTTGAAACCGGTCATGGAAGAATCCTACAAGGAAGCGGAAGCTCTCCATAAAGAAGTATAGAGGAAAATCTGTGTATAGAAACTTTTGTTAGAAATTTCCTTTTACAAGAGAGAAAAATAAACTATTGCTTTAAAGAGGGAATTTGGTTAAAGAATCTTTGATTGGAAACTCTCTTATACCAGAAAGAAATAGCAAGTAGTACTGTGAATGTAACAAATGTACATTTCATTAGATATTACTGTTTGTTGTATCTTGTGGAAGATCTCTAGAAGGAAGCAGAAGCTCTCCGTAAGGAAGCATAGAGGAAAATCTGTGTATAGAAACCAGTGTTGGAAATTTCCTTTTACAAGAAAGTGATCCAGACAGGATACTTTCAGTCATTTTCTAGTACTGCCTGTCTTTAATTTCAACCAAGAAGACTGCGTAGTTATTTCAGATGCTCAGCTCTGCTATTCAGAGGATGGAGCACTGGCAGCCTATGGCTTTCTGGGCTTACATTAGGAGTCAAGATGTTGAGCAGCTGACATGTTTCTTGAAATCTTTGAATAATGTATGTAGAGTTTGACACAGCCTCATGTTGAGCAAAATGGAATCTACTCAGGCTGGGCTTGGGATTTTGGTATGTCACATCTGAACAGGATCAGTTTGTAGGGTTGATGAGGCAGGTCGCATGGCATACAACTTCCCTAGATCGATGCAGCATCTGCTTGATGTCATTGTCCTCCATTTGGATGAGAACGAATCTACTGGTAATTAAAAAATTATTGGCAGATGTATACATTTTATGGAAAAACATGTTACCAAAACAGGTGTGAATGGGCACATACAACATAGCTTGATGAGGCAGGTTGCCAGCTGGGCTAGTCTCTCACATGCCGGCTGCTAGAGGGAGAATATATTATTATTAATATGTACTCAGTGTTGCCTGGATATGAAAAGTAGGTTATGAACTTTGCCTCTGCTTGGCACAAGGTAAAGCCCTCATCATCCCCAAAGTGCAAACCTACTTTGGTGTTGTCCTTCAGTGGTAGATACACGCCTTCTGCAGTTCTCATTTCAAGTCCCAGGCAGGAGGCAAGGCAGCCGTGCAGAATGGGACGCACTCCCTGCTGAGTCACGGCCTCAGTCCTGCCGAAAGCAGAGTCCACTGATAAAGAAAGTTTGGTCCAAAGGAGCAGCAACCAAAGGCAATTTTTTTTCCCTACAGCTTCATTTTATTTTGCCTACATACAGTACCTTATATTACTCCCTGTTGAAATCAATTACCAGTATGATCATTTTCACCCAACTCTACAATCGAAGATCATTTTGAAAACTAAACACTGTGCTGTACCCTACTTTGAGCTGTTCAAATAGGTAGGTAACAAATAAATGTATGCATTTATATATTTATTATTTTGGTTTCTGTTCCTGTCCTTTGAAGTCTTAATTGCTCCTCTGATTTTGCTGTTATCTCCAGATTCTGATAAGCATGCTCTATTTGGCCATTCAAGGCACTGAGAAAAATGCTGAATAGCACTGGACCCAGGATAAAACCCTGTGGTACTGTTATCAAATCACGGTAACACCCCCCTCCAATTTATTATATTATTATATTGATTTATACCCCACTTTATCCCTCCCACAGGAGACTCAAAGCGGCTTAAGAACAAAACTTCAGCATACAACTTCAAATGTACAAATATAAAAAGAGAATTAAACATCATTAGTATTGAAAACAATTCAGATTAAATCCATAAAGACAGATAAAACCACAGCAGCTCCTGACATGATCTTAAAACCCTTCTTTACAAGCCCGTCTGAATAAGAAGGTTTAGCCTGCATGGGACGGGAAGTCTGAAGTGCTATTAGAATGGTATATCTTGTATTTCTCTACATGCATCCCTTTCGGATAAATTGAATTAACCTTTGTGACTTGTCTTCAACTTGGTAAATTGGTTTCTGTTTCATGACCTATCTGGTTTTCAGCATAGGGCTCACCAGGCACGGATCCTCTTTAACTGCCATGCTAGCTCTAAATTCAACACTAGGATAAAGAGGAGCCATTTTGAACTCCCTTTGTTTTGGCCAGTCAAACAATTATAAATCCGCTATACTGTAGCATTGTCTAGTAGGCATGGTTAGGAACTGTCGGAATCTTCATAATTTGGAATAAATTCGGAAAAATTGCCTTTTTGAAGCGATCTTGAAGTTTTTAAGAAAACTGGAAGTCCTTTTGCCCTTTCAAAGCTTTTTCCATCATTTTTGTTACAACTCATGAAATGAGTCGGAAATTATTCAGTTTTTCCCTGCTTCTGGTCCCTGGCCTCGCTCAAGCCAGAGAAGCCAGTTTTAAACCGAAGAAGAAAAAAATTGACTCCACTTGCTTTTCCTCACTTCTGATCCCTGGCCTCGCTCAAGCCAGAGAAGCCAGTTTTAAACCGGAGAAGAAAATAATTTACTCCACTTGCTTTTCCCCACTTCTGGTCCCTGGCCTCGCTCAAGCCAGAGAAGCCAGTTTTAAGCCAGAGAAGAAAAGAATTTACTCCACTTGCTTTTCCCCACTTCTGGTCCCTGTCCTTGTTCAAACCAGAGAAGCTAGTTCTAAACCAGAGAAGAAAATAATTTACTCCACTTGCTTTCCCCCACTTCTGGTCCCTGGCCTCGCTCAAGCCAGAGATGCCAGTTTTAAGCCAGAGAAGAAAAGAATTTACTCCACTTGCTTTTCCCCACTTCTGGTCCCTGTCCTTGTTCAAGCCAGAGAAGCTAGTTCTAAACCGGAGAAGAAAATAATTTACTCCACTTGCTTTTCCCTGCTTCTGGTCCCTGGCCTTGCTGAAGCCAGAGAATCCAGTTTTAAACTGGAGAAGAAAAGAATTTACTCCACTTGCTTTTCCCCACTTCTGGAGTAAAGCAACTACTTTCAAAGTAAAGACCACCCAATGAAACAGGAAATAACATTTTAAAAACATTCACGAAAGAAGTTTCGGATGTTTTGAAAACTTTTGAACATTTTTTCTGTGAAAATCAGAATTGACTTTAGAATTGAACCACCAGCCCAACCTACATCCAAATGGAGTTTTGAACTTTTTTATTATTATTATTAAACAAACCTATTGTCTAGCCCAAAGCCCCTTCTACAATGACATATGAAATCTGGATTGTCTGCTGTGAATTGTGTTATATGGTAGTATAGACTCAGATAATCCAGTTCAAAGTGGATAACCTGGCATCAGAGCCTGGAATATAAGGACAGTGTAAAAGAGGCCTGAGATGATTTCTGCTAATTCCCAGGTCAATGGTTTTAAGAGTTTGAACCCACTTGCAAAAGTTTTATTTTGGGTAATAATTGCACAAAGTAAACAGTAACCCAACAGTAACATTCAGTAGCTGGAGAAGAAAAACAAGATTTGTTCAACCTGATAAACAAGACAAATAAATGATTTGCCAAAGGCAAATCACCTGATCTAGGGCATTTATACAAAATATAAGGACATCCTATTTCAGTTGTTGCTGAAATCATACTGCAACCTTCATTGCAGGTGCTGCAGAAAACTGCTTCCTGGAGAAATGGATTGGATACATCCGATTACAATATTTTTCCTAATTACCCTTATAATTTTGCTGGTTTTAAAAATGGGGCATTTCTGGAATAACAGTTCCCAAAATCTTCCACCGGGTCCGAAGCCTTTACCAATAATTGGAAATCTTCACATAATAGATCAGAAGAGGCCTCACAGAACAATGTTGAAGGTAATATTTTCTCTTCTTTTTGTGGAAGGAAAAAGTCAACCAAGTTATACCTTTTTTGAGCCACATTAGAACAAATCCTAAAATTGGTATACCTGGCAATGTTAAAATCTGTGTCCCATGTTATTTTCACAGTGTTTATATAATGCTATGCAGTTGTTATTCATTGTAGACTGAGTGTGGACTCAGATAATCCAGTTCAAAGCAGATATTGTGAATTTTCTGCCTTGATATTCTGGTTATATGGCTGTGTGAAAGAGTCTGTAGTCTTCCTACTCCAGTTCTTTCCATGTCCTTTTAAAGTCATGTCTTAAAATTCTCCGGAAATTTTCTAGATGTATAACTCTAATGAACAGTGATATTCGAGGACTAAGTATATGGAATAAGGATTGCTGCTGTTTTTTTACACATGATAAAAATGTCTTAAATAAATAAAAAAAATCTGTAGAACCATGATACAGATCTGAATGTCAACTTTGAACATATATTTCATTCCAGTTGTCAAACGTTTATGGTCCCGTCTTCAGGATCCAAATGGGATTCCAGAAAATGGTAGTGTTGAGTGGGTATGAGATGGTGAAAGAGGCTCTGGTGAACCAGGCTGATGCATTTGCTGAGAGGCCCATCATTCCATTCTTTAAAGAATTTTCAAAGGGCTTAGGTGAAGTATTTTGTTTAATATAATTGTTGTTGAAGTCCAAAACCCGTTGTTAAGAATTGTGAACTGAGATAATAAATAATTGATACAACTGTTGCTATAACTTTACTATATACAGGCCATCTCAAGTTACAAGCAAGATTGGTTCTGCATGTTTGTTCTTAAATTGAATTTGAATTTGTTTGTAAGTAGGAAGAGGTAAATTTTGAAGTGTAACAGTTGTATCAATTATTTATTATCTCATTTCTTTCAGCCCAATTTTTTATTTATTAACATTTATACTGTAAATATTATCATGCTATTTACAAGTAATTGCAATTCCATGAACCAGAGATATGCTACAGTATTACAAGTAACCAAATAATCTTAGAGCCTCTCTCACATTAAGGTAAGCTAACATTATGTGCTAGTATATTAAAGTATTTTTACAAAGGACCCATGATAGGTTCGCCTTAGGGTTACCATAAGTTGGAACCATATTGAAGGCACACAACAACAATTCAAGCAACAAAGAAAGATCACATTACTAATGCAAGTGACTCAACATTTCTTAATGATCACTACAGTTGTCCTCCTTGTTCCTTTTAGGGCATGACCATGGTTTTCAGTCTACAAATCTACACTTTCCCCTCTCCAACTCAATACAAAAACTATATATATGTCAGTTTGGAGATCCCATAAAGATTTTGATTGGCTTTTGGTCTTCAATCTAATAAATATAAGTGTTGGATTCACAGACACCTTAAAGGGTCTGACTCAAAAGTGGCTTCAAAACAGAGTTTATTAAAACAAAGGAAAAGGAACGCAGAGGTACTAAATGCAGTGCCACTGGTCAAAACTCAAGAAACAAATCAGACCTGGTCCAAAAAGGTTAACAGAAATATAATCCAGGTTAACTGGAATAGGGAAAAGAAAAACAAATCAAACAAGGCGCTCTGAGGCAAAACAAAAAGGCACAGTACACAACTGGTTAACAAAAAAAAAGGAGTGGCCACAGCAAGAGAAGTGTCATCAAGCAAAGTCCAGGGTCGAGCAGGAGAAATCCGAAACAGCGCTGCTCCAATATCTGCAGAAGCAGCGTCTTTAGTCAAACCGGTCCAGGTCCAGGAAGGGAGAAGTCCACATTCACGAGAAGCCAATCTGGGTCAATAACACACGAACGAACAGGAGGTCCAAACTGCAGATCCTAAACCAACGCCAAACACGAAACAGGCAGCAACAAGTCTACAAGAATCTTTTCCAATACACAGCACCCAAAACACGAACTCTCATCAACACCTTGCCTTCTGCAAGGACCCATCACCCCTGAACCCACTTTTATTTACAAATCATCATCAGAAGATGAACTGACCACCGCCCCATCCTTATCCCCCGCAGCTGCTCCCAGCTCTTCACGTGAATTCCCTTGTCCTTCCCTCCAATTCCTCCATCTCCTGTCATGACTTCAGTCCCCCCCAAAACTCAGTTGGATCCTCTAATTGCCAGTCTTCACCCCCAGAGAACCCCATAAAAGCATCAGTAGTTGTTGGCTCCTCACAAATAGCTTGCACTTTTCTTATCTTAGTCCAATCCATGGTGTCTCTTTCTTCTCCTTCGCTCATTGACCCATCATCCCCAAAGAATCCCTCAAACAGCTCCTCATCTGTAGGTGCTGTAAATATGTCCCGGATCCTCTTCCTCTGCTGCGCATCGTCAGATTCCTGCTCCCAAGTAACCCTTTTTCCCCTTCTGGCACCCATACTACTGTTTGTAACGTTACTCACAGGCTCTACTACAACAATAAGCAACCACATTGTGTTTCTCATCCCTTCTTTCCATTGAGACAAGTACATTAAAAGGCAAGAGTAAAAACAAGCTTTGTTTCACAGATCACCACATCCAAAGTGACTGAGATAATATAGATCAGCGGACCCCAAACTTTTTAAACAGAGGGTCAGGTCACAGTCCCTCAAACTATTGGAAGGCTGGATTATAATTTGAAAAAAACGTGAATGAATTCCTACGCACACTGCACATATCTTATTTGTAGTGCAAAAAACATGTAAAAACAATACAATAATTAAAACCAAAAACAATTTTAACAAATATAAACTTATTAATATTTCAATGGGAAGTGTGGGCCTGCTTTTGGCTGATGAGATAGGATTGTTGTGTGCTTGCAAGTTGTTTCAGACTTAGGTTGACCCTTAGCAAGGGCCGGGTAAAAGACCTTGGAGGGCCGTATCTGGCCCTCGGGCCTTAGTTTGAGGACCCCTGATATAGACAATGAGAAAATGGACAGATTTATAAATGGGAAAACAATTTATTTTGTAGGTGATTTTTTGAAAATCAAAAAGTCACATATTCAGCTTATTATAATACTGAATAAATGCAAGCAGAACTATACATTGAACTTTGAATGTTTTTTTTTTCAGGTGTTATTTTTGCTCATGGTGAGAACTGGAAAGTGATGCGGAGGTTCACCTTATCCACACTTCGGGATTACGGAATGGGCAAGAGAACCATAGAGGACAAAATTGTTGAAGAGTGCAATGTCCTGACAAAGAAACTGGAATCTTATAAAGGTTGGTTGGTTTTTCCTTTTGATGCTGAAGATCAGGGGTGCTCAAACATTTTTAGCTGAGGGCCAATTTACAGACCTTCAGAGTGATCAGGGGTTGGACTATAGTTTGAACAAAAATGAATGGGCTCCTATGAACACTGCACATATCTTAATTGTAGTGCAAACAACAACAAAAAACATGGAAGAATAATACAACATTTAAAATGTACAACAGTTTTAACCAACATAAACTTACCAGATTTTCATTGCCTGGCTTATCAGCATGCCGATTCAACAGGGGAAAGGTTTAGCCACACAACTTACCCCCATTGCCTCCCCATTGCTGCATTACCCATGGAATCCCGCCAGAAGTTCCTCTGCGTCATGGGATGGGAGCCAGTGGGCTCCGTGGGTAAACTATGACTGAACTACCATATGCCGCTGAAGAAAGCTCCGTCTGAAGAGGTCAATGGTCTAAAGTTTAGGGCAGGGCCAGGAGAAATGACCTTGGCAGGCTGCATCCTACCTACAGGGCTTAATTTGGGAACCCCTGCTCTGCTGAAAAGGTTAAGCCTCTGGAGCTGGATCTACACTGCCCTATATCTCAAGATCTGATCCCAGATTATTTGCTTATCCCAGATTATGTGTCAGTGTAGACTCATATAATCCAGTTCAAAGCAGATAATCTGGGATCACATCCTGGGATATAGGGCAGTGCCGATCCAGTCTGGAACATTCATTCCAAAGATTGTCTTGGAAAAGTTGAGTCTAGGATGTGTCTACACAGCCAGAATAAAATGGATTCACCACTCAGGCTGGATCTACACTGCCATATAATCCAGGTTCAAAATACATTGAAGTGGATCACATGGCAGTGGAGACTCGTATAATTCAAGTAAATGTCGTTAATTTGCAACTTCAAACTGGATGTTATGGCAGTGTAGATCCTGCCTCAGTTATGGATATGTGGGTCAGATACTTGGCACATCTGCTACATCCAGCTATTAACCTGCATCAAGAGAGCTACAGAGTTTCCAGGCATGTTGGGGATTTGGACAGGTGGATCTCCCCAGTCCACTGTCCACATCACCAAACAGTTTAAGAGCATATCACTTGCTGAGGTAATGAACGATGTGACCAGAAAAGTGATGTCGACTATAATCCTCTGGAAGAGAGCTGCTTGCTGGTGGGGAGGAAGTCGCTCCCATGATCCCCTACACTGGCCAACAAGTGAACAGCCAAAGGATTCCCGTGACTGTGTCAGATCAGCCCCGGAGCCCTTTAAACTGAGTTTTCTGATGAGTGTAGCCAAGGCCCATGTCAACATGGTTTAGGTACACTCAGGTATTCCCAAGATACTTCAAATCTTTGGAATAGTTCCTTGCTAACATAATCCTAAATATATCAGTATCTAGACTTGGTTTCTAAAATGAACACAGCATATACAGGGAAAGCTGACTCAGGGATCTTGAATCTATGAAAAGGAAATTTAAGGTTGATATTCTTTTATCATTTTTGTTCAAAATCTATATTTGTTTATAGGGAAACCATTTGAGACAACTACAATCATGAATGCAGCTGTTGCCAACATTATAGTATCCATAATACTTGGCAGGCGGTACGAATATGAAGATCCTACATTTCAAAGATTACTGAAGTTATTTAATGAAAATGTCCGGCTTTTTGGAAGCCCTTCAGTCCTGGTAGTCTTGATTTATTGTTTCACCCCCAAAAGTATTGCAAGTCTAGATAGAGTGGGCTGAAAGTGAGCATTTCATGTGGGATTGTAATTCTGAAAAATACAGAATCTGAAAGTTGAGGAACTAAATAATTTCCCCATATGTCACAGGATCAATTCACATATGGCAGAGGACCAAACTGGTTACTGAACCCATTTGGTGTTTCATCCAGAACTATTTATTTATTTATGACATTTATATGCCGTCCTTCTCACCCCGAAGGGGACTCAGAGCGGCTTACAAGATATATATACTAGGGCTGGGCGGTTTCGTTTCGTTAATTCGTAATTCGTTAAAAATTCATTATTTTTTTGTTAACGAAGCGATAACGAACCATTCTGGAGCAACTTAAAAACGAAACGAATTTTTCAATTCGTTTCGTAAATGCTTCGTATTTCGTTATGTATTCGTTTCGTTATTGGTTTGAGGTCGTTTCATTATTATTTCCGCATGTCTGGGGCAAGTTTTATAGTTGTATATACAAGATATATATACTAGGGCTGGGCGGTTTCGTTTCGTTAATTCGTAATTCGTTAAAAATTCATTATTTTTTTGTTAACGAAGCGATAACGAACCATTCTGGAGCAACTTAAAAACGAAACGAATTTTTCAATTCGTTTCGTAAATGCTTCGTATTTCGTTATGTATTCGTTTCGTTATTGGTTTGAGGTCGTTTCGTTATTATTTCCGCATGTCTGGGGCAAGTTTTATAGTTGTTTTTTGTTTAATTAGTGAAAAAAAATTATAATATCACACCAACAGTCAACAACAGAGGGAGAGGGAAGCTTCAGAAGTTCCCCCTGTCCCATTTGGAGGTTTTTTTAGCGTATTGCACGGTCGCGTCCGCCATTAACGAATCGATTCGTTATTGTTTCGTTATTGTTTTGTAATTTTTTTACCATTTACGAAATTTCGTAAATATCGAACTTTTTTTAAAAAAAATTTGGAATTCTTTTAAATATCGAAACGCAAAAAACCCCAAAAAACGAATCGATTTTAGAAACAATTTTTTCCGTTGTTACCCAGGCCTAATATATACATACAATATATTATATTATTAGCATAGCACAATATCAGTAGTATATATTACTATATTGTACTATACCATTATATTGTAACCTTATTAGTAATATTACATGTAATATAAATATTTATAATTATAATATTTATTATTATTAGTTTTATATTGTATTACATTATAATATTATAAATATTATATATTTATACAGAATACTGTATTATACTATACTATACTATACTATACTATACTATATTATCTTATAAGCATAGCACAGGAGACAAGGTGGAGCTGTCTTCCTGGTCCCCTCTCTCTTCACTCTGGTCCAGAGAAGCAGTTGGTATTTTGGTATATGGATAAGAAGAGTATAATCCTATTAGTTCTTCTGGACCTCTCAATGTCATAATATGCTACTGAATTATCTGGATGCTTGATGTGTTGCATTGGATTTGATATTTTCCGAGCTTGTATTCAGAACTGAATGCCTCTGCTTCTTTAGCATATTGTGACTCATTCTTGTGTAGTGTACTTCATCTTGCCCAACCCAAGGGTCCTTCCACACAGCCATATAACCAAAGCTGGCAGTGATGCAGTGTGTTTGTGCAACTAAGGGCCCTTCCTCACAGCCATATAATCCAGAATATCAAGGCAGATAATCCAAAAGATCTGCTTTGAACTGGGTTATCTGAGTCCACACCTACCATATTCAATTCAATGTAGATTTTATACAGCTCTGTGGGAGGGGCCGAAGCTGACAGAGAGTGCTTGAGAGATTTCTAGACAGCTTGCTCAAGTCACCAGGTGTCTAATTAAGTATTGTCTCCTGTTTAATTAATGCTGGGATTAGCATAATCTCTCCATTGCTCTGCAACTCCAATTCCTCATAAGCATAGCACAGTTGTTGTTAGGAGCTGGAGATTCCTGTCAATCTCAATCTGCTGAGTCCAGCGGGTGAATTATGAGAGCATCAGAAAACAGTTGTTAGTAGCTTTCTGCATCAATTCAAGATGTTGCTATTAAACAAGCAGACTGCAGTATATTAGGGTGTCCCTTGTTTTGTGCTTCTGTAGAATATGCAAATATACAGTAGACCCTTAGGGCCGTTCCACACAGCCATATAACACAGATTATCCAAGCAGAAAATCCCACAATATCTGCTTTGAACTGGGTTATCTGAGTCCACACTGCCATGACTCCAGTTGAAAGCAGATAATATGGGATTCTATTCAGATGTGTGGAAGGGAGCTATACCTGAGTCCACATTGCCATATAATCCAGTTAATGTGGATTTTATATAGAGCTGTGTGAACCCCCCCCCCCCCCCGTTAACTGGTACTTATAGGGATATTGATAGATGCTGGATAAATGTTATTTCTAGTTGCTTGCGAGTTGCTATTAAAAATAGGCCTAAATAGTACTAAACTTGATGCTATATCATATCATTAACACTGTATTGACTTGCTATTATTATTCAAATAAAGTAATTAGAAGCAAATAAAGACAAACTTAACTTGATGGAAAACTAAAACTTGATTTAATTTTCTTTATTTCAAGTATTTCTTCACATTTCTGTCAGTTGCTTGCGAATTTGGGTGCCTTGAGATTCTACTATATATTGAAAGTATTTAAAATATTTGCCTGAAAGAATATCTTTTTTCAGGAAACTTTCTTTTTCTTTGCCATGTTTCAGTTCTACAACATGTTTCCTGCTCTTGGTTTCCTATCTGGCGGTCGAAAAACTTGCCTTGATAACAGAAAGGAGGTTTTTACTTTCATAGAGGCTACATTCATAAAACGCCTCAAAGAGCTTGATGAAAATGACCAGCGGAGCTTAATTGATACCTTTCTTATCCGGCAGCAAGAGGTAAGGAAGTCTTTTCAAGGGGAGGGATCAGCCTGTAGCCAGGATTTCGTTTCGGGGGGGGGGGGGCTAAAACATTTTCAGGGGGGGGTGGGGGGGCTGAGTCTGAGTGAAAGAGGGTCTAGCCTAGCAAACCTTTTGTATCTGTTACCCCAATACCCCCATGCATATGGGATATATTGAGTATGGTGATCAGATCATGATATGAATAAACATAATAGTTTAAATAATGCACCAGTAAGGCCTTTTCGCGAACCACCATGAGAATTTGGGGGGGGGCTGAAGCCCCCCGAGGCGCCCCCCACCCCACCCCTGGCTGCATGCCTGGGAGGGATGCTGACATTTTCATATGAACAACCCCAACATTTTCTAAATATTCTTATGTCTGCTAACAGTAAGGGTTTTCTGCAAATTCATCACAAAAATATAGAATAATAAAGATGGCACCCTATTAACAAGATATGCATGTGAGCCTGTGTGTATGTACTTTTCAAGACATTGCAAGGATGGGTGTTCACCTCCTTCCTCTTCAATGCCCAATTCACCCCACTTACTCAACAATCTCAGAGGCCCCACACAACTATTCAATGCTTCATGGGGAGCATGCAAGACTGCAGAAATGGATCCTTGTAGCTAGACGTGAAATGGTGGCATTGTTGGCGCTGAAGAAGCATATAGAGTAATTAGAGACAGAGGGAGCCTCATTCCTTCTCTCTTGTTTTCACCTCTGTTTCTTAAGATTTATATAACTCAAGGCAACTCTACTCTGATATAGATGCCAAATATTCCTATGGACATTAGGGCTGTGATTTGTTGGAGTCCTTCTGGGGTCTCAGCACTACTGCCATACGACCTCATCACACAGGACTACATTCAGCGGCATCCACCAATTTAGCCCCAGTCACCCACCAAGTCAGCCAGCTCCTATCAGATGATGCCAGCGCACCTCTGTGACTAAAGGAGCGCAGAGTCGGTGCATGCCGCTACCAGGGTAACACGGGTGGACTCCCGTTTTGTCAGTGGAATCAATGGGAGGAAGATGTGTGCTCCACATGCGCTCACGCTTATTTCCATCTGATTGCCCTCAACTGGAGCCGAGTGATGCTTATGCATGGGATGTCAGGTTCCCTACCCCTCTCTATCTTCACATCTTGAAACCCCTTTGTGACTTTTGGCCCATGCTGTATAATAAATTGATATTAAATAGTAAATTTTTAATGCAATGTATCCAAGGTCTCTACTCTTTCCATCTCCATGAATGTCGTGTTTCTCCTATTTCTCATTATTTCTTTTGACATATGCACATGGAAGATTGTCCCCCCTTTTGTTTTAAGCCATAGTTTCTTTTTTCAACATAGGAGAAGACCAACAATGTTAATGGATATTTCCATAATGAAAATCTAAAAGCTCTTGTGGCTAATTTATTTGGTGCTGGCATGGAGACCACTTCTACCACCCTGCGCTGGGCCCTTTTGCTCATGATGAAGCACCCAGAAGTTCAGCGTGAGTTCCCTTTGTTGATATTTTTCCAGTAGACTTTTATTTCCATTCTGCACAGAAATTAGGACAATTGAAGTAAATGTATGGAAATGTAGCTATAGCTGTCTATTACTGCAATACAAAAGGAGACAGGGAAAAGAGGAGTGGTGGTTTCTGCTCATGCTCTCGATGGAGCCAGATTTATGAATGTTGTGCTGTTGCCATTTTCACATCTCTCTCTCACACACAGCCTCAACATTTCATTAGTGCCTATGATGGCACAACCGGGAAGATTAAAGGAAAACTATATGTGTCTGGCTATTTTCCCAGTGACCATCGGTATGCCCTATAAGTACTTTAATTCCCCAAAATAAAACTCTAGAGACAAGACTAAAATTCACCAATTAAGTTTACTAAACAATCAAGATGAATCAAAACAAGGTATACAAAGGTGCAGTTTGATTATGATGGTATAGAGTTAGAAAAATAAGGAACAGGTATAAGGTATAACTCTGAGGTAACAACAACTATATTCTATGAGGTAAATACAACTATTCTTTATAACATTTACTATAATCTATAGACTCTAAGGCAAATATATTCTATAATGATATAAACTCTAAGTTCTATGTGGCATGTACTATCTATGAACTCTGGGGCATGTATATGGACTATGTAATCTATAAGGCAAATATATTCTAATCTATATGGCAAATATAGCTATTCTATGAGGCAAATATGTGCTAAGGATAGCCTGTTCAGACTGCTAAGCCAGACCAGACACTTTCTGGCTAACTACTACAAACTATGTCAAAAAGAATGGAATAAAAGGTCCTTCCACCAGGCTATGAGCCAGAATGGGCTGAACCAAATGGCTCGGCCTATAGGGGGAGCCTAAGCTCCTACTCTAAAACTTAGCAGAATGAAACAGTCCAACTCCAGGGAGCAAACAGAGGGGAGTAAAAACTAGGCTGAGACTTCACAGTGTCCATAGTGTTTTAACTCATATTCTGAGTTGGGTCCTATATGAAGGGAAAGATAGGATATCAGTTAAGCAATAAATGAAATAGTATACCCTTCTCAGTACTGAAGGATATGGTGGAAACTTATTTGCCTAGAGAAGGTCATAAAGGGCATTTAGGATTTCAGCTACTAGAAAGAATTGCTCTGTTTTCTAGGTAAGGTCCAAGAAGAAATTGCTGTCACTGTTGGGTCTGCTCAGCCACGGTCTGAACACCGAAAAAAAATGCCATACACAGATGCAGTAATTCATGAAGTTCAAAGATTTGCTAATATTATCCCAGGCAACGTGCCACGTGCAACCACTATGGATGTTACTCTTAAAGGCTACTTCATTCCAAAGGTGATTGGATTACTGTTCAAGCAACATATCATATTTCATTGCATAGTAGTCACACATTTCCCATTTTTTCAATCAAAAATTACACATGAAAAAAATCTGATTCTGTTTTTGTTTCTTTGTTTGTTTTAAACTGCAGAGCCATTTGGGGCTAATTTTCCTTTCCTTCCTCCTTTCTTTAAAGGCAAGGCAGTTTTGAAACTGTAAAATGGAGATTTCTTGTCTCATTTCTCCTTCCACTGAGACCTTAGGCAGTTTAACAAATCTGGACCATTAATCGTCCTTCCTTCCTCCTATCTCTAACAAACTCCATTCCAGGTTTTGTAAAGCCTCTAAGGGAGGAAGGAAAAGGAAAGAGAGAAGAGTGGAGCTTCGAAGATTTCCATTTTATAGTTTTTAAATGGAGAAAGACAGAAGGAAGGGAGAAATCAGCATGAGCATAATAGTTGCAATAGGTTGCAACTATTATGCAAGGAAAACAAAAATATAATTTTTAGCCTCCAAAACATGGCGATTCAACTTTTACTTGGTGGCAACTATTATGCAATTAAATACGGATAATTCTGCTAGTAAAAGATAATTGAATCTAATTTTGTTTCATATCGTCTTGAAGATTTTCTAGCAATTTTTAGTACCCAAAACATGGTGATGCAATTATGCAATTATTATAATTATGAAATGAAATATGGATAATTTTTTTAAAAAAAAAACTTTTGAGCACCAGAATCTGCCAGTAAAAGATAACTAAATCTAATTTGTTTCATATTGTCTTCAAGATTTTCTAGCTGCAAGATAATCTAGCTAACTCAGATCTTATTTCCTCTGTACCAAGACATTTCCTGCAATATATGTGAAGGCAATTTTAGATTTTAAGAATTTCAGTAGAGCCCTGTATGTAATTGTATTAAAATAACCAATAGCTTTGACCTTACAGGGTACCCATATCATTCCATTACTGTCCTCTGTGCTCCATGATGATTCTCAGTGGGAGAAACCACTTAAATTCTATCCTGAACATTTTCTCGATCCTGAAGGGAACTTTGTTAAGAGAGACGCCTTCATGCCTTTCTCTGCAGGTAGTACCTTTTATGTGTCCAGAGTGGACTCCATTAATTCATGTTGATTTGGTGTACAGATTGTTCCAGGGGACCCTCTGTAGGGAATTGTTTCCCTCCCTAGACCACTCATTCAATTCTTCAATGAGATGCCCTGGCCACTTTGTTCTCAGCGGTGCACAAGGAAAGGTTTTTTCCTTGGGATAGGGAGGTGGATTTCATTCTAGTGGACAACCAAACATTACCAGAGGATCTTGCTGAAAATTCCATTATATAAAAAATATGATGGCTTCACCAGTTAGTACAGATGGCACTTGCAACTCTGGAAATATGTGGTGAAATGGTGAGATGAAAGAGAACAGTGGGAAAATGTGATAAGTTGTAAGAATTTCATGGAAAGGAAGAAAAATACAATTATCACTGAGCACAAGTTCCAGGTAAAAAAAATATGCCGTACAAATAGACCACAAATCCATTTTTCCATCCATTTTCTGAACTTTTCTAATTGAATAATATCTGAAACAAATTATATAACAGCCTCAAATGTCACATTCAGACAACTCTTAGGGATTAGGGAGCTTCATCTGTGTCCAGAGGACCTTGGAGAGGTTAACTACTCTGCAGCACTCTACCAAAAATATTTTTAAGCATTTATTTCACCACCAAATATCTCCAGGTGATTCAGGAAAAGTCCAAATGGGAAACCTGGGGAAAATAACTGAAGAGATTATTTTAAAAATAAAGTGGGGTAGCTATAACCTGACTAGAAGCAAACAAGGGAGAAATCCTCAGGAGGAATGCAAATGTCATTCAAGAAGCATCATGTGTTTCTTAAATGGTGCTCCTCCAAGTGTTTTGGATGTCAGCTCCCAGAAATCCCAGCCCATTTACCAGCTGTTTAAATCCTAAAACACATTTCAATGATTATTGGAAGTCTCAAAAGTAGATTTTTGTATTGCTGCTAATCGTGATTGTTGTTTACAGGTCGTAGGCAGTGTGCCGGCGAGACCCTTGCCAAAATGGAGCTTTTCCTGTTCTTTACAACTCTTCTGCAGAGATTCACCTTCCAGCCAGCCCCTGGCACCTCTAGGGAAGACCTGGACCTCACCCCTGCAGTTGGGTTTACGACACCCCCAATGCCCTTTGATGTCTGTGCTCTGCCTCGTTGAGAAGGCTCGAGCCTGCTATGCATCCATCTCTACACTTATTCTGCTGTCTTATTTGCCTAAAACATGTACTGTACAAGCTATTCTGTGCAACTATCCCATGCTTGCTTACACACCTAAACTGTTCAAGATACCATTGTGCTTTTTTGAAGGTCGCACTTTCACAAGGGAAAACTCAATTAACAAGTACATAAAGCAGTGGTGGTGGTTGGGGTATGGAGGGATGGGTGTGTTGTTTTGTGGTGTCTGCTGAGGAAGGAATTTATTTTCATTGCACAATAGTGCAATGACAATAAAGTTATTCTAGTCTATGCTAACAGAATGTGCTCACCCTCCTGGCATCTGCCTGAGCAGCAGCAAAGCCTTAACACAGGTATTTTCTGGGAAATTGAATCAGTCAGACAGAAGATTGTGAAATAGTTTAGTAAATCCTTTTACGTATATTTGTACATTAGAGCTGTGCAAAGCTTTGGAGCCCCGTTTCATAATTTGAAGATTTAGGTTATTCGGAAACACGAGTTACTAATCAGAAAGGATACCTCTGAAGCATTTACGAAATGAAAACACCCTCCAAAATTTTCAAAGAGATTCATAAAAAGATTTGTTATTCTGAAGCTTTTTTCCAATTACTGTACTCCATCGCCCCATTGCCTGGAATTGTCTAGGGTTGGAAAATGCGGGGGCTAGAGCTGGGGTGGGAGGGGGCTGGTGTGATTGACAAGGGCAGCTGCATGCTGTTTTTTCCTTGTCAGACAATCTGAAGAGGAAAACCAAATCACATAGATTTCTGCAAAATTGGTCTTATATACACCCTCCTCAGAGAGAAGATGTGTTATTTGGAACTTGGTTCTGTTTCTGTGTGTTTCTTAAAAGTATAACCTTCCTCTGTTGAAATTACCCAAGCCCTCCAAACTCCAAATTCCCAGTTTGCTAGCTAGTAGTTATACTCCCTTCCCCACCCTTACCTTCCCCTGTTATAAATTTGCTGTGTGCTGTTGTTGTGTGACTGCCTACTTTCTTTCCCTACCACAATCACCCATATTTTTTTAAAAAATCTATATAAATAAAAATGCAATGTTTGTTTGTTGGATTAACACAACTCAAAAACCACTGGAGGAATTGACACCAAATTTGGACACAATACACCTATCAGGCCAATGAGTGACCATCACTCATAAAAACACTGGGGGGAAAACAGAAGAGACTTAAAAAGCCAAAAAAACCAAAAAATACATTACAACGTATGTGCAAAACCACACATATATACGCAAACACACATCTAAACACACACATATATACACACACAAAACACATATACACAGACTGGGCCACAGCAACGCGTGGCAGGGGACGGTTAGTAATCAATAAAAGATGTTTGTGCGTGTTTGCAGCTCTGTTTCTTTTTCTGTATGTTTAACCTGTTGGTTTATCTATTTTCCTTTTCCTTGCATTTTTTCTGGCTTGGTGTATGCAAACCCCACCCAAGCAGCTAGCAGTACCTAGTGCACTCAAGCACACATACAATACTTCTTTAACACCAACACTTATATTTTATGTACACATATTTTATATACATAATAATGAGAAGAGGGCCTAACACCAGGGGCCAAAAGGTTTCAGAGGGAGAAGGAGAGAGATTATTTCTCTTAATGCTGCTGTTGCTTCTAACTCTGTTCCTACTTTTGCTGCTGCTGTTGAGGCAAGGACACAACTTGTTGAACTTCCCAGTCTGGGCTGGCAGTGCCCATTAGTGCTAAGGAGGAGGCAGAGCTTGATTTTTTCCCTTGAGACAACTGAGGAGCTTATACAGGATTTGGAAGAGGGATCTGAGGGGGATTTTGAGATGTCATCCCATGAAAGCTCTCCTACATGTGGGTCGGATGAGGGACGTGCAAGTGATGAGGCTGTATCCCTGGTGCCTAGAAGGCCTGAGTCTAGTGTTTTCACCTTCAGGTGATACTGGAGGATCCAGCGCACACAGTGTGCAACCACAACAAAATAAAAATCAGTAGGGGGAAAGACAAAACATTTGTATATGATTGGGAAGCAGATGCATCTTAAGAGGCACCACCCTCTGCAAATTGGCATGGTCCCTCAGGCTGGGACTGGTCATGGCCGAAGCAACAGCAAAACTGTTGCTGGAAGAGAGAAGAGGCAGGCCATCCTAGAGCAATGTAGCATGGCATCCAGGTGCAGGGGCAGAGCAGTTGGCAAGCTGCCGACTAAGGGAGATCACTCAGCACACCTGCAAGATATGCTGACTCTCAATAACCAGCCCTTCTGGGTGGTGGAGCACAAAGGGTTTCGTTGCTTGATGGCACTGGTGGCTCCCCATTATAAGGTCCTCTCCTGTACCACCTTCTCCAGGCCAAGCTGGTGTCAGCTGTGAGAGCAGCATATCTGCACAGGGCCAGAGAGGGAGAAGGCATAACTGGCACACCTGGGTCCAACAGCTGCCCTTGGGATCCTTGGTCATCTGTACCAGGGACCCCAAGCAGCACTGCCAGTGGGGAGGCACCTGTCCCCACAGCTGGCAGGTAGCAGCATCATGGAGAGGAGTTCTTTGTCAGGGCCTTGGCAAAGATGGTTGGGCCCAAGTACACTCGGCTACCCAGGGCAGACTCAGCAGAAGTTTCTGTAAACTAATACCTGGAGAAGCTTGTCCTTTGACCGATTGGCCTACTGGGCATCCCAGAGCCAGATATGGCAGGATCTAGCAATGGTTGCCTAGGAACACCTCAGCTGTCCACCAATGAGCATCCCCAAATCAGAGGGTGTTCAGCATAGATGGAGATGTTGTCACCCCTCACTAGCCTGCCTCAGTGCAACCTCCCCCTCCTGGACTTCTCAGAGATGGACCCCCAGGTTAAGTCAGTATGGCAGGCACTCATTTCAGTAACAGTCCATGCTTTGACTTCAGGGCCACAAAAGACACCATGGTACCTCATCTCTGTTTATTGATTGGGTTTACTCCATGTATTTTTTAAAAAACACAGCATAGATTCTCTCCTGAAGAGCCTGAGTAATATGTCACCATTCACCGTGCCATGGTGGACCCTGCTTTGGTGGAACAGTTGGTGTTCCTCAAGGCCAACCTCACCCTCTAGGGCTTCTTGGAGTTGGACCCTCAGCTGAAATGAGTGTGGCAGGCACTCATTTCATTTCTTAGGCAGAACACTATCAGAAAAACTTTCTCAAATGGCAGGCAATAAATTCAATTTATTTCAATGGCAGAACATTGTCAGAAAAAACTTTATTAAGTGGCAGGCAATCATTTCATTTCATTGGCCAAACACTTCTAGAAAAACTTTATCAAGTGTTCTTTTAGGGATAGTAATTCTTTAAACTCTCAGTTGAACCTATCACAGGGCTTTCTAGGCATGATTTAATTGGCAGGATTTGGCCTTTGCCTTCCTTTGAGGCTGAAAGAGTGTGACCTGCCCAACTTCCATTCTTAAAAAAATCCCTTTTTGCCATTGAACCAAGTACATAAAAAGCTAAGCTCATCACAGCGGAAGTGACTGAAATAATAAAGAAGACAGTGAGATGACAGACAGTTTCTTGATTCAACATCATATAATTTTTAAAAAATATTGATCAACAAAGGCAGAATACAATTCATTCCCAAAAAGTCCTACATACAGCCTTAAATTAAATTGAAAGGGTGGTGTTGCATTACTAGTACTAGTAATGTAGCTTCTCAATAACAGCAATAGCATGATGTAAACTTTTAAAATAACAAAGAACAAAAAAATCCTATGATGATATCATATCTATACTATGAAATTGTTTTGATATACCTCCAATGTCAGGGATTAATACATGTTATATGGCAAAAACAAAAAGATAGCTTCATTTTAAAAAATGCAAGAAGAACACTTACTATTTTCAATGGGTATGTAAAAGAAGGGAATATTTATTTATTATTTATTTATTTCGAGGTTTTATATACCGACCCTCTCACCTTCAAAGAGGGATTCGGTCCGGTTCACAACATGTGTTAACATACAAAGAATATACAATAACAACACAATGCCACTTCATTACATGATTAAAATATCAGCACCATACACATTAAAACATTATCATCACAGTTAAAAGAGCCAAATCGTCCGACACCATCACAATCCCATTCATCATCCTCCTTTCATGTGGGCAAAGAATTAAATCAGTTGTCAAATGCCACGTTCCACAACCAGGTCTTTGTTAGTTTCCTGAATGTCATGAGGGAGGGGGCAGTTCTGATCTCTAATGGCAGGGAGTTCCAAAGTTGAGGGGCCACCATCGAGAAGGCCCTGTCCCTCGTCCCCACCAGCCGTGCTTGTGCAGGCGGCGGGACCGAGTCGTTTAGGGCTTTATAGGTTAACACCAGCACTTTGAATTGTGCTCGGAAGCTAATCGGCAGCCAGTGGAGTTCGAGTAACAGTGGAGTGGTGTGCTCCCTGTACCCAGCACAAATATCTATGGCTATACTTTTATTTTAAGAATTATAATAATATTTTGGTGCTATTTTGAAAGCAAAAGATTGCAGAGGGAGAACAGTCATCTATCAGAGTAATCATATATTTCAATGGCACAATAACAGTCAGTTACAATTTTTTAAGGCTCAAAATTCGCAATGAATGAATACTAACAACAACCACAACATCTATGCTCGCCCAAAGACTGTCCATCAGAATGGCCATAAGTAAAAGTCACTGCCAAATAAACAGGACTAATACATTTGACAATTTCCCATCCCACGTGGTTTTCAGCTATTTTGCCTATTCTTGAGCGGGCCAACATGATTTCTCTCCCTTGTTCTGAACTCCTTCATTTCATCACAGTTCTGACATATTTTGAGGACAAAAGGCAGTGGATGACAAACGGAAGTTGACTAACATCATCTGATGGGCTCTGTGCCACGTTGTCCTGGCAAGGGATTATAACTATATGGAAATTGGGAGATCTGTGCATCTGATAAGGTCCTCTGTAAAGTTTTTGATCAATCTTGTCAGCTTTATTGATCTCTACGAAATTTGTCTGAGAGCCAGCATAGAGCAGTATAAAAAAGAGGAGGGGGGAAGGAATATAGCAGCTAGCCATGGACCCAAAATTTGTCCAATTCATTTCATTTGTGTTTCCGTTTCATTCCATCCATTCAGATGGCACGAAACAGAAAGGCCCCTCATGAAACGAAAATGCAACTGATATTAAAGGTAGACTGACATGCTTTTTGGATGGACTGCGTGGGGCCTGGCAGGGCCTGCAGCCAAGCGCTGAGTAAAGAGCACTCCTTACTCAGAATTCGGCTGCAGGCCCTTCCAGGCCCTGGATGCATAGGCCAGGAGGCCTGCACCCATAGACCCAACCCCAGACTTCTTCAATGGATTCCATATCCCAGGACTGTAAAGACAAAGGACCTAGCCTCTAGGGGCTAGAACAAAGATGTGAATTCAAGAAGTCAAACAATAACCCTGGCTAGGCTTGAGAGCCTAAAGGTCATCGCCCAGCCATTTAGCAAACACTGGTAATCTTAATCCAGTCAACTAGACATTTATTCATTGTTTCCCTGTTGCCCGCCTCCCTTCCACCTCGTTGGCTGAGAGGCCAAAGCAGGACTCAGGCCACCATTGGCTCTCCAACCGGCTTGCTGATGTCACAGCCAATCATAACAAAGCCAGCTCAGAAGGGGGGGAGAGAGGGGTGGGCATGGGAACTTTTGAATCTGAAGGCTATGGAGTCGCCCTGGAGTCATGTCTGCAACAGACTAACAGATAAGACTGATGCAATAAGGCAGTCATGATCAGAGAACAATAGACTATAGTTGTGCTATAGTTGTGTCATTGTCAGGGTCCCATGTGTGCTATAACATCAATCAAAAGCATAAACAACCAATGAGCAAGTGTATAGCTAGCTTAGATCAGTGAAATGATTTGTCTTTGGGAACCAGTGGGAACATGTATGCCAAAAATGATAAAAGCTCTGCAGCCCCATTGACAAACCCTTTGATTGGATTCCTGTATGCATATTTTGTCATTATTGCTATGGCCACGCAATAAATATTTTTTTGCAGTTTGAAGATTCAACTTTTATGGTGTCCTTCCTTGCCCTCCCCATTGGAAAGGGGGCTCCTACTTTTTGGAAAATATTTTGGTTTCTTTGCCCCTACACTGTCTGACTGATATTTCCCAGGAAATACCTATGTTAAGGCAGTGCTGCCGCTCAGGCAGATGAGCATGTTTTATTGCTTTATCTATTTGTTAAGTGGGATTTCCTGTGAGAAAATGTGGCCTTCAAAATAACATAATGGTATGTAGTACAATTTAGGTGTATAAGGAAGCATGGGCTAGTTGCACATAATAGTTTATAAAGTCAGATTTTATTGGTTAATAAGACAGCAGAAGAAATGTTTAAATGGACCCATAGCAGGCTTGAGCCTTCTCAACGGGGCACAGCACAGACATCAAAAGGCATTGGGGGTGTTGTAAACCCAATTGAAGGGGTAAGGTCCAGGTCTTCCCTAGAGGTGCCAGGGGCTGGCTGGATGGTGAATCTCTGCATAATAGTTGTAAAGAACAGGAAAAGCTCCATTTTGGCAAGGGTCTCGCCTGCACATTGCCTCCGACCTGTAAGGAACCATCACAAATTAGCAGCAATATAAAAATCTACTTTTGAGACTTCCAATACAATAATCAATGAAATGAAGGAAATTTGTTTTAGGATTAAAAACTGTATCTTGTATAAAGCAAAGTAGAACTCTTGGAAGAAGAATAGAGGCAGTTTGAATCTATGGAAATGCGCACTTAGGGCGGTTCCAGACAGCCCTTTAATCCAGGAACAATCACGTTCTAATTCACACATGACCCAGGAAGCGCATGCTTTCCATGGGCAGGTGTCCTGAAGTTCTCCTGGAACCTTCCAAGAGGACAAGGAGATAGCATACGAATGATGCACCAAGACAAGAGAGGCAGGAGGAAAATCACTCCTGGCCTCCTCTTCTCCTGGCATATCATTTGTATTCAATGGGAGAGCTCTGGCAGCAGTTTCATGGCGGCTGGGTAAGTTATTTTAACTTTTTCCCCCATTTTAAGGGGTTTTGGCAAGGAGGTGTGAGCCCTCTGAGTTTTCCAGGCTGATTCAGCCCGTAAAATGTGAGAGGGTTGCATGGACAGCCCCCTCGGAAGTCCCAGAACTTCCAAGGGGTCAATCCAGCATAGTGGGTTTGACCTGCTCCTTTCAAGAAGCTATGGATGTGATCCAATATCAAATTACCTCAGCACAAAACAAGGTTTCCCTGCAGTTGCGCTTACCTGAGGCGTCTGGACGCCCCAGGTAAATATGCGGGAGGGTACATGTTTTGTGCCCTGTCCGGATGAACCTTTAGAAGAATGCAACATACAGAAGGTATCATGCTGTGTATAGAGAGCCACACAATCAATTCCAGGCATTAATCCTAGAACTGGGGTAATTGCAAGGCCCAGACAGCAGTGGGTTCCCAAAGGAGAGGGAGATGTGTGGTGATAGTACGTTACCACCTACTGAAGTGGGGGAAAGACAGTTATACTACCTTTTCTGAGTCCCAGAAAAGGTAGTATAATAATCATCATCATCAGCAGCAGCAGCAGCGGCAGCAGCAGCATCATTATCAAGCATCATTATCAAGCATCATTATCAAGATAAGCTCCATGTATTAGGATTCTGCTGTTGGGATCAATGGGCAGACTTTATGAGCATTCATGAAAACAGGTTTGATTTCCATTGAGGACAGGACGTTCAAGCTGCCTTGAACAGAAGAGTCACCAAATAACGACCTCGCTAACAAAACTTTTTTGAGCCATGAAACAAGAGCCTAGGATATTCTTTGCACCCAGATATGGCCCAGAGCTCCATCTATCCCTAAAAAGAATAAATAACTGTCTTGGCAGCTTTGTTCTGACTGGCCATGTCAACTATCCCTCCAAAACCAAATTTCCTGTTAACACATGGGGAAAGGGATTAGGGGGTAGGGTTAGGATTAGGGTTAGGGTATACCCTAGGGATCTCCTCCTTCTTTGTCTCTTCCTATTTTAGGTATGCATTTTCTTAGACCGGGGTTTCTCAAAGGAGCTGTTAGGAATTGTGGCAGTTTGGACTTCAGCTCCCACAGTTCCTAACAGCTGGTAAACTGACTTGGATTTCTGGGAGCCAAAGTCCAAAACACTTCAAGAAACACAGTTGGAGAAACACTGTTTTTAGACTTCTTGGGTAGTAGACATTTTTATTCCATCTGTGGTTTTTCCCCTTGTTTTCCATTTTCCCTAGCTTTCATTTTATGTTTAATTTCTATTTCTCTACTACTTAAGAAGTCTAGGAGAATTTATAGCTCTCCAAGGTCCTCTAGGGACAGATGAAACCAACTAATTCCCAACAGTTGTCTGAATGTGATACTTGAAGTTATTACATAATTTGTTTCAGATATTATTCAATTAGAAAACTTCAGAAAATGGGTGGAAGAATGGAATTGTGGTCTAATTTGTGTGGCTTTTTTTTTTTGCATGGAACAATAGTTCTAACATGCGATAATTGTATTTTTCTTTCTTTCTATGAAATTCTTACAATTTATCACAATTTCCCACTGTTCTCTTTCATCTCTTCATTTCACCACGAATTTCCAGAGTGGAAAGTGCCATCTGTACTAACTGGCAAAGCCATCATATTTTTTTATAGCATGGAATTTATATTCCATGATTGTTATACGGATGTTTAATGATTTATGTTACAATTGTTTTTAATTGTCCTATACTTGTCTCATGATGTTTTGTATTGATGTTGTTCACCGCTTTGAGTCGCCTGAGGGCTGAGAAAAGCTGTATATAAATAAAGTAAATAAATAAATTTTCAACAAGATCCTCTAGTAATGTTTGGTTGCCCACAAGAATGAAATGCATCTCACTGTCCCGAGGAAAAATCCTTTCCTTGTGCACCATTGTGAACAAAGTGGCCTGGGCATCCCATTGCAGAATTGAATGAGTAGTCTAGGGAGGGAAATGATTCCCTACAGAGGGTCCTCTGGAACAGTTTGTACACCAAATCAACATGAACAAATTGAGTCCACTCTGGACACATAAAAGGTACTACCTGCAGAGAAAGGCATGAAGGCATCTCTCTTAACAAAGTTCCCTTCAGGATCGAGAAAATGCTCAGGATAGAATTTAAGTGGTTTCTCCCATTGAGAATCATCGTGGAGCACAGAGGACAGTAATGGAACGATGTGGGTACCCTGTAAGGCCAAAGCTATTGGTTATTTTAATATAATTACATACAAGGCTCTGCTGAAATCCTTAAAATATAAAATTCCCTTCACATATACTGAGATAAAAGTCTCAGTACAAAAGAGGTAAGATTTCAGACAGTTCAAAACAATATATTTACTGGCAGAATCGGATGCTCTGACACTTTTAAAAATCATGTCGCTTGAACTATTATAGTGTTAGAAACAAACTACTGGCTAAAACTGCAAAGTGATTAATCTAAGTACAGTAATCCATTCACCTTTGGGATGAAGTAGCCTTTAAGAGTAATATCCTGAGTAGTTGCATGTGGCAAGTTGGTTGGGATAATATTAGCATATCTTTGAACTTCATGAATTACTGCATCTGTGTATGGCATTTCTTTTCGGTGTTCAGACCGTGGCTGGGCAGACCCAATAGTGACAGCAATTTCTTCTTGGACTTTACCTAGAAAACAGAACAATTCTTTCAAGTAAGATCATGAAGTTTTACATTGCATCAACATTATTTACCTTCACACAGTTGTGTAAACAATGACTAATAGTTTTAAATCAGTGCATGCTACTTTATTTATTTATTTATTTATTTATTTATTTATTTATTTATTAACTTTATTTGTACCCCGCTACCATCTCCCCAAGGGGCTCGGTGCGGCTTACATAAGGCCAAGCCCAAACACAACAACAAAAGCAATAAAACATCAATACCAGCAATTAAAAACATAGACAATAAAAAAAACAACATTATCAAAAAAGCAACACATAGTTAAAACAGTGGGGAGGCCAAATGTAAAGTTAAAATTGGAAATAATGCTGAGCCATGAATGAGAGGTGATACTAGTGTTTGTGGAGGGCATACAAGCAGACTCAGGGAAATGTAAAGCGCTTTGGAGGACAAAGTGCTATGGGATTCAATTATTCCGGGAAGGCACACTGGAACAGCCATGTCTTCAAGCTCCTCCTGAAGACTGCCAGGGTTGGGGCCTGTCTGATGTCTTTAGGGAGTGAGTTCCAGAGTCGAGGGGCCACCACCGAAAAGGTAGGCGGGTCCCAAACCATTCAGGGCTTTATAGGTAAGAACCTGAACCTTGAATTGGGTCCGGTAGATGAATGGCAGCCATTGGAGCTCCTTGAACAGGAGGGATGACCGCTTTCTGTAAGGAGCACCAGTTAACAACCTGGCTGCCGCCCATTGGATCATCTGAAATTTCCGGGCCGTTTTCAAGGGCAGCCCCACTTAGAGTGCATTGCAGTAATCCAATCTACATAGCTACATCTATTTCTCATGTTGTTTCCAGGTTTCCTTTATTAAAATTCACAAATCTCTCTTGGTTTAGGATATTTTCAACTTTGAACCTTAAGCTATGCAAAGTGGAAAGGAAATTATCACCATGATGAGAACATGCCATTTTACATCATGGAACTGTACTCTTTACATAGCTTGAAAATGGGACAACTGAGAAAGTGCTAACTATCTCAAATCCTAAATGCCCTTTTTGACCTTTCCTAGGCAAATAAGTTTCTGCAATATCCTTCCGTGCTGAGAAGGGTATATTATTCATTTATTGCTTAATTGATCTCCTCCTTTCTCTCCATATAGGACCCATAGTGGCTCAGAATATCACTCAAAATGCTAATTGGTACTGATGAAATGTTGACGCTGTGTGTGTGTACGTGAGAGAGATGTGAAAATAGCATATACCACAACATTCATAAATCTGGCTCCATCGAGAACATGAGCAGAAACCATCACTCATCCCTGTCTCCTCTTGTGTTGCAGTAACAGCCAATTCTATCAACATTTCTTCAAAAAAAAAATATTGGATTGTAGCGTATAACATGCAGCCATGATATTACAGAAATATTAAAGAAACAAAATCGACCAATCCTTTCTGGTATAACTCATTTTCTTCTCTTTTTGAATTCCATTTTAGTCTCCCACTTATACCTATTTCATTTTCCCCCCTCCACCTCCCTCCAGGAACAGTTGCGATAGAATTTCAGCATTTATTCTATTTGTTGAAGCATGGAGATGGTCTGATTTAGTTCCTTGTCATCCCTTCATTTTGGCTATCAGTTCTTTCCATTTCAAGACCCAGCTCCACATAGGATTTCCATTTATATATTTATTTTTCCTTTCAATAACATAATCCAGGAGCATATCGTCTGTTATAATATTCATATTATTTTTAAATTTCCTATTTTGTACTTTTTCCATCCCATCACAACTGTTGCTTGTGCCACTCCTGTCATATATTTTAGAATATGCGTCCAATCTTTATTGGTGCCCCCAGTGGTGCAGTGGGTCAAACCGCTGAGCTGCTGAGCTTGTTGACTGAAAAGTCGCAGGTTCAAATCCGGGGAGCAGCATGAGCTTCCACTGTCAGCCCCAGCTTCTGCCAACCTAGCAGTTCGAAAACATGCAAATGTGAGTAGATCAATAGGTAGGTACCACTCTGACGGGAAGGTAACAGCGCTCCGTGCAGTCATGCCGGCCACATGACCTTGGAGGTGTCATGTGGAGATGAGCACCAACCCCCAGAGTCAGACGCGACAGGACTTAATGTCAGGAGACAACCTTTACCTTTACCTACCAATCTTTATTACAATTTGTTCCTTCCATTTTCATAGTAAAAACAGGATTTTAAAATTTAGCTCTATTTTTACCCCATATAGTTCTTTCATTTCATGCTTTATTTTCCTATAAAATTTTTGTTCCTTTCCACAGCTGAACCTCATATGTATAAAGGTTCCTCTTTTCGCTACATTTATACCAACATAATTTTGTTGTGCTTTTGGTAATATAGGTTTATTTGATAAGGCGTTTTGTATCATTTTGTCAATATTATCCATTGTATTTCCTTAATCCTTGTATTTTTAATGTTTTTAATTGAGTTAACCCACGAATCAATATTATTCTGATTACTATTTACTGTAATTCCTTTTTCCTTCCCTCAATCAGCATATGTTTCAAATTTATTGCTTTTCTACTAGGCCTGTGCGGTTTCGTTCGTTAATTCGTTAATTCGTTATTAATTCGTTATTTTTGGCATTTCCGAAGCGATATCAAAACACATTTCCAAACCCGGAAGGGTTTTAAAATATCGACCCAGCAACCCCCATAGATTTAACGAGCTTCCGCTCGTTTCGTTAATGGGGTGGAGGCTGCTGGAGTGCTGGTGCCTGGGAGCCAATCTGGCGCTCCCAAGCAGTGCACCGTGTGTCCGCGGCTGTTTGTTTTTGATTGGCCGGCGAGCCCTTTCAAAGCGGCTCCGCGCGGCCGTAGCTTGCTGCAGAGGGCGAGGGAGTTTGCATTGGGTTGGCTTGGCTGCTAGCAACTGGATTAATGGATTCATTCCTTGCTGCTGTGAGTGCTGCTTGCTTCATTTGCTGTCTCCTGCCTGTGTTTGGTCCACATTTGGGCCATTTTTTGGTTAATTTTCCATTTTAAAATATTTTTTAATATTATTTTTAATATTATTTTTTAATATTATTTTTTAATATTATTCTTAAAAAATATTCTAAAAAAGAAAAGACTCTTCTGTTGGTGTGTGCTCTCATTTGCTGTCTCCTGCCTGTGTTTGGTCCACATTTGGGCCATTTTTTGGTTAATTTTCCATTTTAAAATATTTTTAATATTATTTTTTAATATTATTTTTTAATATTATTTTAATATTATTCTTAAAAAATATTCTAAAAAAGAAAAGACTCTTCTGTTGGTGTGTGCTCTCATTTGCTGTCTCCTGCCTGTGTTTGGTCCACATTTGGGCCATTTTTTGGTTAATTTTCCATTTTAAAATATTTTTTAATATTATTTTAATATTATTCTTAAAAATACAAAAAATATTCTAAAAATTCGTTAATATTTACAAAATTTCGTAAATACCAAAACTTTTTTGGGGGAAAGTTTTGTAATTATTTTAAATATCGAAACAAAAAAACACCCCAATTACAAATCGATTTTAGAAACAAATTTTTTCTTGATCAAACAGGCCTATTTTCTACTAATTTACTATATATGAATCCCATATATTTCCCTATTTTCCATTTGCTTTCCTTTCTCTTTCACTCTGTTACCTTTTGAGTCATTCCATGCCATAAGAGCCAGTTGCTTTGTCCACATATGCCTCCCAATCTTTTATTGTTCCATCAGTTTAAAAGGTTACTAATCTTTATTATTCCACTTTTTCATATTTTATCACTTTTCCATATATGTATTCATATTGGTTATCTAATACTCCTATTGGGAGTATATCAATTTTATTTATTAGGAATTTAAGTAAAGGTAAAGGTTTTCCCTTGACATCAAGTCTAGTCATGTCTGACTCTGGGAGTTGGTGCTCGACTCCATTTCTAAGCCAAAGAGCCGGCATTGTCCGTAGACACCTCCAAATTCATGTGGCCAGCATGACTGCATGAAGCGCCAATACTTTCCTGCTGGAGTGGTACCTATTACCATTTTTTCAACATTCCAATGCTGAAATCGGTGGTCCTCCTTTTTTGAAAAAAAAATCTTTATCATCCACCCTTTCCTTTAGACACAAGCAATGATCTCATCCATTTATTGACTTCTCAATTCTAACCCGTCTTTTTGCCTTATTGTATTATTTAGATTTTTAGGGATATATACCCCCAAGTATTTCAGCTTCTTTCTCCCCAATTGTATCCCCAGGAAGGTTGTATTGCTTTTAGATCTTTCCAGGATAGGTTTTTATGTAAAAATTTCTGATTTTTCAATATTTATTGCTAAACCTGATATCTTTTCACATTTTTATTATATTTAATCCTTTTCTTATAGGTTCCTCTGGATATCCTAGTATGGCCATGGTGTCATCTGTGCATACATTTATTTTTATTTATTTTTGACGTATTTTTTTTTCAATTGTTTTGTCATTTATAATTAGATTGGCCAATGGTTCTATCACCATAGGAAATAGAATTGGAAAGAGAGGACATTTTCTCAATTTTACTTTAGTTATTCCTGTGCAGAATTGAAATAAAGATCTACTGGAGTAATGTCAACTAAGGAAACTCACGCTGAACTTCTGGGTGCTTCATCATGAGCAAAAGGGCCCAGCGCAAGGTGGTGGAAGTGGTGTCCATGCCAGCAGTAAATAAATTAGCCACAAGAGTTTTTAGATTTTCATTATGGAAATATCCATTAACATTGTTGCTCTTCTCCTATGTTGAAAAAAGAAACAATGGCTTAAAACAAAAGGGGGGACAATCTTCCACGTGCATATGTCAAAAGAAATACTGAGAAACAGAAGAAAACATGATATTCATGGAGATGGAAAGAATAGAGACGTTGGATAAATTGCAATATATATTTGTTTTATATTAATTTACTATACATAGTGGGCCAAGAGTCACAAAGAGGTTTCAGTCTTTAATATTGCCCCTGGAGGCACAATGGGTTAAACCCTTGTGCCAGCAGGACCGCTGACTGATAGGTCAGCAGTTCAAATTCAGGGAGAGTGAGTTGAGCTCCCTCTGTCAGCTCCAGTTCCCCATTCGGGGACATGAGAGAAGCCTCCCACAAGAATGGTAAAACATCAAACATAAGAGCGTCCACTGGGCAACGTCCTTGCAGACGGCCAATTCTTTCACAACATAAGTGATTTGCAGTTTCTCAAGTCGCTCCTGACACACAAAAAAGAATTAATAACTCCTTTATTTTTTGTTTTTGATTAACAATACCAAAGCATTATATACAGTATATATTGGAAATAAAATTGCATGTAAAATATTTTTTCCAGAAAGTGCTATCATGTGATCAAGATGAATTTGCAGAAAATCCTTACTGTTAACAGATATAAGAACATTTAGAAAATGTTGGGTTCGTTTATATGACAATATCAGCATCCACCCCCTCGAAAAGACTTCATTACCTCTTTCTGCCGGACAAGAAAGGTATCAATAAAGCTCCGCTGGTCATTTTCATCCAACTCTTTGAGGTGTTCTATGAATGTAGCCTCTATGAAAGCCAAAAACTCCTCTTTGTTATCAAGGATAATTTTTCGACCACCAGAAAGGAAACCGAGAGCAGGAAACATGTTGTAGAACTGAAACATGGCAAAGAAAAAAAATCTCCAGCTGTCACCAGGTGAATATTTCTAAGCATTTTCATAATACAGTAGTTGAGGAACTACTTTGTTTTGAATCTTTGTTAACCAAATCTTTGTTAACCAAAACACAAGCAACCCAACCTCTCAAGCAACCACTTTAAACATCAACTCTTAAGCAAACAGACTCAATCTTTATCCAGCATATATCAGTCTCCACAGGTACTGGTTAACTGAGGCTCTACTGCATGTCTGCATATTCTTCAGATGCACAATCTACAGAAGCACAAAACAAGTGACAGCCTATGGCAGGGATTCTCAAACTTTGCTCCGCGGAGCCCTTGGGGCTCCACGGGTGATAGTGAGGGACTCCATGCTGCTTCTCGTCTCTTCCTCTTTCCTCCTCCTGAGAAATACAGGGCAATTAAAGTTTTGAGCCTGGATACAACAGCAGCAGTAGTGTCCTCCCAAGGCACAGATCCTTTCCTCTCACCTCCCTCGCTGCCCAGACTCTTTTCCTTGCTGCACAGATCCCACCCCCTTCCACTTTCTTTGCTTCCAAAACCCTATTTCCCTCCCACTGCTTAGGGATGCTTTGATTGTGTTTTTCCTGCATGGCAGAAAGGAGCTGGACTGGATATAGTAATAATAATAATAATAATAATAATAATATTAATAATAATAATAATAATAATAATTATTATTATTATTATTATTATTACAATGTGTGGGTGGCCATATGTTGGGGGTGATTTGATTTTGTTTATCCTGCATGGCAGAAGGGGGTTGGACTGGATGACCTCTGAGGTTTCTATTATTATTATTATTATTATTATTATTACTACTACTACTACTACTATTATTACTATTATTATTATTATTATTATTATTACAAAGGCTGGGTGGCCATCTCATTAAGTATTGTATTGATCTGTTTTTCTTTTCTTCACTTTTTTTGCACTGAGTAAATTAGTTCCCACAAACACTCTCCATCCAACTGCCACTGGCCCAGCCCATGCCTGATATATACATTCATTAGCTCCATTTGTTTACATGGATCTAATGAATTACTAACGACTTACGGGACTAATAATAATTTTGCACAGACCTAATAGACAGCTATCTCAAACCATCAGATGCCTAATTAGTTAGCATCTTTATGTAATAGCCATGTATTATTGTTACTAGTCTCCATCACTCTACAAATGATGGTAATGTGACCTCAGCATCTTCCACTACCTCCTAGGGTGTAGGGATCCCCTTTGCTTCAATTCCAGATACTGTCATCAAAAGCTGTAGATTCCTGGCAACCTGTCTCTGTGTCTGAATCTTCCCGCTGCAAAGGGTGTTGTGACAGAGGCATCAATAATCTGAGCAATATGATCATGACTCCGGGCATCAGTTCCTTGACATTCTACTAAGTGTAGTTCCCAGGTACTCTTCAATGGACATTCTGCCAAACTAAATTAAGGCCCTTTCCACACAGCTGCATAAAATACACACTGAACTGGACTATATGGCAGTGTGGACTCAGATAATCCAGTTCAAAGCAGGTATTGTGGATTATCTGCCTTGATGTTCTGGGTTATACGGCTGTGTGGAAGGGCCCTAAGTTGCACCAACACACTGCACCACTGCCAACTTTGGGAGCCCAGAAAGATCAAGTAGTACTCTTAGACCCAAAGCTCTGAGGATAAGAAGAAGCCCTTCCAGAATTGGTTGAATCCATTTTTTAACTGGGACACTATTCAAAGCTACTGAATTGTGATGTTAGCTGACAGGGTGTCACTGGCATATTGGTGACTTCACAAAAGAGCTAGGTGTTACCAGCTTTTTGGTAATACCTCACTCTAAATCTTCCAGTAATCTTTCTCAGAACCTTCATATAAATACTGGGCAAGATGAGAGTCACAATATGTCAAATAACAATGAGAGTCACAATATGTCAAAGAAGTGGAGGCATTCAGCAGTGACTCCCAAGCATAGCGTTTTGGATACAAGCTCAGAAAATATTGAATCCAATGCAACAAACCAAGTATTCAGACAGTTTGGCAACATATTATGGCATGAAAGATCACTGAGAGGTCCAGGAGAACTAATAGAACCACACTTTTCATAAAGATTAGCAAAACAGGCTTAGTCCTGGATGAAAGACCAAATTGGTTCAGTAACCCATTTGGTCCTCTGGCATATGTGTGACATGTGGGGAAATTATTTAGTTCCTCAACTTTCAGATTCTGGATTTTTCAGAATTGAAAACACTAAATGCTCACTTTCAGCCAGCACTATCTATGCTAGCAATACTTGAGGGTGTTTTTTTTTGGGGGGGGGGGGTGAGACTACCAGGACTGAGGGGCTTCCCGCAACCCGGACATTTTCATTGATTAACTCCAGTAATCTTCGAAATTTGGGATCTTCATATTCGTATCGCCTTCCAAGTAGTATGGCTACTATAATGTTGGCAACAGCTGCATTCATGATTGCAGTTGTCTCAAGTGGTTTCCCTAGACAGAAAATATAAAATTTGAAGAAAAAAAGTTAGTTATAATGAGATTATAGAAAGAATATCAACGTTAGATTTCCTTTAATAGATTTTAGATCTCTGAATCAGCTTTCTCATGTATATCAGCTTTCTCATTTTAGATGCTTTTTTTCGTTTCAGGAGTGACTTGAGAAACTTCAAGTCATTTCTGGTGTGAGAGAATTGGCTTTCTGCAAGGATGTTGCCCAGGGGATGCCCGAATGCTTTCCCATCCTGTGGTAGGTTTCTCTCATGTCCCTGCACAACATGAGTGCAACTCTTAAGTGCACCTAAACATCACGTTGACATAGGCTGTGGCTACACTCATCAGAAAACTCCAGTTTAAAAGGCTTCGGGACTTCTCTTTGGCTCTTCACATTGCAGGCCAGTCCTAACGTGTGGTGGCAATACCACCTTACAACCAGCAAGCGGCTGTCTTCCAGAGGCTTAGTGCCGACAGCATTTTTCTGGTCACATCACTCATTTCCTCAGAAAGTGATATGTCTTTGAACTGATTGGTGATGTGGACAATGGATTGGGCCAGATCCACCTGTTCAAATCCTCAAAATGCTTGGAAGCTCTGCAGTAAAACCCCTGTTCTCTTGGTGCAGGTTAACAGCTGGATTTAACAGGTGTGCAGAGTATCTGACCCACAGATCATATGGACTCACCATAATAACTGAGTGGTGAGTCTACTTTATTTTGGCTGTGTAGACACAGCTAAATTAAACATTTCCAGGGAAATCCTTGGAATGATTACTCAAGAGGCTTAGGAAATATAACACAGCATTTTCAGCACTTTTAAGCCGCCTTAGGGTAGACATACTCGCTAGAGCAGTGGTTCTCAACCTATGGGTCCCCAGATGTTTTGGCCTACAACTCCCAGAAATCCCAGCCAGTTTACTAGTTGTTAGGATTTCTGTGAGTTGAAGGCTAAAACATCTGGGGACCCACAGGTTGAGAACCCCTGCTCTAGAGCATCAAAAGGAAAGACCGACCAACCAACCTTTATAAGATTCCAGTTTCTTTGTCAGGACATTGCACTCTTCAACAATTTTATCCTCTATGGTTCTCTTGCCCATTCCATAGTCCCGAAGTGTGGATAAGGTGAACCTCCGCATCACTTTCCAGTTCTCACCATGCGAAAAAGTAATACCTGAGAAAAGAATTCAAAGTTCACTTTATATTTATACTGACATTAATTCAGCATTATAATGAGATGAAGTCTAAAAGTCTAAAAAGGGCATATACAAAAAATGGAAAGGTGTGGGAGGGTCACCAAACAGGAAATCAAGCAAATAACCAACCTGTGTAGAGAAAAGATCCAAAATGCCAAAACACAAAATGTGTTTAAGCTTGCCAGAGAGATTTAAAACAATAACAAGGGGTTCTTGTTATTGTTTATTGTTTATAACAAGGGATCACTCTGACCAAAAGGTCATGAGTTCGAAGCCAGCCCAGGTTGGAGTGGGTTTCCAACCAATTGTGTAGCCTGTTGTCAACCTTTGCAACCTGAAAGACAGTTGCATCTGTCAAGTAGGAAAATTAGGTACCACTTTAAAGTGTGGGGAGGCTAAATTAACTAATTTATGAGGCAAAAAAAAAGACTCCAGCAAAGCACTCCAGCAAAAAAGCATGCAGGGAATGAGGAAGTACTTCATCAGTGTCGCAGATGGACGATGAAAGCGACAGCTCCCCTGGCGGCCAGAAAAAGTTAAATAGCCTCTGCATATGTCTGTATATGTTGTATGTTAAAACTCGCACTGAATGTTTGCCATATATGTGTACACTGTAATCCGCCCTGAGTCCCCTGCGGAGTGAGAAGGGCGGAATATAAATGCTGTAAATAAATAAATAAATAAATTATTTGGTTATGGCAGTAGAAAAATGAAGCAGTAGAGCCTCTACTTGGAGAAGGTGGTGAAATGATAACAGGGGAGAGGGAAAAGGCATAGCTGGTAAACACCTTCTTTGCCTCAGTTTTCTCACAAAAGAAAATCAGTGTTCAACCTGAGCAGTATAGAGTGGATGAGGCAACAGGGGAAATGCAATCCAAAACAGGTAAAGTCGTAGTCAAGGAATACCTGGCTAAATGAATTCAAGTCTCCAGGGCCAGATGAAATACATCAAGGAATTAACAGAAGACACTTTAGAACCTCTGGCAACAATCCTTGTAAATTCTTGGAGAGCAACAAAAGTCCCTGCAGACTGGAGGAGACCAAATGTCCCTCTTCAGGAAATGAAAAAAAGAGGATACCAACCAGTCAGCCTAACATCAATGCCAGATAAGAGTCTGGAGCAGATCATTAAGGAGGCCGTCTGCAATCACTTAGAAAGAAATGCTGCGATTACTAAAAGTCAACATGGATTTATCAAAAACAAGTCATGTCAGCTTAATCTTATTGCTTTTTTTCCAATAGAGTTACAAGCTTAGGAAATACACGGAAAGCTGTGGTTCTAGCATATCTTGATTTGAAGTAAGGCCTTTGACAAGGTCCCCCATAATCCTCTGGCAAACAAACTAGTAAAATGTGGGGTGAAGAATACAACTTTGGGTGAATTTGTAATTGGTTGAGTGACCGGTTGAGTGCTCACCAATGGTTTCATCCTGAAAAGAGGTGACTAGTAGGGTACTGCAGCATTCTGTCCTGGGTCCATGCTGTTCAACATCTTTATTAAAGACTTGGATGAAGGTTTACAGAGTATGCTTATCAAGTTTGAAAATGACACCAAATTGGGTGACATAGCTAATACTCCAGACAATAGGATCAGAATTCAAAATGACATTAATAGTTTAGAGAGCTGGACCAAAACTAATGAGCAAGTAGTTGAAAAGGAAACAAAGGGTAAGAGGGAGGGTGGAAGGGAGAAAGAGGGAGGTAAGGAAAGAAGGAAGGGAGGGAGGGAGGGAGGTAAGGATGAATGAAAGACAGAAGGAAGGAAGGATAGGATGGCAAGAGAGAGGAGGGCCTAATAAAAGAGCCCAAGGGGCCGCATCCAGCCCCCTGGCCTAGGTTTGCCCATACCTGATATAAATAATAACAACTACTGTACCCGCCCCACAAAGTCACAACAACCATATAAAACAAAATACTTCACCAAGGCCATTTGTAAATTCTTCAAATATTGGGGTGATGGGCCTCTCAGCCAATGCATCAGCCTGGTTCACCAGCGCCTCTTTCACCATCTCATACCCACTCAACACTACCATTTTCTGGAATCCCATTTGGATCCTGAAGATGGGGCCATAAACTTTTGACAACTGGAATGAAATACATTTTCAGAGTTGATATGCAGATCCTTAAGACATTTTTATCTTGTGTAAAAAAACAGCAACAATCCTTATTCCACACACTTAGATCTGGAATATCACCATTCATTTGAGGGTCCTTCCACATAGCCCTATATCCCAGAATGTCAAGGCAAAAAATCCCACATTATCTGAATGTGGACTCAGATAACACAGTTCAAAGCAGATATTGTGGGATTTTCTGCCTTGATATTCTGGGATATAGGTCTGTGTGGAAGGGCCCCCAGTTAAACATCTAGGAAATTTCCAGAGAACTTTAAGACACGGGTTAAGTTTTTGTGTCTTCTTGAACATCCTAGCAAGGAGGTGGCTTATGGATTAATAAATGGTAGCAGCAAAAGAAACTTTAAGAGTAAAAGGTGGCAGCAAAGAAAAATATAACCAGTAATATATAATATATAGTTTTGACATCCCCCAGATCTGATCCCTTCTGGCTGTCTTTTTATTTGATGACATGTATACAATGCAAAGACTTTCGGTGACACTAGTACATTTCATTCTCAATTAGTAATTGTTTTCTCAATTTAAAATTATCATGAACTCATGTCTCAGTGCCTTGATTAGAAATTGTTCCTGAAGATAAACCATCTCTCATATTTCCAAGATCTGATCTCTTTTTGAGCTCCACTGTGTTTGATAATATGTTTATGAAACTTCTTCTTAATGTAAGTGGCAACAGCAAGAAGAAACAGAGCTTCTTTGTTGTTTACCACCTTAGTGCAGAACCCTATGCTCCAAATATTCAGTAGGGATGGAAATACGCAGGAACCTTAAGCCTGGCATTTTGTCAGTGTTCTGTTGTTTTCTGTTTCTCATCCGGTTTTATGTTCCTAGGCACCTGTTCTATCTTATTAATTTGTTTTTCATTTCGTAGTCTGGGTGGAGTGTCTCTCTCTCTCTCTCTCTCTCTCTCTCTCTCTCTCTCTCTCTATATATATATATATATATATATATATATCAGGCAGGTATATATGGAAAGCAAGTGCATGTATAATGAATGAGCACAGGAAGCTTTAGTTTGTGCCCACTGGCATGATTGTGGGACCTATTTCTCTCTGAAGTAGAGTCAGAGGATTGACTCTTAGTGGTGCATATTTTTGTTTTCCAAGAATGCCCTAGATAAATTCCTCCCTCTTGCACATACACACATTGCATGGTACATCCACCAATGACCTCTTTCTTTTTACTTTTTCAGCTACTTACAATTCATGAAAATTATTTGTAGTCTAACAATTGCAGAATACTAAATAAACTTTAAGAAAACATCATGGGACACAGGCTTTTAACATTATTAGTGGTAAAAATTTTAGGATTTATTTTAAGGTGGCTCAAAAAAGCTTTAAAATGATCGGCTTTTCCCTGGCACAGAAAGAAGAGAAAACATTACCTTCAGCATTGTTCTGTGAGGCCTCTCCCGATCTATTATATGAAGATTTCCAATAATTGGTAAAGGCTTGGGACCTGGTAGAGGATTTCGGGAACTGTAATTCCAGAAATGGCCCATTTTTAAAACCAGCAAAATTATAAGGGCAATTAAGAAAAATATTGTAATTGGATGTATCCAATCCATTTCTCCAGGAAGCAGTTTTCTGTAGCACCTGCAATGAAGGTTGCAATATGGCTTAACACAATTAAAATAGGTGTTACTTATATTTTGTACAAATGCACGAGACCAAGTTATAGGTTGCCCCTGGCAAATCATTTACTTTTTTATCAAGTTTAACAAGTGGTGCTGCCAAGAATGATCTGGCTTCCTGAACCATGGTCTGTGTTTCCATGAAAACGGGCCTCTGGAACAGCATTGGATGAACCTCACACAAGTTGGCAGAAATGTTTTTGCTGAGAGACTCACAAATCTGATCTGGTGGACTTTAAACTGGGTTGTGTGGGGGAGGGTTACAATATTCTTGGGAGAAGACTTTATCAATGCCCAGAGGCAACAACCCAAAGGCTAAAGAGAGAGTTGGACAAACAGACCAAATACAAAGCAGTGAGAGGACAGTAATCTCAAATAACCAGCTAGGTTGAATATCCTATGGGCTTAGATGTCTCTGCATTAATGCACAAAGGAATTGGAATTCATAGCACAACAAAACAGTTACCATGTAATAAGCATCACTGAAACCTGGTGGAATGAGTCATATAATTGAAATGTAATAATGGAGGGTATAACACATTTCAGGGAAATAGACCAAACAGGAATGGGGACTGAGAAGCATTATATTACAATGATGTTTACACCTGCAAAGAGATGCAGAGCTTAAATCCTGGCAACCAGCTGAGAGCATCTGGTTAAAAATTATGGCAGTGAATACTGAAAAATATTGTGGGGGTCTACTACAGACCTCCAAGCCAGACTGAAGGCCTGGATGAAGCCTTCCTTGAAGAGAAATTATTATTATTATTATTATTATTATTATTATTATTATTATTATTATTATTATTATTAGGAGACTGAGGGCCTGGTTTTGGCAGCCCAAGAACAAGCCATTAGAACCAATGTCATCAAAGCCAGAATTGAAAAGTTGACAACAGATCCCAAATGTAGACTCTGCAAGGAAGTGGGTGAAACAATAGATCACATCCTCAGCTGCTGCAAGAAGATCATGCAGACAGACTACAAGCAGAGGCATAACACCATTGCTCAGATGATTCATTGGAATCTGTGCCACAAATACCATCTGCTTGTGACAAAGAACTGGTGGGATCACAAGCCAGAAAAAAGTTACAGAGAATGAACACGTCAAACTACTCTGGGACTTCTGAATTCAGACAGAGTTTTGGAGCACAACACTCCTGACCTCATGATCGTGTTAAAAAATAAAGTATGGATTGTTGATGTTGCAATCCCAGGTGACAGCAGGATTGAAGAGAAAAAAACTGGAAAGGCTGACACGATATGAGGATTTAAAGATTGAACTGCAAAGACTCTAGCACAGTCAAGGTGGTCCCAGTGGTGATCGGCACACTGGGTGAAGAGCCTAAAGGCCTTGGCCTGCACTTAAACACAATCGGTGCTGACAAGATTATCATCTGCTAGCTGCAAAAGGCCACCTTACTGGGATCTGCACGCATTATTTGCCAATACATCACACTGTCCTGGACACTTGGGAAGTGTCTGACATGTGATGCAATACAACAGCCAGCAGAGTGTCTGCTGTGGATTCATGTTGTTGTGTTTCAAATAATAATAACTTTATTTTTATACCCCACCACCATCTCCCCAAAGGGACTCGGGGCAGCTTACCTGGGAACAAGCCCAAGATTCAACATAGTTAAAATATAGCATCAAAATCATTAAAACAGTTCAACAATATAAAAACAACCACACTTACTGCAATACATAGCTATCATCTAACAAAAATCCATGGTCTGAATAGTGCATAGCTCTGAGCTCAGGTAGGCAGCTGGTGCAAATCATTTGCAAAGGATAGGGTTGATGAGTAAAGTGCTTAGGGCAAGTGACAGGGTTAGAACCGGGGGGGGGGGAGGAGGGGGCTGGCACAGGAGGCAGGAAGAAGAGATGTAGTAGTAATGGGAGATTTCAGCTATTCCAATATTCATTGGAAAACAAATTCTGCCAAGAGTACAAAGTCCTAGAAATTCCTCACTTGCCCTGCAGACAATTTTATTGTCCAGAAGGTGGAAGAGGAACAAAGGAATCAGCTATTCTGGATCTGGTCCTAACCAAGGCTGAGGATCTGGTCAATGGAGTAAAAGTGATGGGATCATTAGGTGAAAACAACCATGTGCTCCTGAAGTTTGTGATACAAATGAAGGATGAAACTAAGAGAAGACAGACATGCATTGTCGTAATTTCAGGAAATTTAGGGAAATGCTGAGGGTGATCCCTAAAAAAGAAAGGAGTTAATGGTGGGAGTTTCTGAAATGTGAAATAATGAAGACACAATTGCAAATAATGTCAACAAGGAGAAAAAATTAGAGCAGTCTAAAGAAACCAAAATTGAGGTCCAAATAACTTTCAGCTGAGTTGAGATATAAAAGGGACACATACATGAAATGGAAAAGAGGGGAAATACTTAAACAGGAGGTCAAATGAATAGCCAACATATGTAGGGGGAAGGTCTAAAAGACAAAAGCACAAAAAGAGCTCAGGCTTGCCATAAAGATTAAAAATAATAATAAGACAGTTAGTTAGTTAGTTAATTATAACATAAAAAACAAGGAAACTGTAGGGTCCCTGCATGGAAAAGGTGGTGAAAGGCTAACAGGGAAAAGGCAGAACTGCTCAACACCTTCTTTGTCTGTTTTCTCACAAAAGGTTTTCAACCTGAACAATATGGAATAGATGAGGCATCATGGGAAATGCAACCAAAAATAGGTAACGTAGTCAAGGAAAACCTGGCAGCTCTAAACGAATTCAAGTCTTCAGTGCCAGATGGAGTATACTTAAAGTGTATTGAAGTGACTGGCACAAGCAATTTTCAAACCACTGGCAATAATCTCTGAGAATTCTTGGACAACGGAAGTCCCAGCAGACTGGAGGAGAGCAAAATGTATCCCTACCTTCAAGAAAGGGGAAAAAAGAGGGCCCCGATCAGCCTGACATCAATACCATGAAAGATTCTGGAGCAGATGATTTAGAAGGCAGTTTGTAATGACTTAGAAAAGAACGCTGTGATTACTAAAAGTCGATATGGGTTTCTCAAAAGCAAGTAATGACAGACTAATCTTATCTCTTTTTTCGATAGAGTTACAACCTTGGTAGGGGCAGGAATACTGTGGATCTAGTATATCTTTATCTCAGTAAGTCCTTTGATAAAATTCCTCATGACCATTTTGCAAACAGGCTAGTCAAATGAGGGCTAGACAATACAACTGTTGGTAGATTTGTAACTGGTTAAGCAACTTACTCCAAAAGGTGCTCACCAATGGTTCATCTTCATTGGAAAGAATTGACTACTAGTGGAATGCCACAGAGTTCGGTCCTAGGCCTGTTCAACATCTTTATTAATGACATGGATGAAGGTTTAGAGGTCATGCTTATCAAGTCTGTAGATGACATCAAATTGGGAGGTGTAGCTAAAACTCTAGCATACTGTTTCTCAACCTGTGGGTCTCCAGATATTCTGGCCTACAACTCCTAGAAATCCCAGCCGGTTTACCAGCTGTTTGGATTTCTGGGAATTGAAGACCAAAACATCTGAGGACCCACAGGTTGAAAACCACTGCTCTAGAAGACAGGATCAGAATTCAAAATGACCTATACAAACTAGAGAGCTAGGCCAAAACTTTCAAAATGAATTTCAACAAAGAGGAGTGTAGGATTCTTCACTTAAGCAGATAAAATGAAATGCACAGGTATAGGATGGGTGGTGTCTGGCTCAACAACAGTCCATGTGAAAAAGAGATTGTCGTTTTAGTGGACAACAAGTTGAACATGAGCCAACAGTATGATGTAGTGTGACTCCATGAAGACCGATTCCCTACACATGCACACATCCAGGCTCAGCTGTTCAGCCTAAGTTAGTCTGCATCAGTGATCATCCAGAGATCCACTGGAAATTTCTCCACAGCCCCACTCACTTCCATCACAACACAGTTAAAACCCAACTCATAAATGGGTACAGTTTACAGTATACATCCATTATTAGACTCACTCCTATACAAAGTATTTTATTCTAATTTTTATTTTCTTTCCCTTCTGCAAATGTGTGCATGAACACAGACGAATAAATTAAAACAAATAAAGAAAATAACGCTTCCAATCTTACATTCAGCCAAGTTATGACCCTTCTTCTCATGCCCTGCTTTCCACCTATGAACTTGTACTTAAGCATCATATAAACTATTTTTATCTTATTTTATTACTTTATTTTATTGAACTATATGTAATAGAAGGCAGACTACAATGAACTCTATTAACCTCTTGCACATTCTCAGCCTTTCCAGAAATTCATTCCATACCCTATGTGGGAAACATGGACAAGACCATAATCTCCTGGACAAAGAGTGTTCCTGTCTGCCAGTAAGGGGCCACCAGGGGTGGCTCAACCCATTACGCAAAGTAAGCATTGGGCAAAATCAACTATACTGCAAATGCTTACTTTGCGTAATGGGTTGAGCCACCCCTGGTGGCCCCTCACTGGCAGACAGGAACACTGGAAGAATCTTATGACATGGCTATTTGAGCGGGCATTTGAGAATATGGAGGAATGGATATAATAACGGAATAACTATATGTCGGAACTGAACATTGTTTTAATGAATATCAATTGAAGTATGTTTCATTATATTGTTGCTGATGTTTTTATATTGTATATTGTAATTTGTATCCTTAGTGGCATTGAATCCTTGCCTTGTAAACCGCCTCAAGTCGCCGGAAAGCTGAGAGGGGCGGTATAGAAATATACTAAATAAATAAATAATCCAAATATCTCCTAAAGTTCCAGAGGTGACAAAGTCCAGGAACAACCAGAAATCACAGGCACAGGATAAGTCCACAAATAAAAGGTATAACTAGTAAAACTTGAACAGGAGTACATGAATAGGAACATAGAAAACTTCCAGGATATTAAAATCCAAAACCAAGGCTTGACTTGAACTAGGAACCAGAGAACTCAGGCTTAGCTTTTCACTTTAACGCAGCATTGCCTGAACTGCCTTTAAGGTAAATAACATGTTGTTTAATAGATACCCATGAAAGCATTACATCTCCTGTGAATATTCTCCACAACTTTCCCATGCAATCCTCTCTAAATCATCAGTTAAACCATCAGCCTCTGGCTGATCTACACTATAAAATAACTTAAGACAAAATATCTGCTAAAATAATCAAATATCCTACAGTACATACATACATGGCAAATGTGGCCTTTTCCAACACTGTGATTTTATGAGTCTATATCCAATTTATCTGTCCCTAAATTTTGTTTCTCTTCTCCAGCTATTGAAATTTACTGTTTAGGTTACTCCTTACTTTGATAAGTTAGAAGCACAATAGTTACTTCAAATGAAACTTCTGTAAATAGGTTCAAACTCTTAAAACCATTGACCTAGGATTATTTGGAATTTCTTTTAAAAACCAATTCTATGACTTATGAAGAGCAGCACTGCACATTCTTCTTGGGTAATAATTAAATAGCCACAAGTGAGAGATCTTTGAATGTGTTTCAAAACTTCCTTAACTCTTCTATTGCCGAAATCCTACAAATGTGTTGTTAATATTGTAATGAATCCAAGACTGGCCTACAAGTCAATGCAATATGAGGGTGGGATAAAGGTACTGCAAAGAGCTGCTTTTTCTTGTGATATTGGTATGAGGTCTCTGAAGTCAGCCAGTAAAACAGAGAATCTGAAGAGAGGAGGATTGCACCAAGACACAGAGAGGGTTCTAGGGGATGACCACATCTTTAATACAAATACAGTAGTTACAAATACAGGATGAATGTCTATGGAACTATCAACCGAAACAAAATGTTAAAAGTACATGTACAAGAAACTGGGGGAAAAATGGGGAAACCACCAAAAACAGGTTAAAAAACAATAAAAAGGGGTTGTTGTTTTGTTTTGTTTTTTTGGCAAAATGAAAAACAAGGAAATTGTCAAGCCACTGCACGGAGAAGCTTGTGAAACCACCAAACATCTTCTTTGCCTTGATTTTCTCCAATAAGAAAAGCAGTGCTTAACCTGGAGAAAATGGAGCAATTGATGCATTTGGGGAAATGCCACACAGAACAGGTAAAGAGACAGTACAGGAACACCTGGCTACCCCAGATGAATTCAACTCTCTAAGACCAGATGAACACCCAAGGCTGTTAAAAGAATTGGCAGAAGTAATATCAGAAGGACCAGCAATAATCTTTGAGAGGTCTAGGAAAACAGGAGAAATCCCAACAGCCTAAAGGTGATCAAATGTTCTTTTCATCTTCCAAAGAGGAGGCAAACAATTATTACCATTGACGTGACATCTATACCAAGACTCTAGAGCAAATTATTAGACAAACAGTCTGTAATACATTACAAAGAAATAATGTGATCCCATTAAGTCAACTTTGAGTTTTCAAAAACAAGCCACATGCAGTGAACCTTATTTCTTTCTTTATTGAGTTACAAACTTGGCAAATGTTTGATTATAGTAAGGCATTTGAAAGGGAGCCCCGTGCTACTCTTTTAAAGGATCTAGTAAGATTTAGGCTAGATAATGCTACCGTTAGATGGATTTCTAATTGCTTGACTGGTCAAACCCAAAGGATGTTCACCAATGGATCCTCTTCATCCTGGAGAGAACGGTCTAGCTGAATTCCATAGGGTTTTGTCCTGGGCCTAGTGCTAGTCAACATTCTTATCAGTGACTTGGGTGGCAAAATACAACATGCTCATCAAATTTGCAGATAACACCAAAATGAGAAAAGCAGCTAAGGCTAGATCTACCTGGCCATATAATCTAGTTTCAGAATGCAGATTAACTACATTAAACTAGATTATAAGGATTTACACTGCCATATAATCCAGTTCAATGTAGTTAACCTGCATTCGACATTGTTATATGGCAGTGTAGATCCAGTCTTTACTCCAAAGGACGGGATCTGAATTCAAAATAATACATACATACATACATACATACATACATACATACATACATATTAGGAGCCCCCGGTGGCGCAGTGGGTTAAACTGCTGCTGCTGCTGAACTTGTTGACAGAAAAGTCGCAGGTTCGAATCCGGGGAGCGGTGTGAGCTCCTGCTATTAGCCCCTGCTTCTGCCACACTAGCAGTTCTAAAACATGCAAATGTGATTAGATCAATAGGTACCGCTCTGTCCGGAAGGTAATGGTGCTCCATGCAGTCATACTGGCCACATGACCTTGGAGGTGTCTATAGACACCTTCGGCTTACAAATGGAAATGAGCACCAACCCCCAGAGTCGGACACGACTGGTCTTAATATCAGGGAAAAACCTTTACCTTACATATATATTATTTGTTACTTACCTCTCCTAACAGTTGAAGGTGGGGCACAACACAGTATTTATTTATTTTTTAAATGATTTAACAGATCAGAGAGCAAAAACAAACTATTTCAGCAAGACTAAAATGAAGCTGGAGGGAGGAAAAAGCTTGTCAATATCTCTCTGGAATGTGTCCAGAGGAGGGCGACTAAAATGATCAAGGGTTTGGAGAACAAGACCTATGAGGAGCGGCTTAAGGAACTGGGCATGTTTAGCCTGAAGAAGAGAAGGCTGAGAGGAGATAGTCATGTATAAATATGTGAGAGGAAGCCACAGGGAGGAGGGAGCAAGCTTACTCCCTTTGGGGAGATAGGGCAGTCTATAAATAAAGTTTATTATTATATATTATTATTAAATATGATGGCCTATCCAGATAGATAATTGCTAGGTCAGGATGACACTGCAAGGCTGAATGTCTAAGCACCAGGGATAATGCAACACAATGATGCAACACAATAAGTGATTGGCTGGGTTTATTATAAATGTGGAACCATATACCACTAAATATGCTAGCATGTTACAGAAAAGACCACATGGTGTAACAAACAGATATCAGGAAGACTTTATTCCCACTACATTAATAACTACTCAAACCTGAACAATAACGCGCAGCTGAAAACTTCAGTACATAAACTTTAAGGCACAGGCTGGATCATTTTAATATAGCTTCATGGAACATACTATGGTAATATAAATGCACAATCTGAAAACATAGGCAGTCATAAAAGAAGCATCATAATCATGTACTGAAAAGAAATAATTTCTTACACATATTTAAGGGAGATGAAAGCAGTTAAGAGATACAGTCTATGTTTCTTTTCTTCAGTAGGCAACATCTAGGGAAGACTGATTCCATTCAGAAGTTCACATTTCATATGCTTGTTCCAGAAACATTGACAGAGTCTTCATTTCATATGATTGCTGAATAGTATTTAAGTCGTTAAGAAGAACTGGTTGGTTTTTAACCTTCAAGAGCTCGTTCTATAGAATATTTAAAGATATAATGTTTAATATGGCATGAGAGCAACATAAGATTATCATGCAAGCATTCAAAGCACTTTCCATAAAAGGTCTGAAAGCTGAAGTGTGTAAGGATTTCAAGATGACAAAAAGAGTACATCAAGACTCAGTAACTATTATTATTTCTGTCATCCAGGATTATCTAGAGATACCAGCTGCAGGGGATGCAAACTAGAGTGTGTTATTGTCTTCCAATACAGCTTCCCAGAGACATTTACTTGGACACTGTATAAACTAAATGGTAGACTAGAAAAGCCTTGTCTGACTTAGCAGATCTTCTTCCCCAACCCCCCCCCCCCCCCCACTCTTAGGAAAAGAGCAGTAAAAGATGTTTGTTCCCTCTGTGAGAAAAAAGTCTGGCAAGAAGAAATAGCAACAGCTTGATATTCATTGCTGGAAAGTTCTTGATATTTCCTGACATATTACATTACCCGACATCTGCTCACCTGAAGAATTGGTGCTTTTGCACAATCCTCAAAGATACCAGGAAGAAAAGGGTCAAATTTGCTATCTGTCTGGAATAACTGTGGAGAAAGGAATAACGCTTAGCATGATACCTAGAAACAGAATTCTGCCTTCCCCCTATATCCTTACTCTGAAATAAAACCTGCTATATATCAATATTTTATATGCATAGCTATCTATATAAATAAATATGCAATGTTTGTTTGTGGGATTAACAGAACTCAAAAACTACTGGAGGAATTGACACCAAATTTGGACACAAGACACCTAACAACCCAATGTATGTCCTTCACTCAAAAGTAGTTGCTGGGATTTGTAGTTTGCCTACAATCAAAGAGCATTCTGAACCCCACCAACGATGGAATTGAATCAAACTTGACACACAGTTCTCCCATGACCAACAGAAAATACTGGAAGGGTTTGGTGAGCAGTGTCCTTTGGTTTGGGAGTTGTAGTTCACCTACATCCAGAGAGCACTGTGGACTCAAACAATGATGGATCTGGACCAAACTCTAAACGAATACTCAATATGCCCAAATGTGAACACTGGTGGAGTTTGGGGAAAATAGAATCTTGACATTTGGGAGTTGGAGTTGCCGGGATCTGTAGTTCACCTACAATCACAGAGCATTCTGAATCCCACCAACAAGAGAATTGGGCCAAACCTCCCACACAGAACCCCCATGACCACCAGAGTGGGCCACAGCAACGCGTGGCAGGGGACGGCTAGTATACAAATAAAATGTAATGTTCGTTTGTGGGATTAACAGAACTCAAAAACCACTGGACGAATTGACACCACGCCTAACAACCCAATGAGTGACCATCACTCAAAAAATTGATTTTGTCATTTGGGAGTTGTAGTTGCTGGGATTTATAGTTAACCTACATTCTGAACCCCAGCAACGATGGAACTGAACCAAACTTGGCACACAGTTCTCCCATGACCAACAGAAAATATTGGAAGGGTTTGGTGGGCAGTGTCCTTTGGTTTTGGAGTTGTAGTTCACCTACATCCAGAGAGCACTGTGGACTCAAACAATGATGGATCTGGACCAAACTTGGCACAAATATTCCATATGCTCAATTAGAAACACAGATGGAGATTGGGGGAAATAGACCTTGACATTTGGGAGTTGTAGTTACTGGGATTTATAGTTCACCTACAATCAAAGAGCATTCTGAACCCCACGAAAGACAGAATTGGGGCAAACTTCCCACACAGAACCCCTATGACCAATAGAAAATACTTAAGGCCATCCAGTCCAACTCCTTTCACCAGGGCAAGAAAACGTAATCAAATACTGTTTACCCACAAGTATAAAGAAATTACATATATTAGAAACCAAAACTTTCTCATTACTTTATTTTCCAGATCACCAGACTGGGCCACAACAACGCCTGGCAGGGGATGGCTAGTTCTTTATAAATCACTATTGTCAAGAGAAATAGCAATTTGTTCACCCTCTTCCTGAGTCCTTGTAAAAGTGAGTTAAAGCCAATTCTAACCCACACAAAATCTGAAAACAAAACTCCTATCTCCCGGATACCTTGCTTGATGCTGCTTCCTCTGCTGCCAAGTCACATTTCAATTTCTCTATTTTGTTCTGCAAAGTTTGAATATTGTTATCATTGAACGCTGCGGCTTGCAAAGCTTTATCCAATTCTTCCTGTATTTAAAAAAAACCCAATGAAGTTAAAGAATATATTGAAAGCAAAGTATTATCCATGTGGTGAACATTGTGCCTGCATTAGCTAAAATCATGTTGTTACAAGCAGATCATAAGATTGGAATATTCCCAGTCCTCCCAGTTAACCCTTCTTCAGAATAGAATAAAGCCAAAAACTGCAACAATTTGTTTGAGATATAGTTCATAGCATATAAATTGATTTAAAGAAAGAGATAACACAAAACACTGTGTATAATTTCAGAAGCAAGTACCAATTTTGTGATTTACACAAATTATGCCGATTGGTCATTTGGGCTGATTCTTACTTTAGCTTTCTCCTTTCTTGCTTTGCAAAATGAAATGAGAAGTCATTCTAATTTTCAGTAAGCAGCATTTTTTATCATAACTAATAAACATTATTTAATTACAGTGATTTCAGGGGAAGCAAAATAATTACTTTCCTAGTCCCTAAACATTTCTTAAAGCAACAGTTGTGATATGAAATAATGGAAATAGAATTTGACTGATGAATTACATAAATCTCTTTTTACCCATGGAACTGATTACTCCCGTACTATTTACTCGTCAATAGAGTGCCATAAAATACTCCCTTCTCTTTCTCACCTGCAACTGTTTCAAATCATCTTCAATGGCGACAGTCTTTTTCTTTTCCTCTACTAGAATTCTATGCACTTTCTCACAGCTGTTTAGTTTCCTTACTGGAAATTGTATGGTCTCGAAACTGTTGAGAAATCTTGAGAAAAGTAATAAAAGTACATTATTATTTTGTTGAAATAGAAAACAGGATCAATTCCAATATATGAAATTACATGAAATTGTAAGAGATCACTCCTAGCATAGATTTACTGCAAGTTGCCACCTTAAAGAAGATTTATTTATACATTTATCTTTATGTTTACATTATGCAAATAACTTCTAAAGGAGCTGGAACAGGCATGGGTAAACTTCCACTCCGCCAGGTGCTTGCAACTTCAACTCCCACAATTCCTGTCGGTAAGCTGGCTGGGATTTCTGGGAGTTGAGATCCAAAACACCTGGAGGGCCAAAGTTTAGCCATACCTGAGCTAGAATATGTGGAATAGACATATTCCTCTGCCACCCCTCCCCCCCTCCAGAGGATCTCCTTGCAACCGGCAGCCAGAAGTCAGCCATTCATGTAAGGATAGAAGATTACTTTGTGAACATCCTTGGGGCTGTGGAGAAGCCGAAGCAGCGGGCACAAGAATTAGTAATAGTTGTGTCTGATGGTGAGGGCAAGGAATTTCTGATCATCTGACCAGATGGCAACATGCAAACGCACATCCTTCAAACCTAATGTGGCAAACCACTGGCTTCTTTTTAAGTGGAATAACAAACTTGATGGTTGTTGGAGTTCAGCCTGTGATTGTGTCTAATGATCAGGGCACTCTGGATGTGGGAAATGACAATGCTGTTTCTAATGATGTTGGGAATGACAAGGCTGTTTCTAATGATGAGGGTGCTTTAGATGAAGTGTCTTTGCTGATGAGAATGTTCCTGAAGAGTTTAGGGATGATGGGATGGTCTCTGGAAGAGGGCCTGAATTGCTACCAGAGAATTCCCAGGGCTTTGAGCTTAAGAAAAGCTTGGCACCTTGCCCAGCTGCAGAAATTAATGAGCCAGAAGATAGAAAGCATGTTTTCAGACAGAACAGAATAGCACAACAATCTCTGAGGCGTTCTGCCAGGTTGAGAGAGAAATTGATAACAGTCAAGGCAGAGAAGAAAACAGTTTCTGGTGGGAATTTAGAGTAGATTAGGGGATAAAAGTACAGACTCTGTGGTCAAACGAAGCAACACTGGAACTGGATCAAGACGTAGTGGGGAACCTTGCAGTCTTGCCTTCGATAGATTCAAGTTATACCTTGTTTGGTTTGGTTTGATGTTTCAAGTTTGGTGTTTTACCTTGGAAGTTTCTGCTCTGTGTTCTAATCTCTCCAGAGCAGCAGAAAACAAGTTGTCCCCTTCCTTTCAAATATTTTTAAATGGCTATCATGTCCCCTCTCGCTGCCTTCATTGCTCCAAGTTAAACATACCCAGTTTAACTCATTCAGCTGTTCCTTATAAGGCTTGGTTTCCAAATCTTTGATCACTTTGGTCATCCTTCTCTGCTCACATTCTACCTTATCCATATTCTTCTTGAATTGTTGTGCCCTAACTGGACAAGTTTTCCAAGTGAGGTCTGACTAATGCAGAAGAGTGGGGACCACTATTTGCCTCAATTTAGACACTATACTTCTATCGATCTAGCCTAGAATCGCATTGGCTTTTTAGCTGCCACATTACACTGTTGACTCATGTTCAGCTTATGGTCTATTAAGATTTCTAAATCACTTTTACATGTACAGTTTTCAAGCCAGATGTCACCCATCCTACATTTGTGCATTTTATTTTTTATTACCTAAATGTAGTGCCACATATTTCTCCCTCCCCATGTATAGAGGTTTGTTTATTTCCCTGTCTCTCTCTGAGTTCTCCCTTACAAATGGTTCTGCCCCTTTATCTCACCCTGAGTTTTTAAATTATTTTTTGTACATGCGGCCCGCCCTCTGTCATTATGACTGGTCTCTATATTCTATCTATATTGTTTATATGCTTTGATGTTTTATACTTTAATGTTATGTTGTTTATTTTATTGCAATTTGTATTTTTTGTATTGTAATTTGTTGTTCGGGCTTGGCCCCATGTAAGCCGCTCCGAGTCCCCGTTGGGGGAGATGGTGGCAGGGTATAAATAAAGATTATTATTATTATTATTATTATTATTATTATTCGTTTTGACTCATGACACGGTTAATTACAAACTCCCATCAGTCCCTGCCAACCTTTTCAACAATAAGCAAATACAGCAATTGCACTTCAGGGACTGAGTAGGACCTGATTTCCAATATATCAAATACAGAGAATAGGACTTGTGACAAACTGCATGTATTCAATGTATTGAAAAGTCTACAGAGAATGTACTTTCTTCACTTTGAAGAGAGCCCTTTTGATTTATATTACCCAAAGAGAAGAAGAGTTGGCATTTCAGGGCATATTCTCAAGACAGCAAACACTATAATCAAGGACATTGTATTCTTGGAAGAATACAACAATCTAGACTGAATCCTCAACATGCAATAAGAGTTCAATAATTCAAACAATTATATGCAATATCTCAAAGTGAGGCACAGCATTAAAATCTCTCTCAACATGTAGACATATTTTTTCTGGTTTCAAACTATTAATTTTCATACAATTCTAGAGAAAAGCTTGTTGGGGGTCGGGAGGGGAGGGTGACATGAGATGTGAGCTGGATGTCCTTGTATTTGGAAATCATTAAGCCTAAAACTAATTTGTTTAAAACCAAGAGTTCACATTCACTGAACACAATCACATTTACAGCTACAACATGCTCAGAATTATGTTACTTTTTTTTTGTCGTGTCAGGAGCAACCGCTCCTGTTGTGAGAGAATTGTCCGTCTGCAAGGACGTTGCCCAGGGGACACCCAGATGATTTGATGTTTTTATCATCCTTGTGGGAGGCTTCTCTCATGTCCCCACATGAGGAGCTGGAGCCGATAGAGGGAGCTCATCCGCCTCTCCCGGGATTCGAACCTGCGACCTGTTGGTCTTCAGTCCTGCCAGCACAGGGCTTTAACCCACTGCTATCCAATAAGCATTACCTTTTCTTGAGAAGATTTAAATGCTTTCTGATTTCATTGTGTTTTTTTCCATTTTTGTACAAAATGGACCTGAAAATGGAGAGTATAATTTACTGATATTTCTTATTACATGCACTTTGGAAAAAAAATGTTGCTGTTAGAAATGTCACAGGAGCATCTTGCTTTCCTGACATCAATTCAATACAGAATCATGATTCAGTGGTCAACTAAAAAGAAATCTCATGTCTCCACAAAATAGCTACAATATGATATATAAACATTTAGAAAAATGTTACAAACAGGTTAATTCTTGCAGGTTTTTTTATTCTGTAATGTTGTTTCCTCGTTATTGGCAACTAATGAGGTATAATGGTTTGAATGCTAATCACTGTATTCAGTCAGAATGTATGTTCACTAAATCATGCATAAGATTTACTGTTTAAGATATTTTTAGTTAGCTTTGGATAAACTTATTTGTCCATACAGGTGAGACTGTCCATGGGAAACAAATGTAATAGTACTCAGAACACCTTCAATACTTACTCTATTAACCAATGCATTGTCGCTTCAAGATGATCTCTAGAACTCTTTGGGAGCAGCTGCTGCTTTTCTTGTTGGACTGGATTCACTTCCAGTAATCCTATGTTCAGCAAAAATATTTATTATTCAGACAGGCTTTTAAAGGAGGAAGTTTTCAAGATCAAGTCAGAGGGTGCTGTGGTTTTAGCTATATTACTGTATATACTCTAGTATAAGCCTAGTTTTTCAGCCCTTTTTTAGGCTGAAAAGCCCCCCTCGGCTTATATTTGGATGAAGAAGCCTTTCAGCCCCACGCCTTCCCAGCAGGACCCTCAGCCTTTCTCTCCTCAACTCTCAACACAGGGCGCACCTTCCTCTCCTCTTTTCTTGGCCCCAGTCTTTCCCACTTTTCCATATTCATATACACACAGCATTTTCCCCAAAATGTTTAGTTAAAATAAACTATGGTGATTATACATAAGCACATTTACACTGAAGAAGGTTAGAATGATTTAATCAGAGTTGGACGGTCTTACCTTAAATTACAGTTTTATGTAAATATTCAAAAGCATTTAACCTACTGATGCCTGAATTAATGTCATTTTATTGATATCTATTTTTATTTTGAAATTTACCAGGAGCTGCTGAATTTCCCACCCTCAGCTTATACTCAAGTCAATAAATTTTCCCAGTTTTTTTGTGGTAAAATTAGGTGCCTTGCTTATATCCGGGTCGGCTTATACTCAAGTATATACAGTACTTGATTTTTAATTGGTTTTAAGGGTTCTAACAAAGCCCTCCCCCCCCTGGTGGCACAGCAGGTTAAACCACTGAGCTGCTGAACTTGCTGACTGGAAGGTTGGTGGTTTGAATCCGGGGACTGGGTGAGCTCCCGTTGTTAGCCCCAGCTTCTGCCATATGAATAGATGAATAGGTACCGCTTCTGCGAGAAGAGTTCAGTGAGGTGTGGGTCCTTACGGTAGTTAGGAACATCTCTCACTATGGGAACATATTTCTTGGGCAAAACAGAGCTTTTAACAGTAGACAGCTTGTCCACCCTTATGGAGACTTTCTCCCATAGGTGCCATAAAAGACACATAAAGGAAAAGTGATATGAAGGGGTTTTTCAATAAAAGGGGGAACGGTGAAGGTGATGAATGCAAAAACAAAACAAAAAATAATTAAGATGGAAATAAATTAGAAGAAACAAAAGATGGATTAATGAAAGAGACTATGTATCCTGAACTATGGGAAGGAGAAAACCTGTGAAAGATGAAATCAAAGGACTAATGTTAATACTTTCCAAAGGAAATAATGTGATTTCTTGTCTTGAGCAGCAGTAGGAGTTAACCTTAAATGGCTTCTTCTCCACTGAGAAAGTAACCTTCTAAGGTGGGAGAGTGGGTATGTGTATCTCACAGGATGCACATGGCCTACTCAAGTCTTGGACCCCGCCTCCCAAACTGGCATAGGGTAGACAACATGTTCCTTTTTTCAAAGTGTGACTGTCACTTTCAGTTTTAGGGAGAAGGGGGCCCCAAAGGCTTCCAAAAAGAGTAGAAAAATGCAAAAACATTTCATACCTTCTAAGCACTTTGTTCTCTTCTGTTTGTTCTCCACTGCTTGTGCATCCTGCCATAAAGAAGACAGAAAGTTTTAAAGATTTTTAACTGCACCAGTGCAACTTCCATCTGAATTTTAATCCATATAAGACAGTGGTTCTCAACCTGAGGTCCCCAGATGTTTTTGGCCTTCAAATCCCAGAAATCCTAACAGCTGGTAAATTGGCAGGGATTTCTGGGAGTTGTAGGCCAAAAACATCTGGGCACCCCAGGTTGAGAACCACTGATATAAGACAAAAGTTACACAGACCCTCAGGGGCTCTTAGGAAAAGTCTAAACATCATCTTAGCCACTTCATGTCTTCATGGTTGTGATCCCTTATTTTCTTTTTATCTTACCTTTCTGGTGTTCTATTTTGGCTGTAACTTCTTTTTCCCTCAACACAGTTGTCCAGACAAGGCATCTAACTCAGTTCTACCACCAGGGAATTGCCTGCCTAATCCACTATTTTCTTCCTCATCCACTGTCTAATTAGAAGTTTTAGCTTGGGTGGATGATGCAGAAAAGCTACAAAAACATAGACTTTCAGTGCCAGGTTGCAGGAAGAGACCTTGAGCAGGGAACTAATGAAATGCTACTCTATCTGGTCCTCCTCTAGCTATGTGAGCCAGGCAAGGGAATAACAGCTGCCCCAAGAAACTCTTACTGAACATGTGGGAACAAAAAAACAAAAAAAGAAGTAAGGGCACCATCTCACCATTTTCCTCTAGAATATTAAAAAACATAGATCTGTAAGTGATCTGGCCACCAAAATCATAGTAAAAGTGGAAGCTGGTGAAAAAATAATCCCAGGATGCATTTTGGAAGAAGCTTTCAAGAGGTTTCTAGAAGGTTAAAAACATTTTTGCTTCCTCAACTTGCTTATTTTGGTTGCTTTGATTTGGGATTTCTTCATGGCAGTGGGTTGAACTGGATGGCCTGTGAGCTATTCTGACTCTTTGAGTCTATGATTTTGCATATATTACTGATTCTAAATAAATTTTGCTGAATTTAAATTTTGTCCATGTGATTTCTGCTGCCAGCACAAATTTTTCTGTGACTATATTTTTACATACATATTTTAAAAATATTTTTCCACCAATATCAGGATGGTGATCTCTATCATGATTATTATTTTGCCTATTACTGACTAGCAATCTAGACTGAACCTTATGGCAGAACAAAATGGCAGATAACAATGGCAGATAACAATATTTATCATTGAAAAGCTATTTAACCTGTTTAAAGTACTACAGATACATATCATTATCAAAGTATTTGTGAACACATTGGCAAGTATCCTGATGTACAGCTCTTGTCTACACTGAAATTCTACAGCATCTCTAGCTTTCCAGGATACTAACACTATTCTACATATCTTCTAGGGCCCCTTCTACACAGCTATATAAAATCCACATTATCTGCTTTGAACTGGGTTATATGGCAGTGTTTGTTGTTTATTCGTTCAGTCACTTCCGACTCTTCATGACCTCATGGACCAGCCCACGCCAGAGCTCCCCCTCGGCCGTCACCACCCCCAACTCCTTCAAGGTCAAGTCAGTAACTTCAAGGATACCATCCATCCATTTTGCCCTTGGTCGGCCCATCTTCCTTCTCCTTCCATTTTCCCCAGCATCATTGTCTTCTCCAAGCTTTCCTGTCTTCTCATGATGTGGCCAAAGTACTTCACCTTTGCCTCGAATATCCTTCCCTCCAATGAGCAGTCAGGCTTTATTTCCTGAAGTATGGACTGGTTGGATCTTCTTGTGGTCCAAGGCACTCTCAGAATTTTCCTCTGACATCACAGTTCAAAAGCATCCATCTTCCTTCACTCAGACTTCCTTATGGTCCAGCTCTCACATCCATAGGTTACTATGGGGAATACCATTGCTTTAATTATGCGGATCTTCATTGCCACTACTCTTCACTATGTTATTGAGATTGGTTATTGCTCTCCTCCCAAGAAGTAAACGTCTTCTGATTTCCTGCCTGCAGTCTGCGGTTTGCAGTCATCTTTGCACCTAGAAATACAAAGTCTGTCACTGCCTCCACGTTTTCTCCTTCTATTTGCCAGTTATCAGTCTGTCTGGTTGCTATAATCTTAGGGTTTTTTTTATGTTTAACTGCAACCCAGCTTTTGCGCTTTCTTCTTTCACCTTGATTAGAAGGCTCCCCAGCTCTTCCTCACTTTTGGCCATCAAAGTGGTGTCATCTGCATATCTAAGGTTGTTAATATTTCTTCCAGCAATTTTTACCCCAGCCTTGCATTCATCAAGCCCTGCACATCACATGATGTGTTCTGCATACAAGTTGAATAGGTTGGGTGAGAGTATGCAGCCTTGCCTTACGCCTTTCCCAATCTTGAACCAGTCTGTTGTTCCATGGTCAGTTCTTACTACTGCTACTTGGTCCTTATACAGATTCCTCAGGAGAGAGACAAGGTGATTTGGTATGCCCATACCACCAAGAACTTGCCACAATTTATTATGATCCACACAATCAAAGGCTTTAAAATAGTCAATAAAACAGAAGTCGATGTTTTTTCTGAAACTCCCTGCTTTTCTCCGTTATCCAGCGAATATTGGCATTTTGGTCTCTTGTTCCTCTGCCTTTTCAAAATTATTCAATGCCTTAAAACACATACAATTCCAATTTTTTTAATTAAATTAGATTAAAATTAAAAGCATACTAAACATTTAAAAACATTCCATTCCATATTAAAATCACACCTTTCATAGTCGTAGTCCAAACCGTTCCATAAACATTCCATATATTCCAGATCTGTTAATTGCACTGCACTATTCTCTGAAGGCCTAATCCGTTTTATTACTCATGTAAGTTCTCCATGAATAGGGAAAAGAAGCTCTTACTTTCAGTTACAAAATCTCTCATTTAAAGATACTTACTTCTCTCTCTAGTTTTCTCTTTCGTTGACTTCCTTTTGCTCTTTTCTTTGTTCCGGGAGGTTCGAGTTGCGCTTTATATTTTCTCACCATCACGGTTGAAATTGTGGAATTTCAAGACTTTGAAAATAAAGAGGCAAAACAAGCAGAAATAATCATTATAAATGTCACAGTGTGATGAGCGAAATGGCTTCCTAAAATTAAACTGATCAATATGCCAACCACACACAAACAACACAGACACTCTCAACTCATAGAATCATGGAGTTGGAAGACACCATCACAGGCCATCTATTCCAACCCCCTTGCTATGTAGGAAAAGCACAAGCAAAGCTTTTATACCAAATATAGGCAAACTTCGACCTCCAGGTGTTTTGGACTTCAACTCCCAGAAATCCCAACCACCTTACCGGCTGTTAGGAATTGTGGGATGTGGAGAGTGAAGTTTGCTTCTGCCTCATTTAAACAGATGGTCATTCACCCTGTTTAAAAGCCCCCAAGGAAAAAGCTTCCACCACACTCAGTGCCCTTCCACACAGCTATATAACCCAGAATATCAAGGCAAAAAAAATCCCACAATACCTGTTTTGAACTGGGTTATGAGTCCACACTACCATATATTGCAGTTCAAAAAAGAAAATGTGGGATTTTATTCAGCTGTGTAGAAGGGGCCTCAGAGACAGAGCCCCACTGCTGAAAAGCTCGTACGGTCAGGAAATTCTTCCTAATGTTCAGATGGAATATTCTTTCCTGTAGTTTGAACTCATTGCTCTGAGTCCAAGTATCCAAGGTGTAAGAAAACAAGCCTGCTTCTTTTCCTTATGGCATCCTTTCAGATATTTAGACAGAATTATCATGTCTCCTCTCAACCTTATCTTCCTCAGGCCAATCATGACATTAACTTATAATAATAATAATAATTTTATGTCTAGCCTGCCTCTTCTCATGGCTCGAAGTTATGGCTTAATATCTTTAGCATAATAAAGATGACACATAGAAAGTATATATTATCTCTTGCACAGCCATGAATAACAGTTATTTATTTATTTATTTATTTTGCTTTCATTGTAGATGAAAGGCAACTCCTGGTAATATCCACAGAATCATAAGAGTTGGAGGAAAACACAAAGATCATCCAGTCCAACATTTTACCATGCAGGGATACACAAGAAAGCACTCCTGAGGGATAGCTATCAGAGGTGCTTGGCATTTGGGGATAGAGGTGTATTAACCAGCTCTGGATAGAGTTACATTCCCCTGAAAGACTGTGTTCGCAGCTTGGGAGTACTCCTGGGTCCATCTCTCCAAATGTCAGCCCAGGTAGATGCAACCGTCAGGAATGCTTACTACCAGCTCCTGCTGATACGCCAGCTGTGCCCCTTCCTAGATTTGGAGGACCTGAAGATGCTAGTGCACACACTGAAACCTCAAGCTTGGGCTCCTGCAATGTGCTTTACACTGGGCTGTAATGCACTTTATTAGGTGCAAATTAGTTTCCGAGCAAAGTACAAGGTATTGGTTTTGACCTTTAAAGCCCTACGTGGTTTATTATTATTATTATTATTATTATTATTATTAGGATTGCCTTCTCCTGTACAATCTGTCCTGGACACTTTGGTCTTGGGGGGGGGGGGGGGTCTGCTCCAACGTGCCAGAGCCTGACTAGCAACCACCACCTAGAGGACGTTTTCATCGGCTGCCCCACAACTGTGGAATGACCTGCCGGAAAAACTCCGACAGCTCATTTGGCTGAATTTTAAAACCATGTAAAGACCTATCTCTTCCGGCAGGCCTACCCAGCCAGTCTTTAAACATGAATTTTAAGTGCCCTTTGTTTGATTTCAATTGTGTGTGTTTTAGTATGTATTTTGTAGAGATGTGTTTTGGTGTGTAACTTTTATGGAGGGGCACTTTAGTGTGTGCATTTGTAACGTTTTTGCTGTGCTTGTGTATTTTAATGGTTTTGTAACCTGCTTCAAGCCATTAAGAGAGGCAGATAAGAAATATTGTTATTGCTGTTGTTGTTGTTGTTATGGCTGTGCAGCTTCTAAGAACCTCCAGAGAAGGAGACTGGGGACCCTTCCACACAGCCATAGAACCCAGAATATCAAGGCAGGAAATCCCACAATATCTGCTTTGAACTGGGTTATCTGAGTCCACACTGCCATATAATCCAGTTCAAGGCAGATATTGTGGGATTTCTGGCCTTGATATTCTTGCTTATATGGCTGTGTGGAAGTGCCCACAAGCACACTCTGTGTATTTGGACAGTTCTCATCCTCGGGAAGATTTTCCTAATGTTTAGGTTTAATTTTGTTGTAATGCACTATTGGGCTTGGCCTCATGTAAGTCGCCCCAAGTCCCCTTCGAGGAGATGGTGGCGGGGTATAAAGTTTATTATTATTATTGACACAAAAGCACAGTATGTCACAGCAAACGAGATCTATATGCTGGATTTTGTATCACAAAATCACAAGTCGAACACTTCCCAAGCGTCTAGGACTGTGTGATGTATTTTTAAATGATGCGTGCAGATCCAAGTAAGGTGGCCTTTTGCAGTTGACAGATCGGCTGAGGCATTTTGGCACGGCACCCAGTGTGCCGATGACCACTGGGACCACCTGTGCTGGTTTATGCCAGAGCCTTTGCAGTTCAATTTTGAGGTCTTGATAGCGGCTGAGTTTTTCCTGTTGTTTTTCCTGAATGCGACTGTCACCTGGTATGGCAACATCAATAATCCAGAATTTTTTCTTTTCCACAATCATGTCTGGCGTGTTGTGTTCCAAAGTCAGTCTGGATTCAAAAGTCCCACAGTATTTTTGCATGTTCATTTTCCACCTTTGCAGGTTATTATTGTTATTATTATTAGGTGGAATCCCTTTTCCTAACATTGGAATTCATTGCTTTGTGTCCTAGGGTGCATCTAGACCAGGCCTGGGCAAACTTCGGCCCTTCAGGTGTTTTGGACTCCAACTCCCACAATCCCTAACAGGGTGCAAGGCCAAAGTTTGTTCATGCCTGCTGAAGAATGAATATCATTTGGCGCCGCTTGAAACTGCTATGGCTCAATGCTAGGGCATCCAGAGAGATTGAAATTGGTGAGGCCTCAGCAGGCCCGTAGCCAGGATTTCATTTCGGGGGGGGGGGGCTAAAAAAATTTCGGGTGGGGGGTCGGGGGGGGGCTGAGTTTTGGGGGGGGCTGAGTCTGAGTGAAAGAGGGTCTAGCCTAGCAAACCTTTTGTATCATTACCCCAATACCCCCATGCATATGGGATATATTGAGTATGGTGATCAGATCATGATATGAATAATGCACCAGTAAGGCCTTTTCGCGAACCACCATGAGAATTTCGGGGGGGGCTGAAGCCCCCCGAGGCCCCCCCCCCCCCTGGCTACATGCCTGGGCCTCAGCACTCTTTGGCTGAGGTAGGAAATCTTGTAAAAGGGCAACTTCAACACTGAGGCAGGGCAGTGGTTTCCGGCCCTTCCCCCACCTCTGGCCTGACGGGGATGGCTCTTCACAAGAAAGGAGCCTGAGACTGGTTCATTTACCTTACTTGAAAGGAGACGCGCCTTAGTCAACACAGGAGAGCCTTGTTCAAGCCGTTCTCTGTTCGAAAAATGTTCCCGCGGGTGCAGTGCGCATGCGCACGCTCTTGAATGCGCCTGCGCGTGTGGGAAAGGTGACAGGTCGCTTGCACCGCCCCCACTTCCGGTAGCACTTCCGGCCTGAGCAGCTGAAGGGCTCCTGCTGACTTTTTCCTTCCCTGCTGTTTGCCCGTTATTTGCTCCGCTTCCGCCTGGTGGAAGCCAGGTCCGCCTCACAAAGGAGGGATTGCAGGCCAGAAGTAACTAAAGAATGTCGCCTGAGGCCGTGGTTTTTCCCAGGGTTTAGGCGCCTGTGCGCAGGAAACCTGTGAGTCAAAACCATACGGAGAGAGCAGGCATGGGCAAACTTCAGGCCCTCCAGGTGTTTTGAACTTCTACTCCTAGAAACCCCAGCCAGATCACCAGCTGTTAGGATTTGTGGGAGCAGAAGTCCATGATTTAACTTTTTCAATCTGAGACAGCCTTTGCAAAACTGAGGACCTTTCCACACAGCCCTATACTTACTTACTTACTAATAGGAGCCCCCGGTGGCGCAGTGGGTTAAAGCACTGTGCCGGCAGGACTGAAGACCGACAGGTCGCAGGTTCAAATCCGGGGAGAGGCGGATGAGCTCCCTCTATCAGCTCCAGCTCCTCATGCGGGGACATGAGAGAAGCCTCCCACAAGGATGATAAAAACATCAAAAATCAGTTCCATTGCTGAACAGTTCTGTGGGACAACCTTTGTTGAAAGAGCCCATCACTCATGAAAAAGTTTGTTCCACTGAGGAACAGTAAAGCAGTACCTTCCAGGGTGGAATGTATTGTCATTTGAATCCTTCGGTTTCTGTTCTACTTTGCAAAGCAGTAGAAGACAAGCTTAATCCTTCTATATAGAATCCTTTCAGATATGTAAAGATGAGGATCATGGCACTGCTTGCTGTTTGATAGCAGTTTAAGCACCATGACTCAATACTATGAAATGATGGGATTTGAAATGCTGGGATTGGCAGAGAAGGTTAAAGATCTTATGAAATTGCAACTCCCACAATTCCATAGCATTGAGCAGTTAAAGAGATATCAAAATGCATTAATTATATAATTCAGTTTCATCTTCACACTTCTCCAATGTAAACATATCCCATTCCCTAAACCATACCTCATAGAATTAATTTCCTAACTTTTAATCTTCCTGGTTACTCTTCAGTGGACACAGCCCAACTTGTCAAACAAGATGGAAATTCTCCAAGGTCCTGGAAATGGTAGATGGTCTCAGTGATTTCAGGAGTTTGAGAAGGCACACCAACTTCTCTCTGCTTTTGTTTTGCTGGGAGAGGGGGAGCATTCATCTGCAGTGAATCAAGGCAATGTTCCCCTCACATCCTTTCATTCATATTGTAATCAGCAGCCCTCAAACCCTTCTAGCGTTCCTGAACATTTATGCTCCCTAGACGGTTCACAAAGAGTTGCACAGCATTTTGTAGAAAACAGCCATTTCATTATTGAGTGTTTAAATAAGACTAAATGTAGGTTTTAGGACAGTGGTTTCCAACTTTTGGTCCTACAGGTGTTTTGGACTTCAGCTCCCACAATTCCTAACAGCCGGGATCTCTGGGAGTTGGGAAACAGTTTTAGAAAAAGACACTTGTAACTTCAAACTCTTCCTCTTTCTAGTATACATTCTACAGAGATTTTTGCATTAGTCAGTTTTCTGAGAAAAAAGTTTGTAAAAATGTAAACCTCCCTCTTCTTGACTGACATAATCCAGTTTATGTTCTTCTCTTCATATCTAAGTCCCCAGACTGCATCTTCAGAGACTGCTACAGGAGAAAATGCTGAGAAGCAAGAATGTTCTTCGCATCTGGCCCTTCTGTTACAAGAAAGAAGCGGGATCACAGCACCAAGAACACCTTCGACGCTCGCTGCATGAACTACATCCAGGATGGGCTGCAATAGCCAAAACACAGCTAAAGGGGAAGGACCCAAGGGAGTTGATATGGCACACTCCAGAGGGAATTGCCATTAAACCCCTATATTCATCAAGGGACACAAAAGATCTTCCTGAGGAATTACCTGGAGTAAAGCCATTCACTCGTGGTCCTTACCCTACTATGTATACCTATAGGCCTTGGACCATCCGCCAGTATGCTGGCTTCAGTACTGTGGAGGAAAGTAACAAATTCTACAAGGATAACATCAGAGGTAAGATACAGTTTTAAATGACAGTCAAGAATATTGTCTCGTTCATGTGATTATGTATTTCATGCATAACTGTGATTGCAGTCACCTGTATACAGTATATATTTCAAAGTGAGGGCCCTTCTACACAGCCCTATATTCCAGAATATCAAGGCAGAAAATCCCACATTATCTGAGGGAGGACTCAGATAACCCAGTTCAAAGCAGATATTGTTGGATTTTCTGTCTTGATATTCTGGGATATAAGGCTATGTGGAAGGGCCCTAAGTTACACCACTATTAGTGATAATCATGCAAATGATAAAGTTGCAATGATGCAATATGATGAAAGTTTGCTTTCTGACCTTTTTTAAACTTAAGGAGATTTGAACTAAACATGCATAGTGTTATCGTTTAAGTTTTGTTAAGAAGATTCTCAAAGTGTGCAAATCTTTCTTAGACTTTGAATAATGAATTAGTTGGAAGCAGCTATATATATACTTAGTTTTGATGTGTTCTTTATTCAGATATTGGCAGAATAAAGAAAGCTAGCATCCAACAGCATATGAAATATTTTGGCCTGACAGGGACAAACATATTGTCTGCTTTCAGTTTAACTTTATTAGGTTCTATTCAGTACAGGCAATAAAATGCTTATTGGTTTACAATAGCTAGACTCCACATTACTTTCATATTTTTCCCATTTCCTAAAATAAGAAATCAAATTGTGGCTAGTCTACACAAAAAGAAAGACATGCAGATTTTCCTTCTATAATAATAATAATAATAACAACAACAACAACAACAACAACACAGCAACTTTATTCTTGTACCCCGCCTCCATCTCCCCGAAGGGTCTTGGGGCTGCAAACATATAGTAAAAAGTGCCTAAAATAGAGCATAAAATAAACAGACAGTACAATACAATAAAGTAAAACATATAGCATATGAAACAGCAGTTTAAAACTCAGAACAACACCTAATAACCTGTGGTGACAACTATCATAAGGCATGGCCAGACAAGGAAATGGGGTAGTACAAATTATAGCTAAGGAACAAGGGCATGGGATGAAAGTCCAGTGCTGTGTAATTGATTGTGGACCATTGGGGCTATACATTTTTAAAGGCTTGTTTAAACATCCAAGTCTTCAGATCCCTATGAAAGGAGGACAGTGTGAGGGCTTGCCTAATCTCCCTGGGGAGGGCGTTCCAAAGCTGGGAGGCCACCACCATGAAGGCCCTCTCCCTTGTCCCCACTAACCACACTTGTGATGGTGACGGGACCGAGAGGAGGACCTAGCATACTGCTTAAGGCAAGTGAAGTAATGTTAAGAGTTATTTACAGTTAAATGATAAACAACGGCTTACAAAGATGGTAAACGGGGTAGAAATGTTTCCTCTCCCCCTTTCTGGCGAGCAATATTCCCAGCACTCTGACACAGCTGCGTCTCTCACTTGCTCCGCTGTCTCACGCAACTCTTCCTTAATTCAGAGCCGCATCACACAACTTGCATAGCATTGAGTCCCAGCTATCATACTTTTGCTGCTATTTAATTCAGACATTATTATATTGGGTTTAATTGAATTTTTCTTGGTTCTGCTGTTAATGTGCTGCTGTTATTCTGTCACATCATATTTTACATAAACAAATCTCAAACAAAAATCCATAGTTTCTTCTCTGTTTAAATTATGAGCAGACATGGATATTTGGAACCAGGATGGTGGCTCGGACATATTTGTGACATCTGACTATATTTGTTGGGTGTTTTTCTAGAGATAGCCATTTTTAATCATTATTACGTGCAAAGAATGATAGTAAATACCACATGTTGAATGTTTATTCAAATGTTCAAATAACATTTTGAATGTTATTTCAAATATTATTTGAACATTTGTGCTTGTTTTGTGAGCCACTTGAGTCTCTTTTCTGGGTGAGAAGATTGGGATATAAATTCAATAAATAAATAAAATAAATTTATGACATTTAATTTGTTATATTCTTTTTTTTTGGGGGGGGGGGGGGTATGCTTTTTGAAGGAAATTTCCATCCATTCTTTTTAATATCTTTCTTGCTTATTTTTAGTCATAAGGTATTTCCTGGAATGACAGTTAACTCTATATACTAATGTATAAGTCTAGATATTTTAGTCCAAAAAGTTGACCCAAAAATTCTGGATCAACTTTTCCACAGGTCACTAAATACTGTACATTAACTCTTATCAAATGATACCATCCCCTTCTCTGAGGCCCCATCTACACTGACCATTTAATGCAATTCAAAGCTAGCTTCAAACTGTGTTAAGCAGACAACAAACTTCTACAAAAGTATGTGAAAGAAAGTACTTAATGCACATCAGTGCTCTGTGGTTTGTGTAATCTAATCACTATCCAGGCCTCCTGGATTTCCTGTCTAATCATCTGAGCAGGGAAACAATTTCTTTAATACTAATTTGAAAATGCATTAAATTATCTGTGTAGATAGGAACTGAGGAGAGTGGTGAAAAGTGAAAGCTTGGTCTGGCCTGTGAGAACCTAAAAGATGTACCACCAACCCCTCTACTTTCTTCATTTTGGCACCACTTCTGGGTTTTTTTGATGCTTGGCTGAGAAATGGCATTGACAATCAGAAGGGGCTGGCCTCCGGAGGTGATGCTGATGCCTTCCCCCCCCCTTCTGTAGAATAATCTTTGACTTAGTCATGACTCAGATCAAAATCCATATGAAGCCTGTCCTCAATATATACATGAAATTGGTTTTTACAGGAGTATGCCATTTTAGTATCACAATTTAGGGACAATAATCCAGGAAAGATTAATTGATTATCATAAAACGTAAGTTGCAGGTTGGGCTCAAATATCATTTTGTCTACTGGAATCCTTATTAATCTCTTTATTTGATCTAGCTGG